TATTATAAAAGTCGCTCGGAAATGAAAAACAATTAAGTCGAAAAACTGATTTCTGTACACACCAATTCCAATCAATAATATAATCAAAACTGCTGCACAGATTTCCATCTTGATTACCGAAAATAATTCGCTTAGGGAGCTTCGACTTCGGATGCTGAAAAAAAAACTTTAGTTGATTGAATTTATGTTTTTGTACTAAGAAAATCACTTTGTCCCAAATTAAGCAACTTAGATTGACTTAAGTCACATCACAGTGTATGCTCAAATTTCATCGAAGTATGCCTTTTTCGGGCGATATTTGGACGAACACACGATTCACAGCATTGTGAATTCGTCATTTGTTCTGTCAAACCTCACAAAAATATGCTAATTCATGCTAATTTAATTAAATTTTGTGGCCGTTTTCCAAAATTTGTTATTTAATATTTGGTCTATTTCTGCGGGAAAAGAAGTAAAATCATAGAAATATTGTGTATCTGTGTCAAAAGAGTTGTGTGAAAACCGGAAGAAGAAGAAGAAAAAAGTTGTTGTTAAAAATTGAAATTGATGGTTTTGAAAAAGCTGAAAATTGTAAATCGAAGAAAGCACAAACAACAACAACAGCAACTCAAGCAGCGCAAAAATGAGAGAATTTCAACTGGCGTTTTGTGGCTGGTGTGCTTGTGGCAGCATCAACGTATGCAACCACAGCATCGACCGATCTTCTGCATTCGTCGAACGAGTCTCACGAAGTCCGCTCCCCGATGTCTATGGATAGTCATTTTTCGTTGTTGACAGCAGCATCATCGACACTATCGATAGTGTTATAAACAACGCCACAGTGTGATTGGCCCGAATTTCAAGAGAGTTACAATTCAATTATGGACAATACAAATCTACTGGATAGTTGTGCGGCCGCATTGAATGATATCAGCACCGAAGATGGAGTGCATTCGATTCGGTCGGAAAAATACGCTGTGAATTCAATCGATCGCTCGGTTCGACAACAAATTCATCATTTAGCAGGTCGGAAAATTCGGTGGTCACATCGAACCCCATTGAACAATTCACCCGATGGCTGTGCAAAATGGGGAATCGTGTGCAATTGGTTGCACGCGGATAGCTGCCAATCAAAATCAACGGTGAGTTTGGATTGTTCAACGACCGGTGAAGCGGACTATCAACTTTTATATCGTGCTAAATCGGAAATGGATCTGTCGATGTGCCGGCCGCTGGACGTACACAATCGTACGTCATCAATGCGAACATCGATACATTGTTTGCCATCGATTCTCAGCCCAGTGAAGCGCTTCGAGTCAACGTTAAACGATTCCATTTCGGAGGAATGTTTGCTGATTTGGGACAACTTTCAGTTGGGTTCTTCCAACTTCCAAACCATGTAATCGCTGAAATGTCTTGGCATTTCTTTGCATGTGAAGTAATCGTTGTACGCATCACAGCCTCATTGCTCAAGAAGAATATGCTTGAAATATGTGTATCTGTCAAGAGAAATTTCAGAGCGATTAATCCCGTGAAGCAATTTGTTACAATAGGTCAAGCCGCTGTAATGGATTTTTTCTGTCTTTTTGTTGTGTGCTTGCTTCGCTAGGGGGAGAGAACGACACAAATTCAAAGATAACATGGAAATATTGCCAATGCCTAACAAAACGTGCAAATGCGTGCAATTCTTCGTGCTCAGCAAGCACTGCTCACCACAAACGAGACGAAGCAACATGAAAACAACAACAATAACATAGAGGATTGCTATGCAAATGCCTGCAAATGGACGTGAATACGGCAAATACGTCAAGTCGTTCTTTTCCCCTAGTTGCTTCGTCGACCGACGTTCTTTTTTTTTGCTTTACTCTACTCGTTTCAAGTCTCGCTTGATAGAATTTCAACGTTTTTCTATTCTTTGGAAAGACCAACAAAAAAAATCAGCGAAGAGAATCTTTCTATTGAGAAACAAACATTGAACAGCAAATAAAACCCATGAAATATTGCACACAAAGAGTACATTGATTGTAACTCAATCGTTTGACTGACCCATCTCGTCGTCTGTGAAATCAAGAACACGAGCGCCACACAATTCAGTTGAGAGTAGCTTATGAATTGATGCCATTGCAATCAACCGCACAACAACCGAGAATAATATTCCCGTTTGATTCGTTCCAATTTTTCACCGGACCGACAACAAGATGGTCAGCTGTACAGAATGACGGTAAAAACTCGATCCCAGTCGATTCGAAACAATATAGACCAAGCCAATTATGACATTATAAGAAGAACCTAATGCTTTAAAATTTGTTAAACGGAATTTAATGATGATAGTAGAATTGCCCAAACGAAATGAACCAAAAACATTTGATCCGGTTGATAAATTGCATTGGCGATTGTTGCTTTTTAATTGTGTGTTCGGCATCAGCTTACATTTCATTTCTTGTAGCAACATTCGAAACACTAACAAAATCATTTACTTTTTTACATAAAAAATTTCACATCGGTCGCATTATAGTAATATCTCTCGGTCGATTGGCCGTCATCGCTCATCGATAATAGAATGTCGATGCTGAAATCACATTACCCCTCTCGCTCTCTCTTTCTTGGTGATTTTCACAACTTCTGTTGCGATCAATCAGTTTTGTTTTCATGGTCGTAAAATCTGTGCAAATAATTGTTTGATTTTGACTCATAAACATAACATTTGTTTCGATCAACGTTTATTTTTGCTTATTTATTCATATTAAAGCGTTTTTTTTCTGTTATTAACAAAATATTTAATAGGATTCTCACAGCGAATAAATTCGATCAAAAATATTTGTAGTTTGCTTTTCTGTTTAGAAAACATTTTTTCCTAGATTACTCGATACTAATTTCTATATATTTAAGCCTACGAAGAACTTCTTGAAACAAATGTCTGGAAAAAAACATGTGAAAATCGACATTCGATTAAACAAAAATGGGCGAAGAAAGTGGATGAGTCGTGCTGTAGCTCAGGCTTCATCGGAATGACATTGTTGTAACATCAAAAATTTCGAGATTCGATGCGATTTATCCAAAGTAATCGTTCCAGCCTTCCACATCAGGCTCAATGTCCTCTAACTGATCTCGACGAAGCTATTGAAAAAAAATATTGTGATTTGAATCAAAATTTCTCTTAAAAATCTCCAAAAATTCACTCACGTATGTTCGTAAAAGAGCCTTAATTCCCGGTAGAAACTCGTGGAGAGCCAACGAACAATTTTTCATCATTCCATTCACGACGTAAAATAACGCAATCAGCCGAGGACGGTCAGTCACCTACCGAATGATCGCACCTTAGAATTAGTTTGAAATGAATGATTCAAAATTATTTCATCAAATTACCTGTAAAATTTGACCGTTCAATATTTCAGCCAATCGCAAACCATATATGACCGAGTTGTCATTCGCAATTTTTGCAACCTTAACAGCTTCTTCTGGCATTTCATCATCATTTGGGTTTAAACCAATTAAGGCTTGTGTGAACTGGTGAATCTAGAAATTAAATAATTATTATTTGTTTAATGAAATCAAACATACAAAAAATGTCTTACAATAGGCATTGTATTTTGTAAAACTTTCACGTTTTGTGTTAAATCGTAGTGAAAAATAAGTGACTCGGCTTGCAAAAATTAAACCAAACTAAATGCTTGTTGACGTTTAGTTCTTATGCTTGTATTGGAGTATTATGCGATATTCGTGACAGTTTGCTTAAGTGTTGATACGAAATGTGGTCGATTTTTTTCTCATTTACACTTTCTCTTCATTATACATCACCATTTCATACCGCTTTGATTTGCATTCAATCGAACGAATGTCACAAGTACACAATCGACTCCGACGGCTACAGCTACGGCGACGATGACTATGACGTCGAGCACGGTTCGCATGATGAAATGCGACAGATTGACCGAATGCATAGAACAAAGCAGGCAACAACAAGTGAATCCCGTTATTGTGTGTTTGAGACACGGCATCACATTGTTACAAATCATTGGTCAGAGCTCTGTGCCTCATGCGTCAACGATAAAATGGAGCGACGAAGAGAAAAAAAGAGTCATGAGTGAATAATTAATTTCGTTTGCTTTATTTTGTGTTGAATATTTTTAATTGTTCAGTCTTCGGAATTTTTTTTTTGATTCGATCATTCCTTCAAAATACGTTAAATTTACTATTCTATGACATAGATTTTTTTACTGTAGTTCAAATAAAAGTAATTTATGACTAACTTCAGACGAATCAAGCGATTGACAATAGCGCTTTTTTTCAAACCGAAACCATCCAGAGAAAAAAACCTAACAAATTGACTTTGGTCAAAAAAAAATTCATTGCAAAATCAATGCCGAAATTATCGAGTACATTTTCGATTTTTTTCAGCGAAATTTTCATTCATTGAATGCTAAACAAAGAGTGTGTATCGGCCAAAACAACGTTTGACATTTACATTGAACCGTATTGTCAAGTCTCCACACAAAGAGATGCATTGGTGTGAAGCAATGTACGGAATCGAATGTGAATAAACGAAAATCAGCTGTAACCAGTTCGTTCTGTGTGATTGGAACGTCACAGTCGTGCGAATTGTGTGTGGTCGGAAAATTACTTAGACTGAGGGAAAATGCGATGGTGGAATAAGAAATGAGTCGTTCGTTTCACGGTTTTTTTTATTTACGCATCACAATGACTGTAGGTTAAGTGGATTCTTGTCAAAAGAAAGCGAATGCATAATTAGTCCGTGTGAATTGAAAATCTGTTTAACAGAATAATAAATAAAGTGCTTTTTACCTCAATATTATATGCAGCAGAAAAATTGCACGTTAATAAAGTAATAGAGTGTGCCATAACTGTAGAAATTAAATGTGAAAGACGAAAATTCGACATCATTTATCGATTCAACAATGTTTTGAAAGCAACGCCGAGCAGCAGCAGCAGCCAAGTGAAAACTTGTTTAGAGAATCCAACCTCACAGAAAATAATCAATAGGTTCAAGGTAAATTCTATCGCTGTCGGCAAGAATAAACTAGTTCAAACTCAACTCACTAACATTAAATGCCGTGTGTGTGTGTCTATGTTTGCTATTTTATCTTGGATTGAATGAAGTAGCTACGGTTGATAAAGATGGCCCATTGTCGTCATTGCATTCGATTAATAATGGACAAAGATCAGATCGGTGTTATTATGCAAAAGATAACAATTAGATGGAGGTATTATTACGTGAATCAATTGTTGGTCGTTTGCTTGGTGTTGTCGTAGACCGATAAATGAACGTTCAGTTGAAACGCAATTTCCCAATGGTTTAATGTCACGAACATCAAAGCCAACGAAATTCGAACCCAATCGAAATAGTTCCAATGTTAAAGTTCACAAAAATAAAGAGTGTATGAATTCAAGTACCTATCATTTGTTTTTGCATAAGCCGTAAGCCTCGAAATCGTATTACTTGAATTTTTTGTTCGCCTGTAACCCATCAATGTACCATGCTACATAACCAAGTGACGAAACAGAAGCGAGAAACAGAAAAGCGAATAAATGGGAGAGAATGTGTGTGTTTGAAAGAGAGAGAGAGAGAGAGAGAGAGAGAGAGAGAGAAATCGTGTGCAAGTGTAATTCAGGCTCATTGTTTTGACAATTTGTGGGTTCTTTTTTTTCAGAAATAAAAATAAAATCAGATGATTTCACTGAAACATAGAAAAAAGAGACAAGCCAAGACAAGCCAATGGCGTATGCATTTCGAGCAGTCATTGTTGGTGCTCGCACGCGACGCTCAATGCCTTGTTGGCTTATTGTTGCTAGCTCAAATATTTGTACATCTATTTTTTGCATAAATATTGTATCTTTTTGTGGCCGCGGCAATTCAATGTTACAAAAGTGAATAGATTCGGTTCCGTTATTTCATTGTTTGCCCAAAAAGCGGAGAGGAAGAAGCGTTGCTTTTCGAGTCGTAATAAACGTTTTGTGTTTTTTTCGCTCTTTTTCTTTCCCTGTGCGTGTGCTTTTAGGTGAAAATGGCTGGTACGTACGGTTGGTCAGCAATGAAAAATCATAGTCATAGTTCAAGTGTTTTTCATCACTTGAATCGTCGCCCTTTGTTTGGAGCAGACGTGGTGCAGCCATATCTCATTAACAGCTCAAAAGGTATGTTTGACAAATTATTGCTTACTTAATTTTTATCAACATACGTGCTCGTTGTTAAATATTAGGCATGTCAATAGGAAAGAAACACAAGTGAATTCCGAAACAAACAATTACTGATAAAGTTTATCAACGTTTTCAAGTTGATGAAGTAACTTCAATGAAGTTCACAGTTTTCACGTGATTCTGTCTATAAATACCATAAATGCGTTGACTTTTTCATTAAATGAGTTTATTCCTACAAAAATAACATACACACTTGATGGGTATCAATGACATTGATATGATTGGTGGCACTTCCGCAACGGAATACCTGCAATTTTAATTACAAAATTGACGACGACGACGACGCCTCGTCATTAAAATTGATAATTTAATTTGAAGAGTAAATGAAAAGGCCTCCCGCAAATCAGTCAACGTAACACGCTCGTGGTGACTTGATTTCAGTGCTCTTTCTCCCAGCTGAAAGAATATCATGTGTCTAGGAATTGGAAGGTATCCAACAAGTGTGCCCGTCAAAAAAAACCAACAATGTAATGAAACGCATAACAACACAAAAACAAAAATTGTCTCCAACATAGAGCCGCATTGTTTGCATTGATCACTCTTCTCTCTTTGCAAACGAGTCTCATTTCCTTATAATAAAACCGTTTTTATTGCGTAAATATCGTAACACACAAAACACTCAATTGTGCTAAAAATAAACTCATGATCTAAGGCTTTGCAATTGTAAGCATTCAAGGTGGCGTGCATGCCGTGAGCTATGCAGACCATATTTTTAATGAACAAGATGAAAACGTTTGTCGAATCGTATTCATATATGTTATTACAATCACAATATATAGGTCATTTGTGATATGAACAACGTAATCACTTTCATTTGTTTACTCAACTCTCGGCGTGGATGAAATAACAAAATCACGTGAACATTATTTGCTTTTCTATTTCCATTTATCTATTCTTCTTCTTTTTCGATTAAAAACAGACAGTTTGAGTTATCTACAAAGTCTCGACTTGTACAAACGACTAAAAGTACACAAAGGATGCGTAAATACGGTGTCATGGAACGATAAAGGTCAATATTTACTGTCCGGCTCCGATGACCAAACGATTGTCGTTACAAATCCATTCAACGGGCAGGTCCTCGTGCAATACAGTACGGCACATCGGGCGAATATCTTCAGGTAAATACCCTATCTCGACCGATATTGATTGAATAACATTTTGACATTTGATTTTTTTTTCTCGCTTCAGTGCAAAATTTCTGCCGCAATCGGGTGACCGTGGTATTGTGAGCTGTTCCGGCGATGGAATTGTACTGTACACAGAACTGACAACTGCTGCGTCGAAGAAATATGCTCAGAAATCATCGGGATCGAGTTCACCGCATAGACATGGAAGCGATGCCAACGATGCTAATCTGAACTACTTTAATTGCCACAGCAGTGGAACCACGTATGAAGTATTAACTGTACCGACTGAACCGAATTCTTTCATGAGGTACGAACATATCATGCATACTTAGCAATTGCTCCATTTACAATTATATTTGCCATTCGAAAAAGAGTCGTTTCAACGATGAAATGAACCAAATTCAGAATACTAATCTTCTTTGTCTCTCTCGATTGCCACAGCTGCGGCGAGGATGGAACGGTGCGACTATTTGATCTCCGACAAATATCACGTTGTCACAAAACTTGTTGCAAAGACAACATTCTGATTTTAAGCCCATCGGCTGTAACATCCATGTGTATCTCGCCATTGTCAAACAATTACATTGCAATTGGAAGGTAAAATCAAGTCATCAATAGTTTCTTCATTGAATTTCTTGAAAACTAATGCTAAAATCTTATGTAAATTGCAGCTCGGACTCAATAATTCGTATATATGATCGTCGATTTTTGGCTTTGGTTGACTTTACGGTGCCTGGTTCACCGTCGGATAGACACACGGTTCCTGTGAAGGCATTCACAATACCCTCGTATGAGAAGAGACCGTTCCGAGTGACATCGGTAACATTTAGTCAAGACGAATGTGAGCTCCTTGTTAGCTACTCATCGGATCATTTGTATCTGTTTAACATTTTGAAGGATGTAAGTTGCTCCTTTTCCTCGTGTTTTATCCGCATTTCCAAGTATAAAAATTTGAGAAAAACTCTTTCATTCTCCCAGGGTATTGACGTTCGTCACTCAATGGTTGAAAAGTGTAAGCGATCGAAGAGTACATCTCAACAAAGTGTAGATTCTCCGCCGCCAGTTCGCCGTCTCCGATTGCGTGGCGATTGGAGTGATACCGGCCCTGATGCACGACCAGAACGGGAAACAGCACGTTTGAATAATTTGGGCCAAGCTCGGCCACAACTCCAAGCCACCATAATGCATCGAATGACTGAGGTTTTGTCTCGCATGTTGGCCGATCCTCGAACGCGAATTGGACTTAATTCGCATAGTAATGAAATAATGCACGAAGGTGACATAACAAATACGGTGCAATTGGAAAACTTGTTTGGAGCAGCTCATCAATCGAGCAACCCAGTTGCGCATAATGCACCCGCAACAGCTCCGGCTACAACAAATTCAAGTCCGACACCAAAGAGTCGACGGAATTCAACGGCTGGACCATCGGGACTGTCGAGTCACGGGAAACAACCGCGAAACATGTCATTCGAACGAAAGTCAAGAGTGCACGATTCAGACGATGACAGTGACGATGATAGCGGCAGTCGCGAAAGTAATAACACATCACCAACGGCCGTAATCGAACAAGAGATTGAAAATGCAGTCAACGAATCTGTCACAGATGATGAACTGAAAGAGATCGTTTTCGATTACCTGCAAATGAAGTATATGGGCCATCGTAATGCTCGAACAATGATCAAAGAGGCAACATTCTGGGGCAATGACTATGTCATGTCTGGATCAGATTGCGGCCACGTATTTGTATGGAATCGCAAAACGGGCGAATTAGTGATGCTACTCGAAGCCGATCAACATGTTGTCAACTGTCTACAACCGCATCCAACATTACCCTATTTGGTAAATATTCCAACATTTATGCAAGATATATTTTTATTAATACTTTTTTTTTCTTTCTAGGCGACATCGGGCATCGATTATGATATCAAACTGTTTGCGCCCGTTAGTCAATACGACGACGATGAAGATCATTGCCGTTTCGATAAGGAAAAAGCACTTGACGTAAGTTGATTGGCGAGTAAACACGCACGTGTTTGTCTGGTTTTATGATTGATTCAATTAAGCCCATTAACTTTATATGATTTAATGATTGGGGTTTGTTTTCATTCGACTATTTGCTTTGCTCTGATTTTCCTCATTACAGTTGATGAATCGTAACGCTGTGATGTTGGAGGAGACCAAAGATACAATAACGGTTCCGGCGGCATTTATGATTCGAATGCTGGCCTGTATTCATTCGCTGCGGAATCGAACGCGTCCACCAGCTACTGGCAGCACGAACAGTGGTGGCAACAACAGCAGCGCCAGTGTATCCACATCGAATAGCAATGTCAGCAATAATCCAAATCAATTGTGCAACGATGCACCAACATCGTTTGAGCCATCTTCATCCAGCATTAACGACGCATCGGACAATAATAACTCAATAGACAACGACGATAATGAGGATGACGCAGATGATTAATTAATGAAAAACAAAATAACCGAAACCAAAGCGCGTTTTCTGCCTTTTCAACAAGAACAAAATTTTATCGTTTTTTTTTATTCTAAGAATTTAGTTTGTAAAAATTCTTTAACTCATTCAATTGAACAAAGAAAAAAACTATGTATAACAAATGGACTGACCGACTCACTCATTACAGTTGGTGCTTCAATCGAGCGCGAGATTGATCCAATGAACTTCCTATGAAATTTCATTGTATATTTTATCTAATCATTCGTATTTATTTGAATTATTTCTAGTAAAAAAAACCTCTGCATGAGAGATTGAAAATGAGATTTGAACAGAAAAAAATTACACAGCAGAAATACAACGCAAGACATATATATATAAATATTTTGTATACAACACACAATTGCCATGATTCTTCCGATAGCTTTCCCTAGTAGCTTTTCAAATGTATAAATGGGCACAATATTTCGAAATGAGATACAACACAAACATTTCAATGTCACTTTTCACACAAACCTTCTACTTCTTTCGTCTGCAAACCTAAGCTAAATAATAATGTCAAAAGAAAATTGTTCTTTTTTTCCTGCAACTCATTCAGCAATACAACAGAAATCAAATTTTAAACAAAATATACATTTCTCAAATGAATCAAAAGACAATTGGTTTTGTGGTTTTTATTCTCTTGATTTCCATTTATTATTGTTCAATGTTTTTGGTTTAAAACAATACGTCTAAATATATAATTTATATGATGTGTATATGTATATATATATATGTATCAGAATAGTACGGTGTGACAGCCAACATCAATTTGCACCATGGGCGTGACATGCAGCCACATGGGTACAGCGCCCGTGTACTTCGTAGTGGAAAAAAAGTGAAGCTTGCTTGTCACCAATATTGATGTTCACGAACATCAAATTGTTTATGCGTTATTTCGCCCACTTTATGCACTGGAAATAAAAAGTTCTTCAATTTCTAGCAAATTTCACATATGAATTCATAAACACATCGAGAAAACACAACTATTTTTTCACATAAAAAGCATAAGCAAGATGATTTTTTCGTTGATGGTTGTTCGATCCTGGATCGTTTGTGATTCATCAACGATTTGCAACACATCCATTTTTGATTTCGATATTCCAACTGAATACGATGTTTTGTATTCATTAAACAATTCCATTTTGATCAGAAAATAATTTTTTATTGAAATGGCTGTGACGAAAAACCACGCGAACGATTGCAAACGATAGCACAAACATTAATGTCTAGGAACATCAAATTCGAATTGACATTATTGTCAAAGCGAATTCATCGGGAAACACTGACTTGAAGTTCGACACAAATGTCAAATTAATTCGCCGATGTGAAGCAACAAAACAAAATAAATAAAAATACAAGCAAACAAACATTTTGTGTTGATCTAATCTGCAAGTTTTATATTTTTCCAGAATAAAAACGGTAATTTTTTTGTATTTTATTGTTTCATTCCAAATAAAATCTCTATTGTGATTTTTAAGTATACATTTATAAAAGATATCTTCAAAAATCAACTTTGAATGTAATATAATTTGTTATTGGCGACAAACAATTAATCGAACGCATTTAATCGAACATAAAATAATTTTCAGCCTGCCGGTTTGCTGATGTTCCCCGAATCGACCGACGAAGTGCCCAGTGCCCACCACCGATGTCGAAGAAGACAAACTAATTTTCGTGATAATTTAAATTTTGCCATTCAACATTCCAATAAGGGCAAACGCAGTGTAATCGAAAAACATTTGGAAGGCATCAAGCATTGGGGCCTAAATCGACATGACAAAATCAATCAACCGTCCCATTGTATTGCGAAATCGACGCCAAAGGAAGAAATTGAATGATAAAATCATTAATCTTCCGTATTTGATGTTCCTAGACATTAATGTTTGTGCTATCGTTTGCAATCGTTCGCGTGGTTTTTCGTCATAGCCATTTTAATAAAAAATTATTTTGTGATCAAAATGGAATTGTTTAATGAATACAAAACATCGTATTCAGTTGGAATATCGAAATCAAAAATGGATGTGTTGCAAATCATTAATGAATCACAAACGATCCAGGATCGAACAACCATCAACGAAATCATCTTGCTTTTGCTTTTTATGTGAAAAAAAGTTGTGTTTTCTCGATGTGTTTATGAATTCATATGTGAAATTTGCTAGAAATTGAAGAACTTTTCATTTCCAGTTCATAAAATGGGCGAAATAACGCATAAACAATTTGATGTTCGTGAACATCAATATTGGTGACAAGCAAGCTTCACTTTTTTTCCACTACGAAGTACACGGGCGCTGCTTGTACGAAATTCCGTTTGTATGAAGCATGTCACGCCGATGATTTGCACATACATAAACGGGCTTTGTTTTATTTTCATTCTAAATTTCTTTTATATCATAAACTTTGTCTTTACATTGTCTCGGGGATGCTATTTCATTTCTCTGTATTTGGAGCAACTAAGTTTTTTTTTGTGTGTTCATCATCAAGATTGGGTGATTGTTGTTTTTTGTTGTTGTTGTTTGCTCGTCTAAATATTAAACAGGGTAAATTCACTAGATATTGCTTTTATGTATGTTGGTTTTTTTGTCTGTGTTTGTGTGCTAGAGACACATCTAACTCTAAATGTTGGTTTCAGTGGCTTACCATTGCTGAGGGTATAAAGTGTTCACCATTGTTTAAAGTATAAACGCGAGACTAAGCATTCGGCAACATTATCATAAGTAAGATCGGGCTTTCGTTTAAATTGAAAGCGTACACCACCATCGAGCATCACTTCATCACGGCATTCCGCGCGTACGATCAATTCCTCGCCATCCTCCAATTCCCAGGTGCTTTCCATTTCATATAATTGAAATGGTTGAATGATAATTGGCTTCGACAACTGGATTTTGGTCGATGAGCCACTTGATATGGTGATTTCTTGCTGTAAAATCACATCCGGTTCAGTGCTACTGCCCTCTTCTTGGCTACCTCTTGACACAGATGTTGCATTTTCTGGATTTTGGCCCGCACTCTCGTTCAATTTTCGCACCGTCAATTCCCCTTTTCGCATAATTGCATCTCCTCCATCGTGTAAAGCTTTGAAACTGCTGATAGCGATTTGCCCCACTAGAATTCGCTCGTTCACGGAAAATATCACAATGTCTTGTCGCAAATCGGCCGCTGGCCTGCACAGATTTGGCAACGTTCTTCTGTCACATATTTGAATTAAATCGTCTGTTATCCAGGCTGGAATGCCTTTGCGGGCTGTTTGCTCAAAACGAGTGGCCACCTGCAGTGGTCGATGTGTTGTCAAATATGACAAAATATCCATGATTTCGTTAGATGTGAGTAGATTCTCCTTATCCGCGATACAAGTGTAAAAATCTTCGGCTGACATTGCGGGAAAGCGAATTTTTTCAAAGCAATGACCGAGTTGTTGTTTTAAATTTTCAGCATTGTTCTCATCGATGCCAGCCCGTTTGCACGACTCCTGTGCCCACAGCATTGTCGCTTGAAATATGTGAATTTCATCACAACTCAAACTGTCCATCAGTAAAATTCGGCCGAGTATATGACGGCTGCAATTTAAAAATGAACTGGATTCCAGTACTTTTTGGGTTTCCGAACAAATCTTCTCTTCGCACACACCAATCAAATGCGCTAAATCGAATAGCAGCGCCAACTCGTAGCACCAGCATACATTTTGCGTGGACAGGGTCAGCGTCAAGTATCTTGTGCACAATTCCATGCAACCAGTTACATCATATTTATCGGCCAGTTTCATTACTTCGGCAATCTCGCTGCTGTTATAAGTCACAACCTCCTTGTAGAAGTATGCAAGAAATGCAATGAAGCCATCGATTGAAACGTCAACAATTGGAATTTCCGTGCCTTCTTTTAGCTCACCGAAAAACATTCGCTTGAACACTGGGCTACCTGCTGCGAGTAAATTTCGATGGGCCACAACACATTCGATATGCTCACCATTTTCAAAAATAAACTTTACATCAGCTGTTTCTTCATCCAAATATAATTTGCCAACATTTGTTAATAATTTATAATTTCGTTCGGATCGTTCACTCTCAGACATTTTGATTCGTAATAAAATTGATTTTACTTTTCGCACACACCAAAAATACCCATTAAGACGCAATAAACAAAAATAGCACCTGAATTAGACTGGAATGTGTGTTTGTAAATATAGATTATTTTACTGTGTTGCACACTCAACACTTTGCTGGAGAATACTTCTTATTTTTTCCCTCGATATAGACTTGTCACATGATTTTATAATATGTAAACAAAGCGCAGCCGCACATCACATCGCACGCGAATTTCGTGTGTGAATGACACTTTATGACGTATTTTGAACGCGAAACAATAGCGGATAGTGAACGTTATCGAACGTACTACGTAATTTGATGAAATGGAAAATTTCAATTCGATGACATTCAAACAGAGTTGTAATTTTGCTGAAACAAATGAATTTTATTGATACTCGGAATGTTTTCTGCACTTTGAAATGGGCCATAAAAGTAAAAATGAAGACAAAACAATTTTTATTTCTTCAATAAATACTCAGACTTAGTGGGAGTGTTCAATAATTAACATTTAAAATGCAAAATAACGAGTGAATGAGCAATTGAAAAAGATTTGTTTTTTTTTGCTATAGCAAAAGATATTTTCTATAGAAACTACCGGCGCCCCATAAATTTCATAAATAGTTTTCGTGTCTCAAAACTAACAATTTATGCATAATTCGTTTAGTGTATCGCTCATTGATTTTCCCATGGTTTTCTTCGTATTCGAAAAGAATGCTACTTAATCTCAAGGGCATATTCAGTCTATTTACGACATCGTCTCCCAGTCCTTCTTGGAAAACTAATGCTCCGTAGCATATACAATGGAAACAAATACTTGTTTATGCTCAAATCAATCACTGCTCTTTTCCACAAAATCGACAGAGACACTGAAATCCTAGGAAGTGATTATTTTTCGTCGAATTATGAATATTAACTTGAACGAATTTTAATATTCAATCGGAGTATTTGGAACATGTATTTAATAGAGATACAGAGACGGTGATAAAACGAGCGATAGAAACAGAGGAAAAGAAATAAGAACCTTAAAGACATTTTCCCTAAAGACTGAAAGTTTCTCTTCCAATCATATACTTTCAATTTTCTCCAGCATGTGATAGAAAGGAGATCATAGAAAATCATCGTAATTTGAATGAATGCAATTTAACAAACTGGTGCAACTTGCGGAAACAAGTGTTGCGGAAATCCCAATGCGATGTGGTGTAAAATTACATGATTACATCACCCACAGGAATGAAAGGTTCTATTTCTTTGGGCGAAAAAAAGAAGAAAAAAAAACAATTGAGATAGATACGTGATTTAAATTGTCCAGTGGTTTAAAACCAGACACGTTTGCACAATTCTAATCATTAAAACCATCGAAAATAGCCCGAAGGAAAACAACAACAGAACGCAGTCAGAACAGCAATGCTATCTTTGAAACTGAGATTGTTATTTTTCTCTGTTTCTGTTTCCATTTCGTTTATTATTTCAAGGGAAAGTTTTACGGTCATTTGAAACAAACCAAAAATGGATATAGAATAACATTAGGTAGATGGGTGCATAAATTCTGCACACTGCACCGTAGACAGAAAGCAGGTACAATTTCAGCACAAAAGTACTTGTGCATTGTATACAATTTCATAGATAATAAAAAAAATTTATGAAGTGATTGAGAGCATAAATGTTGAAGGCAAAGCTGGAACCCACAAGACAGTGTCTACCTGAGCGAAGATAATTATCTCTATGGTGCATATGGCTCGTATTACCTATTTATACGGTGTTATTCGAGTAAATGTTCCAAAAATTCTGACGTGATGAAGGATTTTATTGCACGATCTTTATCTTTGGGTTGTCGATGTTTGAATAGGCTGACCATCTCGGTTTCCAAAGTTCATCGTTTATCATTAAAATTCAAAAAATGTCTTCCTGTAAACAGATAGATCTCAACTGTGGAGAGTGAAAAAAACAACAACCAACAAATCATCGATTCAACAATGAGGATAAGAAAAAGAACATTGATATTTAGGTATAGGTTTCGAATAAACATTGTTCGGTTTTTTTTATTGAAACTTTGATTACGCATTTTATAAAATAAATCGTTTTTTTTTTGATAAAATTACACGATGCATATATATATTCACATTAAAATAATTTATGTACAGAGGTTAACTGGTGCATACAGAGTTGCGCGCTATTACATGTTACTTATTGTTTTTATTTTCTTCTTTTTTTATTGTTATTGCCACATCGCGGTATCGAATGTCATTTTCAAAATGTTCGCTTCTCAAAAAGTCATTCATGAAAATGAACGATGAATAGCTTAAAAAATGGTTCAGTCTCTGGATTTTGTTTTCTCTTCACGATGGGAAAAACAAAGTGACCACTTGACTCAAGTCTTTTTCTTCATTTTGTTTGTATTTTTATAGTGAGTGAGAATAATTTGACTACTTATTAAAAATATGAATAGCAGTCGAAGTTGGCAGTTGCGAGAGCCCGTGAATCGATTAGTATGTCATTTCCAATGTAACTTCCTACAGCTAAAACTAAATCTAACTGGTTGCCAGTTATACGTGTGTGTTCAATAGATCGAATAAATGTATATAGCGCTCCATTATCATAGACACAACTTTTAAATACTTGTAAAACATATTAAATATAATATCATACAAATAGCCTAACTTATGTGATTTTCTTCTTTTGATCCGACTGCTTAAAATGTTTCGCATTTTGTATATTGTATTATTATTGTATTGGCGGTATATTTTTGTTTGTTTGTTATGATTATAGTCTTTCAGGCATTTAAATTATTGGCATGCAATTGCTTTAGACTTATTGAAAAATAAATGAAAGAAAAACACTTGAACGATGATTATCTTGAATTGAATTCACTTGGAACTCCTCTTCAAATATACCATCAAAAGTAGTTTCGATATTTAAATTCGGTTCGAATTATTAATGGTTTTCAATTGGTACAAGTTGGTTGTTTTTAAAAAGTCTTTCTCACAATCGCTCTGTGAATATAAGCACTTATGACTTCTACTTATGAGTATACATGACTGTTTTCCAACACGAAAATAACACAACATTTACGAATTAACATCATATGCAACAAAAAAAAACCTAAAATAACCCAACCAAATGAACGAATTTAAATGTATCGCGTCAATTGAGTGTGGAAATCTTGTAAACACACTTGCAGCTGCCCGAATGATGGTCGTTCAAGTGGTGACAATGCCCAGCAATATGCCATAATTGCGAATCTGGAAAAGAAAAACAAAAAGCGATTTATTAGACGAATCGTTATTTATTAATCTAATGAGGATATTTGGCATCTCGGACGATTTTTCTTTCAATTTCCAATAGAAATTGGTGAATTGAAATTGAAACCGAATGAAATTTCGTTGAAAGATTTCATTTCGACACTTACAATTCATCGGGGCAATTCACTGGTTGAGCTAATCGATAGCCTTCGGACAAAAACTGTTCCATATCATCATTGACAATCTCTTGATATGGCTGTCTCGCCAGGGTACACAATTCCCAGAGAAGAACACCAAACGCCCATGTATCCGATGCCTCGGAGTAACTGTTCTTCTGCAGTGTTTCCAATGCCAACCATTTGATTGGCCGGTTTTCCATATCGCCCAAACAGCTGTAGTCTTCTGGGAATAGATCTCGGGCAAGCGAACTATCGGCCAATTTCACTTGAAGCTGTTCATCAATACTGAAATTTGAGATGAACAAAAATCGAGATTAATGCTTTTGGTCAGAACCAATTTACATTCATGTTCAAAATGAACGTTTTTTTTGTGTCCAAATTCAATCTCTTTTGTTCCAATTTAGAAAATAATTGGAATAATTTGAATGAATCCAAAAATGTTCTATCCACTTATATTGTTGAAATCGACGATCTAAAAACACATCATTAATTTTAATTGAATACTTACACGCAATTCCGCGCAGCAACATCTCTATGCACAACGGCATGGCTATGCAAATGGCCAAGGGCAAGTGCTAATTGGTATGACATCATGACAATTTGGATTGTGGTTAGCGTACGTGAGGATGGTTCTTGAAGGAATAGCTTAAGGTTCTTAGTGCCACTCGATGCAGCGTACAAAAGGAATGGCGTTGAGATATCATCAATGGAAACTCCGAGCAAAGACAGAATAGCTGGATGCGATGCACCATACAAACTCATGCCCTCTTGCAACAGCAGGCTGACTTGATTTTCGTTTGCGTGTTGAGCTACCGTTTTCACTAGAACATCTTGCACATCGTTGTAAGTGCCGCGGAAAACCCGGCCAAAGTTGCCCTCTTGTAATAAATTCGACAAGCGTACTCGATACCGTTTGATAGTAAGCAATTCCTTTGAATCGGCCGTATTTGTGGCGGCACGTTCGTTGATGCGTTCGCTACGTGGCAGTGTTGAGGTTGGAGCTGGGGGAAAAACAATTGATGGCGGCGCAGACGGTGGATGGGTTTGTAATCGTTGAAAGCTTGATGTACGAAGCGGTTGACTGTGTCCGCCTCGTTTGGTTGGGCTTCGGGCACAGTATGCGATTGAAATTAAAATGAGCACCAACATCAATGCCAACACACCTCCAATGATCAATGTCAATAGACCCGTTGTTTCGACAGCTGACATCGCTTCCAGTAGCAATGGATCATCCAGGCTGTTGCTCGTTTTTTCAACATTTTCACTGTACGACGCAAAAAAAGCGAACCGAAAAAAGGCAAAAAAAAGACGTGCAATAAGTCAAAAAGGTAAAATTGATATTTGGATTGGAAAAAGGTTGTATATCCTGCGGCAAAGCACACTTACACAAGCAAACAGATTTTCTTGCGCCGAAACACTAATTCGGTAACATTGTTAGAGGCTCGATTAAGCGTGACTTCAATCGTAATCGTAACATCGACCTCAGCCGATCGCAGTCCACTGCACTGCATATCAATCGAAAAGGTTTCAATTTCCACTGGGATGTTTCCACTTCGTGAGATATTCAGCGTTGGTCGAGGTAGAACCGCCAAATCCGATGACTCAATGTTCACATTGTACGGTAACTAAACGAAGAAAAAAAAACATGAAACATGAGAATAAAAGGAAAAATTCAATCAATTAAAAAAAAATTGACATTTCAAGCTGACGAATTATCTTAATCCTCGAAGAAACCTCAATCAAGCTTGTCAAAAGCAATCAAAACGTACAAAATATCGGTGGAAAAGAGAATCCAAAAAATTTCTCACAATCAATATCACGGTGCACAGGAGAGCAGAAATCTTGGAAATGTTCTCTCTCTCTCTCTCTCTCTTGCTCGCTCTTTTCATCTCAAAAAGGCAATTTATCTTCATCATTCGGATACATTTTAAATTAACTGTTTGATAAATGCATTCGATTTGCCCCATGAGAGCACACTCTCGCTGCTCTGATTTATTGTGGTAAAGTGGTCGTTGTATTCGATTAAGTGAAACACTTAAAAGATTTGTCTTGCATATGGTGTACAGTGTGTAGTACAGTACGCATATGTGTCGTGTTCATGTACGTTAAAATATACGTTATGTGCACGGTGTGTGTATATGAATTCAGTGCAAAAGACACATTGTAACACGGTAAAATAGTCTCCAGTGTACGGTTTCAGTGCTGCTCCATAAAATGAATGGATATGTGTATTTTATGTCAGCACAATGAATTGGCAATGGGTGCGAGACACTCGATGAATTGGTGCGATATGCGCGGACTTTACCGACTTTACCGATTGAGGATGCGAAGAAGTGTATTGATTTATTATTGAAGAAAATGCAATTATATTTACCGGTCTTCCTGCTAAACTTTGCCATGTAAACGTAATGTCGTGTATATTGGCTGGTACCGGAACCGTGAAATGCAGGGCATATTCATTGACTAAGCCATCTCGAACGTAATAAAGTTCCGCCGATAAACCTGTAAATAAATAAAATGCATAGTTAGATTTTGATGGTTTGGCTAATGTATGTTCGGAATATAAAGCAATACAGCGTCGTCGACGACGACAACAACAACGAGGAAAATGGTCTATAATTTGTATTTTATGATGATCAAACGAAAGCAAACGGGTGATGGGTGATGATTTGTACATACATATATATCGACAAATGCAAACGTGCACACCTCATCGGAAAATCTGTATGAGTATGAGTCATAATGCCGTTTGCCATGTACGATGTACGTACTGTATGATAACGCAAAAAGGCAACCCCTCTTTTCCACCATCCAAGTCGAAAGCAATACAAAATTGTCGCCATGAATAAAAGAACAAGCATTTATTTGCTCGTCACAAGCGCAACTACTATCTGGAATCTACTCCAGTTTGAGAGAAAAGGGATTTTCAACTACTTGCTGCCGGAGCCGAGGCCGAGACCGGGTCGTGCATAAAGCCGTATTTGTCGACTTTAATGCCTAATAACAACATAGAAAATTATCGCAGTTTAAAATCTGAATACTAATTCCCATCGTCGTCATTTCGGTCGGGAAACTGCTGAACAGTAAAAATGTGAATTATGGCATTATTATGCTCCACACTTGATTTTATTCACCGCCACCGCACCACACCACATCATACCGCCACACCAGCCATTTTTCCATGGGATTTTATATTTGAAAATTGTTTCAAGTACTTTCCTTAATTAAGTTTTATGAGATTCTCGAACCAATTAAATTAGACTCCGTTTGTAACGGCAATTTTTTTTAATTCTTAATTTTCGCTGCATTGCAATGCGCATTGGAATTGTTTCACTCACACACGCACACCGATTCGAATAAATAAATTGGTCGTGGATCATTTCGGCGCTTGATGCATGAATTGCGTTTAAGCGATGCGTAACAGAGAGTGAGCGACTGGAGATTCAAAATCTTTGTTTGTTGATCAAAATGTCAATGTTTTCATTTGTTAGTTCGTTATTTTTGTTCGTATTTTTTTTCTATTATCTATGCACAGTTCTGGCATTTTTCTGTTGTTGTTGGGCTCGTTTTGTTGTGTGGCTTCCCGCAGCGAGCCTGAGCAAAGACAACAGGCGGAGAGAGCACAGCGGAGTTCTGCCGGTTCAAACTTTGCCTCTTTTACCTGCGGGTTAATGTTACGATGTCACAGCGCGTATTACAAAATGCATGTTTCAGTGGTATTATCACTAAGCCCCACACATAAACGCATTTGTTCAGATCTGTGTTGGAATTAGTCAGGGAAAAACGATTCAATCTAAATGATATTTCGTTGGAAAATAAAGTGGAAACATTAATTTTCAGTTGAGTTGAAGCTTGCGTTTTAAATCAGCAGCGGCAGCAGCAGACGCAGCAGCAGAGACTAATACGAGAGCAACAGCAACACCGGCGATTGTCGACATAGACCGCGACAAAACCGACAGGCGCTGGCAGACGAAGAATAAATTAAACCCAATTTGTGCGCTGTGTGGAAAAGTTTCACTCGCTACTCTCAACTTTAATGAAAGCAATTTTCAGTTAATTGAAAAATGCTCGTGAGCCGGGCTTAAAAACATACAAATGCCAATTTTCGAGTGAGAGAGAGAGAGAAACGAAAGAGACACATCGAGCCAGCACATCAGCAGCAGCAGCACGAAGAAGATTTTCCGTTGTGTTATATTGCGTTTTTTTTCTGTTTGTTTTGATTGTTAGGCTTCAAGCGTAAACATGTTAAAAACGTATATCATAAGATCGAACATTAAAACGCTCTTTTCGGAATAAATTAATTGTTGGCAACGTTTCATCATCAGCATCTTTTGTGGCTTAATTTTTGCCCTTTGGATGCTTGCATTGCAGTTCGTCTTTATCGTTTGCCTATCTGTTCGTCGTCGTATGTTGTTTTTTTTGCTCGTTTGCTTGCTTACAGCTCGTCATCGCTAATGTATTCCATCATGTCAAAATATTTGTTCGAAGTGAATAAAAAAAAACCACTGACAAGATCGAGAGAGAGAGCGAGGATGAGGAATGAAGAGCGAAAAATAGAGCTGAAAAATCAATAAACATTTGCTCATCATCATCATCATAATCGATTGCAAATGCTCGATTTGGTCTGCATATTATTATTTAAGGGCCGAGGCAAAATGAAAGACGAAGGCAAAAAAAAATATATGATGGAATGAAGAAGTACTCATTGATTTTCGAGATGGATGATTCAAAAAGGAAACGTTTGTGTTGTTGTTTGATTTGGGTGTTTTTGTTGTTGAAAGGCGAGTTTAAGCAGAATCAAAATACAAAAACGATTCGAAAGAGAAAAAAAAGAAGTTGCATTTCATGCTTAACACTTGAATTGATTGGCAGTTAAGAGTCTCACTGCACAAGCAACGATGGTGTGTGTGCACACGGAATATCGTTACAATCATTATCATATATCGTGAATCGAACTACATGTATGCACCGATTGCCTCGTTAGCTCCAAAAGGGAAGTGGAAACATATTGTGCATTGTATTAACCAACAACAACAACAGCAACGAAAATGAAAAAAAAGAAACAATTAATTGTCTGAAACGAGGAGAGAGAAAAAAAAAACATTGTAAGTCGACCAACAAGCGATCGAATCTCGTTACAAAGCATTTTGTCCATTTTGGATTTGAAATGCACATATTTATATACGAAGCGATCATTTCGTGGATGCGTTAAATTAAATAAATTTGTATCGGGTTAAGGAAAAAAAATTGAGTAACAACAAGCAAAGGCAAAGACGAAGAGAAAAAAAACAACCAAACAGAACACGACTGGAAAAAAAAACGAAGAAGAAGAAAAAAACACGGACTCTCTGTAACTAGACCTGTTTTCGAAATTTGGTTTTCTCTCCTTAAGTACATGTACCGATGCAAGAATGACTGTGCATACAAACGAGCCACATTCGAGACCATCGAGCACGTTGTTGTTTACATAACGATTTTGTCAGAATGAATATATCGTGTGTACACACAATACATCGTAAATGAGATTTAAAGTTGGCAGAAGAAGAAAAAAAAATTCGACCAAGACGAATGACGAGAGAGTTGAAAAAAAAGAGTTTCTTTCTTCCTCTTCAAGAAGAAATAAAAATGTTGAAGCACAGACGACGACAACGACGACGACGTATGATGCATTTCTCTATCTTGGATTTATAAACACATCTATCTCTAAACGAGGTAAAACAAATAACTTATGTTCGAACACCGTACAAATCGGCTGTCACAATGGCATAAACGTATGCGATACTCATCAAAAGTGTATCTGTGTGTTCAGGTTGCTAACCAAAATAAAACAATTTATCTAAAACTGAAGGTGAATGATGATGAACAGGAGAGGGAAAGCGACAGAGACGTTGCGCCGAGCAACGAGGAGGCATCGAAGCAGCGTGTTGCCTTTAGTCAGTCAAAGTCAAGACACACTTGGCTGTCATGAAGTGGCTGGCTGTGGCTCGTTTGATGGGCGCGAATGAGAGGCAAAAGGGAAGAATAAGCAAATAAAAACCAACAATAATATTTATTATCGTCGTAATTTTTCAAATCGATTCTGTAGTGAAAATAAATTTTATTCAAATTTCAAGGAAAGATTTATGAACAAATAATCAACAACAGAGAGAAAAAAAAGCGAACGAGAAGAAAATTACGAAAGAGGAGCGAGCGAAAGAAAGAAATAATAATAAAAAAATGCCACAGAAAGTTTAAGAACGACATATACGCACACCGGGCCATTCGTTGATCGATTGGATTGGATTGAAGAGTGAGAGAAAGGAGAGACGGAGCAGAGAGAGAGAGAGAGAGAGAGAGAGAGAGAGAAGGCGAGAGAAAACAAAACCAAAACCAGAACGAGACGAAAAAGAATGAAAAAAAATTAAAAACACGTACGATGTTATGTGAGTTACCTCTCTACGTCCTACATATCGAAAGCATACTAAAAATTGGTGGAAATAAAAATAACTCACAGAACACAGTATGTACACATAATAAACACAATATTGCATCTCTCGACGTCTTGATGTGGTGTAGTTTAGTGCATGATGAAGAGCGCAGTAGACGACAAATAAATTGAGAAGGATGGATATGCACACAAGGAACATGCAACAAGAAAACAAAATAATAAAAACAACCAAGAATGAATAACAGTAAGAACAGCTAAACTTTGTGTTGTGTTCTGTTGTGTGCTTTTTTTTTCTTCTACTAAATGAGAGAAAAACAAAATGCACACTTTGAATGCTTGCTGAACGCAGTGCGCGCCAAGCGCTCACACTCACGGAAAATATGCGTGCTGCTCATTTGCACCAAAGATTGGATAGATAGCAATGGCATTTTGTGCATACATGAATGTGAATATGGTAAAAAGAAATTCTAAAATGTGGAATATGCATTGTGCCCGGCTGCTGCCGATGCTGCTGATAATGATGCAGCACTGCTCTTCTCACTGTACCCACATAGTCTGTACTGTTGTGCAGTGTGTGTGTGTGTGTGTGTGTGTTGTGTTGTTCTTGTGTTGATTCGAAAATGTGCATGCAGCTTGTTATTTTATTTTTCGTTTGTTTCTGTTCATTCGTTCATTTGCTTGTTGGCTTGTTTCGTTTGGTATGGTCGTGCATTGAGGCTCTGAATGCTATATCGTTAACTTGTTCGAATCATTTCCCGCTGATTGAGTATTTCTTCAGTTTTTGTTCATTCTTCACCTCCTCCTCTTTTTCTTCTTTCTTCTTCTGGGCTTGCTCGTTCTCTCTCTTCTACTGTGTGTGCATGTGCAAAAGACATATTCGAGCCTTCTTTGTCCTGCTCATTCTATAGATTGCCTTTGGACGTGCTCGTTTTCGTTCTTATTTTTCTGCTTCTTTTTTTTTTCTTCCATCATTTCTCAGTTCGATCATGTCTCGTTGTTATTTCTTATGCACACTCTCTTGTGTGTGTATATACGGTGCTTTTTTTTCTCTCTTCATTCGTTCGCTCGTTCGTTTCGTTGTAAACTGCTCTCGTTAGATGATTTATGATACGGTTCACAAGCCATAAAAATACAAATAAAAAAAATATCGTATGTACTTTGGTGTGTACATTGGGAGCATTGCTTGCATTGGCAATTTGGTCGTGTCTGCATTGCCTTGTTTTGTATATTACCAGCTCATTTCGTCGTTCTTAACTTGGAAATTATCGAATATGCGCGCTGTGATATGCATTCGCGCGACATGCACTACCGTATGCTTTTCGTAATGCCAAACACACACACACACACGGTACACGGGGAGAGAGAGAAATGCTAAGCAGAATCATGAGCTTGTGCGCGATTCCAAGTGAAAAGAATAAGAAGAAAAAAAACATTTAGCCCTCGGAAAAATGAGCGCTCAATTTTTTCTTTCGTTCCTCTTAAAGCTGCTGCTGCTGCTGCTGCTGAAGAACATGAAACAATCATGAAAGAACGAATGTTCGGTATGGAGGAAAAAAAACATAACACACACACCACACCACACAATAATTCGAACTGTTGACAAACAGATAACGATTCTTGTGTAAGATTTTCGTATGTTTTTTTCCCTCCTTCTCATCAGTTCAACTCTCATAATTTCGTTTGAGTGCTAGATATGTAAACAAACAAAACACGATGAAGCGAAAAGAAAAAAATAATTCATAAGCGTTCGAAAACCTCGACTTCGAAGTGTGCATTGGCCATAGGAAAAAGGCAAAGGAGCAGGCACGGAAGAAGGAAAAATCGAAGAAGGGCGAAAAAAAAGAGAAAAAAGAAACAGAAAATCGAAGCACACGGGTTTCGACAGAAACAAAAAAATTTATCACGACAAGAGTTAATATTTCTCTCTCGAAGCGATTTATATCTGATGGCTTGGACTTGGTGTACACCAGTTCGTGTGGTTTTCTCTCCCCGTCGCTGTCGCTATCGATAATCGTCAGATTGGTTTTTGGCTATTGAATCCTACGACCGATTTTCGTGTGTTTTTTTTTCTTTCTGTTTTTCGTATTTTAACTGTCGTTTTCTCCTTTTCTGTGTGTTTCTGGTTAAAAAGCGAAATAAAACACACAAAATTAAAGAAGAAACAAAAACACAGAGATAAATTGGAGAAAAAAAATACACAGAACGAACTTAAATTGAATGGTTAGTTAGATACGCGGGCGACGAACAACCAATCGAAATAAAATGAACAAAAATAACCCCCGATGAGCAGCCAAAGAAAAGAAAAAGACAACTCAAGAGGACGATTGATCGTAACGATTACAGTTTTATCGTCGTTAAGATATTAGATTTCATAGTAACTCGTCTTCCCAAAAAAACAGACACACACAACGAAACACAACAGCAACACGACTAACGAATTTCAGACACACAGAAAAAAGACAGCGGGAAAAAGAATAACAATAATTTGTTTCATTTTTAAATGAATTCGATTCGTAGCTGCAGCTTGTTAAATGGTTATTGTCATTTTTCTTCATAAATTGACTGGTGTCTAACCAGAGATAATGTTATGGCTTTTTTTTTAGCGAAGTCGTTGACTGTTTTGGTAGTCTCTCGTAATAAGTAATAACAATAAAGATCATTTTTCCTCATTTTGGGAAACGAGAAAAAGACAGAGACATACACACACACACACACGCAGAGAGAGAGAATAAAATAATACAAATTTTTTAAATTGTCTATTTTATGAATTTGTATGTAAACAGAGCGATTGAAGAAGATGGTCTATAAAAAGCGTCGTTTCAACTTACACAAAACTTTTAATAGACTATCGCATAAAAGTATCGTATTTTGGACATTCCAGCAACGGCACGACGACTTCATTTTTCTCAACTAACTTCGACATAGACTGAACAGAGCTATTATTTCTTTTCAATTTTATTTTTTTTTCTGCTCATCTAAAATGCTCTTTCTAGCTTCTCGCTTTATAGCGAACGCAAGGATATCATCGTTTCAATTGCTTCGAAACTTAATACTTTTTTTTCGTTCCGTCTCTAGTCCCATATAGTTTTTGTGCTCGTGATAAAACAAAACTCGAACAGAAACAGGAGCAAAGAGGGAAAAAACGCGCTGCTGAGCAATTTCGGAACGAGGATTGTGTTCTTAATATGCTATTGTGTGTTAGGCGAAAACAAAAGCGACGCATTTCCACGGATTTGGCCAACCAGAATCAAACCACAAAGCGACAAAGAAGAAAGTTCTTCTGTTGAAAAAGTCTTTTGTGGCGAGTGTGTAATAAAAGGAAAGAACTTTTGCTAAAATATTAAAACTAAAGTGAACTCAACTAATGCTTTGTGAAGTGCATTTGGATTGAGAACAACGAATTTCTTCTATATTATGGTGATGATGATTTTTTTTCGTTTTAAATCTATGGCAAATGTAATGCACTTATAATGGAGTTCCTAATGCCAACATTCTACTGCCGGACGCATTGTCAATAACAAATTTTTCTACTCTTTCATCATTCTCCCTATGTCGCTCGCTCATGATTGTCAGCAATTTACAGTTCTTTCAACATTTCCTCATCGCATTGTATTGGGCAAGTGAGTGTCACCTTTTCGTCGCTTGCAATTGCTTAATCGCTTTATACAAAGTTGAGATTAGTATTTGAAGTGAATTATTTTGTTAAAAAAAAGTGTTGACCAGAAGCTGAAAATAAAGAGGAAACGTGACAAAAATGCCCCATTATAAATAAATAATGTGACGATAAGGAGTGTTCAAGTGTCATCTGCGTCGTGTCAATTCGTATCTCGCATTCTTTTTCATTTGTCTTGTGGTTTATCTGGTTGCAGTTCATTGATTGAATTGAATTTCCTTGGCACTTTGGCTCTATTATCGCCTACTTGAGATTGTCTTATCTCATTTAATCGGTTGTCGTTCAAGAAGCGAAAATAACAAACCTCAAGACTAATCAGAATGAATTGAACCAGTTGAAAGTTTAAAATAGCGTAGAAAATGCCATTGCTGTGCACCAATTGCTTTGACTGCTCGAGTCGATCATTTGGACGGGTTTATAGTTTAAACGCACAAATATTCACATTCTATTAATGAAAATGATCCCATAAAACAACCAAATCCGTAACACTTTATGGGCAATATTTCGAATTTATTTTATTGACGGTTTTTGGTGTGTATGAGTCTGTGTTGTGTTTGTTTTAAGGTTTTCGGATATTTGTAAGCGACGAGCGACAAAAGACGTGTGGGAAACACGATCAGAGTTAATAAAGCAGCAAACCAAGAGGAAAGTGTTATGAAATGCTAAAATCGTTGATTCTATCTCGCGCCAGCGCGCGCATCTCAAGAATTCCGATAATTATTTCCTTTGTAAGCGAATTTTTCTCCTACTGACATTTTATCTAGCCACACGTATCTAGGCACTTGGATCTTTGGTGCAGTCTGTGTGGTGCATGTGACTTTGGTGCGTTTGCTTTTATTTTTTCATTCTAACTTACAAGTAATGTTTCGTCATCAGAAAACGATGCCGTAAAGAAAAAAATGTACAACAGAGAAAAAGAGATGGGGAAAAAAATGTGCGATGATTGCTATTGTCAATACTCACCCAATAAACGCATGACTTCATGTTGATTTAAAAATAGATTCATGTGGCCAGACACATTTGGAGCGGCAATCACAAATATTCCGATGAGGAAAGCCAAAAATCTCTTTAAATTTCTCATGTTGTCGGCTGTTGTTGTTCTTTTTTTTCTGGCCCGTCTGTGTTGTTTTTCAACAAAATTCACGTTTATTTTCTTTCTTGCTTGTATATTTTTTGCTCATTTAATTTTATCAAATTCCCGAAATCGTCTGTGAAATTTAATACGGTGTTGCTTGCGCTGTGGTCACAAACTTGGCCACCGATTTTTATCTCTCGATATAAACGACAACGAGTGTGTGTGCATAAATTTCATACTGCACAACACCTATGCATATTGTTCTCGCAACACTTTATCCTGCTGCTGCATCGGGCTTGGTTAATTGCTTTTATCCAGTCTTTATTCTTCGGTTTTTCCTTTTTTTTATTTCTGTCACTCGGGGAACTATTTCACTTTTGCGCGATAGCAGTAGAGTTTCGTGTTCGAACTGTTTTTTCCCTCCCGTGTTGCCGATAAAAATTCAACAATATTTTACACTTCCACCGAGAGAATGCATGGTAAAAACATGAATAATTCACAAAATATTTGACATTTCAATTTATTTAACACAAAATTCGATTTAAAAAAAAATCCAGTAGTTTTACCAACTTAGAACACAAATTTAATGAATACGAATCGCTTTTTGTTGACGAAATAATGTGTGCATGGAAAAAATGATGGGAAAAAAGAAAGATTGTGCCGTAACCAAAAAATGCGACCGATGCGTAGGAGATCTAAATCAAAACTGAACTGACTCGAAGTGTATGTGTTGTATGTGGTGTGTCGGCTCCGTCAAACTTGCTTTGTTTTGTATACAAATGGCGTACGACTTGCGTACGAGACGTCAACCGAGAACGGGCAACTGAGTGTTGGCAGCGCCATCGCAGCATTGTTGAACGTTCACTTCGCGAACTAACAATTCAATTGAAACATCCATAAAAAAAATTGAACACAGAACCATACATACAATGAGAGAGCAAGCAAACGGACGAAACAGGCGAAACGGAAGAAATGCATTCAACTGAGCAATGAAAATGCCGTATTTATTGCCAAACTCTCAATTGTGAATGCAATAAAATATGATAATTTCGGGCAAATTGAATGACTCAACTTTTTTTTATAACTCAACAAATGTCTATCTATTTGCGACCAAGTTTTTTTTCCTCTTTTCCGGCTCTCGCTATCGCAACCACTTTTTTGCGCCACTTCAATTTGGAATTTCATTCATTGTCATAGAAACGTCGCATTTTTTTGCACAGTTGCCAATAGATTTTTGGGCGTGTTTCTCTCGCACTGGCAATGGAAAAATGTTATTTAAAATTTCCTTTTTTTATGGAAGACATTAAAAAACAATCAAGCATCAAAAGAGGAAGAAGCATGCGTATATTTGTTCGGCAAACATTTGAAAATCGTCGAAAGCAAATAAATAGATTAAAATGTGTCAATGTAAAGAGATGAAGATGAAGATGGAGAGCACGAGAGCTAGAAGAGAAACAAACCCTCTCAATCATTCTCCAAGCAAACGAAGTGAAACGGTCGAGATTCCAGCGGGGGCTGTAGAGGGAAAATTTGTTTTGTGAACGTGCTGTTCAAATGTAAATATGTAAACAATGACACTTTAATTAAAATTAAAATCTTATTTAACTTTTCAAGCGACGCATTGTATTGAAGAGAGCGTGTGAGCGATAGATAGAGAAGTAGACAGAGAGAGAGTGAGAAAAAGACGGTTCCGACGAAATCTAATAAGCTTGTATACGTTCAAAAGATGAAAAATACAGATGAACGGAGGATTTTAAATGGAAATGCGTCACCTCATATTACATATCCAAGACGTGTAATTTGATTCCGAATTTTTTTTCTTTCTCTCTTCACTCACTCTCACTTCGCACGATTCACTGAATCATTTTGCCATGGAAAAAGCTGATTTTGTGCCGTGTATCGTGTATTCGGTGCTGCTGCACATTTTCCGTACACTTAGACTATAATCTGTTGGATAATTGAGCGTGCATACATATTTTGTGTAAACTGAAATTCGACACACCAAAAAATATACGCACACCTACTACATATCTGAAGACTCGTACTTTGCGTGCTGAACGCTACGCTTGAATACTTTGCACATCGGAACACAGGAACAAACAACAGCGAGATTGTACATGGTACGAAAGCAGCACAAAAGAGGCTGAAAGATGTTCAAGTGTGAAAAGTGCCTAATATGTAATTGCATGGGTAGTTGATATAGTTGTTTCGGTCGTCAGCGCCGGTCGTTGGGTGTGTTTATTTAGATACATGAAGAGGCGACAGTAGCAAAATCTCATGCGCTCAGATTTGCACCCATCCGCTTGAAAAGCGCTGTCAACATTATAAATTCCAAATAAATGGTGAAATTCCAAGGGATTTAGCCATAATCATATTGACAGCCGTTGTGTCCTGTTTCATATGCATCATTGTGAGGGCCGCTGTGATCCTATCCAATCCATTTGGCCGCTTGAAATCGCCTACTAATGTGTATGTTATGTGCTCACATGAAGCGGTTGTTAGTGGAAAATCCCTATGAATAAAAAAAACGAGTGTATGAACGTACATGTATCGGCAACATCGGCCGTATTGTCGATCGCCCAACTACCGTACTACGCCTGTGAACAACCTATTTATTGATGATATCGTTGTGCACACACAAATGAATATGTAACGAAATAAAATATGATGATGCTGTTGTGAATGTTTCGCCCACATTCAGCGAATAAATTGTTGAACAAACTGGTTGATTCGCAGTTAAGCGAAGAGTGGTTCATCCATTGAGCCTACTGCTGCATTGAACACGGTATGGCACCAAGCGAGAGACATATGAGAGTGAGAGCATCAACTCCGCATTGAAATCATTTTGCAACTGAATTGCAGAAGATAATAAAAAAAAAAGTGTCGAGGGTGAGAGACAAACGAGATGAGATGAGATGAGATGAGAGAACGGGGAGAACGAAATGAAACTGTGAAAATAAAATAACATAATATTCAAGCGAATTTCTCTTCTATTCATAAATTGAAGAGGAGCGCTTACGATGAAACAAGCCGACAAATATTAGCCACTGTGTTGTAAATGCACGTCGAATGTTTGCGCTCTGGATTTTGAGGCGGCAAAATGAGGCGATATCGTCAAGTGATTTCGAAGCGACATCACAATAGCGGCGTTTCGTTCGAGGGACTCACAACTAACTCTTGGCGAAGTGACAAATGAACGAATGATTGGTGTGGGTTGAATTAAATAGAACTTATACTCTCTGTATACACATGAATTTTACGTGGGTTGGTGTCGGTAAGTGGAATGGTGTGCATTTGAATCAATAACGAAGGGATGAATTCACATACACACACACACACACACACCCAACCATCGAGCGCGTTAGCGCGCACTCTGACTCTCATCATCAACAACAATGTTTTATTATGCTCGTATGTCGAGTATCTGCGTTGCGGCTGTTTGGCTGTTCACAGTTTTTGCCACAATGAAGAAGACACTTGAATTTAAAAAGCCTTTTTATATCAAATGCGATGTTTAATTTCGATTGAGCGAGAGGGAGAGAGAGAGAGAGAGAAGAACACAATGTTTGTATATTTGATTGCAATGGATAGAAATACGGAGCGCATCGTAAATGCACTTAATGTACACCACCCGCATCTAGCCCGGCTAACTCAGTTAGTAGTTTTATCGGAACGATGACGAAGCGCATTGAGAATTCTCAAACTGCGACCGAAAATGCAATTTGACATTGCATAATAATAGATAAGTAATGGTTCTCGTATTCCACATAATATATGTGTGAGTTTCAACCCCCCAATCGCACGCGTGCAGCACACTTAATAGACACGAGAAAAAATATGGACTGGCTCTCTCTCAATTGCTTCCTTTCTTTTCTCACTCTCTCTCTCTCTCTCTCTCGTTCGTTCGCTATCTTTGCAGTGCAAATGCAAAAAAGTACTTGGAGCGCAACAGAGAATCACGCGCCATTGGATGCTAAATGAAACGTGAACGAGAACCGCTTTTCAATATGTTTATTTAGTCGAAAGCAGATTTCTAGATTCACATCGATCGGCACAAGCCGGCTACAGCTATTTTCGTAATCAGTTTCAATTTTTACGTTTCTATCTAATTCTCTCTCTTGCTTTCTCTCTCTGTCTTTTCCAATCTCCTTTCGCTCCTTTCATTCGATTCAGTTTGGTTTGGTTGAGTTTCGCTTCCTCGTTTCGCTTAAATAAATATCGCATCAAAATCGATAAACATTGAACTGAATTGTAATCAGCCAAGTTGAAAACACAATTTAAATGAGAAAATGAGGGAATTTTCCGACATCAAGCCGACATTCAAATCGCTATGGCTACACAGTCTTTGATGTGTATGTAGTAGGAAAAGAATATAGAATCGTTTTGTGTGTACATGAGAATGTATTGAATTCGCATAACGATCGAATTTCTTGAAGGTTTTCTTAATAAATGACAAACTGTTTCTTAACTTTCTCTTCAATATCATCATAATATTTGACAGGCGCCGTTTCTATTTTGCCCGGAATAACAACAATAATAGGAGCCACGCTGACGAAGACACGCGTGCGATCTTTACCATCTGGAGTGAACTCAAATATTTGTTTAATAAATAGGTTTGCATTTACTTTAATCATAAATATATGAATCCATTTTCGGTTTGAAGATTATAATCGGAAAGTATATGTAATATGCATCGTTTGGCTTACTTACTGCGGTAGTCATCCGTCGTCGTTTTCACCCTTAATGAACACAGAGCACAACTCACCACAACAACAATATATATATATGACAATAGATGATTTCGGGTAACAATGCGTGATTACAATTCACAAAGCTCGAAATTTCTCGCCAAATTCGAGCGAGCGCGCGCGCGGACACAACCCCAGTTATAGCATTTATTGTTACAGCAGTAGTTGTTCCTATTCATAATCATAATCATAATTTTCGATAAAAACCAGTTCGGTTATGAACACGCAGTAACCGCTCACACTAATCACATACAATCATTCGTCGTCGACAATATTGAGAGTTGCGGAAAAAAATAGATCTCGGCCGATAAATTACTCCTCTATCTCTCTCTCTCTCTCTCTCTCGCTCTCACACGCTTTCTACATGCGGCTTTTGCCATAATGACAGGCTAAATTTTCCAAATGAAATCGTTGATCTAGGACCCCACCGAACCATCTATTGCGACAGTGATTTTGTTTTGATTTTGTGTGTTGCTGTTACGAAAACAAAAACATCTTCGAGCTACATAGTGAATGGGAATATGCAGAGAACGAACGAAAAAAAAAAATAATAACAACACAACACGAAGGAAATGTGACACAAAGCTGCAATAACTGGATGTCATTCAAAGCAAGAGAAAAAATAAATAAAGCAATCGTGTGAGTTCTGTGTGTGTTCGCCTTCGTTTAAATAAAATATATTTTCATGTTGACTGCGTTTTTCTCACTTTTGGAATTGGATTTCAGAAATGTGTTGTCAGTCGAATCATAGAGTGGAAGAGAGAAGCGATAAAATGAAAAATGAAAAAAATCTGCCATTCATTTAATACTGAGCACAAGAAATATTTCTTAGATTCTTCTCTTTTTCTTTTTTACTTTCAATTCTTCTTGCTATTAAGTCGATCAAAATCCGGTACTGAAATTTTTCGACACAATCGCAACACACAACATACAGATGGAAACATATAGTTTCGAATTGGCAGTTGACAATGAAATTGGGAACAACAACACGACGACGACAACAACAACAAACAACAACAGAAGAAAAAAACCATGCAGAGAGAGAAATGTACCTGAAAACTTTGCGAGAGCTGCAAAATAGTACTGTATTGACACATTTCAAACGGAGAAGGAAATTAACAAGAATAGAGAAGAATGCGTAAAAAGAGAAAATAATGACTGTTTGTTGTTGAAGTTTCTGTAAATGGCATGAAATCGACGAAAGGACCCGAGACCAATGTGCTGGCGTCAATGGACAAACATCCCAAAAACACCATCCACCACCACCACCACCACTAAAATTCTATTCAAGGCAGCGTGATTTAAGAAGGCTTATAGAATCGACGGATGACCCTAGGCTTTTGTAATGTTATTTACGCAACAATCCATTTATCATTCATTTGTAAATTCATTTCTATTCACTATGAATTTGAAAATGAAAAAAAAAATCGAAGCAGAAGAATTATGGAATATATTTTGTTTTACTCAATTAATTTCCACAACGAGCGGATTTTAATGAATTTAAAAAAAAGAGTAAACAACAAAGCGTGTGCTCAGTGCTCACGCTTTAGCATTTAGCGCAGCATGACAAACCGTTGCTCTCTCTCACACGTTCGTCCCTATACGATTTAATCTTTGCATATGGATTTTTATTTATTTTTGCTGAATTGCTCGTTGTCATTTTTATTTATGTTTATTATTGTCACAATTCCGTTTAAAGTTTTTTTTTCTCTTCATTTTTGCCATGCACTCTCTACTCTCATCATGGCTAGCGTGTGCGAGCGCGCGTTCGCTCTCTTCGCAATTATTATAACCAAAAAAAAACAACAACAACGAGCAAAAGTAGAGGGGTGTTTTTATTGTTTGCCATATAAAGTGACAATAAAACTGCTATTCCCAATTCACTCACCAGTCACCACCACATACAGTTCCCATTCCCAATGAGACAGAGAACAAGAGAATGAATTTGTGTGCCTCTAACCAGCCAAAAACTATTGGAATATGAGCGATTCGACAGAATATGTATGCATACACATATAGATATTTTTTTATCTCTCGCTCGAAAAGAATTAATCCCAAATGTCAACTTAGGAAATTTGAAAATAAAAGAGTAAATGGGAAAAATGTGCAGATAAACACACAGCATGGTGTCGCAATGTCTTTTTCCTTCTCGACGCCTTTGTTGTTTGCCAATGTGAGACGAGCGTATGTGTGCATATCTGTTTTTCAGGGTTCAAGGGAAGTCGATTTCAATCAACGCTGAATAGAAAAACCAAAAATCAACCAGCGGATGAGACATGGAACAAGGGATCGAGAACAGAACGACCGTCTCTCGCTCACTGGTGGTGGTGATGATGACGTACAAACGACTAACTTTTTAATGAAAAAATAAAATAAAAATCCAACTATCTGAAGAAGGAACAGCAGGAACAACAACAACAGCGCAACCAGAGCCAGAAAATGAATGTCTAAATTTCATTTTTGCCTGTACTTGCTTTTAAAACGTGCAAGCGAGTGAGTGCCTGAAGTTTGGCCCTATCTGTGCTATGTTGATAAACCAGACACGATAACTGAAACACATTAAAAAAGGAAACACGAAAACAATGTTTGCCTTTTGGTTTGCAAATGGTTTTTATGACTCTATGTTTTCTTGTCCTTTTGGCCTTGCCATTGAGCAATACTCTGGGTGTGTGTAAATCACTTTTTCTCTTCTCTATCTCCCTGGGTCGCTCGTTGATGAGATACGAAGTCGCAAATGAGGCGTACCTGAATCGCTCGCTCCGAATTATACAGATGGCTTCATTTAATTGAAATATTTGATTTGCCTGTTTGTGATTGCATTCATCAGGGAAATGAAAATCCAAATGACAATTTAAATGTGCCGACTCTTAATCCCGACCAAAAAACTTAAAATAACTTGTGGATTTCAGTTTGGGAAATAGTCTTATTGCTCATGATGAATGCTTAAGCTCGGCTAAACTGCTTATATCACTATTATTGCAACACCTATTATTTGCGTAACAGTTTTTGAACAGTTTGAGTCCTCTTTTGTTTGCCGAAAACAGCCGAAAATAGAAAAAAAAAATTCGCCTGCGTTCCCGAAATAATGGCATTCGGCATTTGGCATTCGTACTTGTGAAGATTAACACATCACACATCTTGCACGGAGCTTGCTTTGTTGCGATGGTGCGACTCAATTGTCCATGTACACAATTCAACCCGGAGAACAATACCTTTGATTTCTCTATTATGCTAAATAGAATCGAATTTCAAACTGTTCCATTCAATGTCAAACGGAAATCGTTCGAGTTTCCTTAATGACAACCAAATTTCCATTTGTTTTTCAAGTTTATTCTTACTACAATAACAATGAGGAAGAAAAAATAGTATCGTTTTACTAACGAAAAATTCCAAAAATTGTTCGAATGAAATTAAAGCGAATAGAAAAAAAGAGAGAATAATTTGGTGATCAACTGATGGAAATGAGAACAAAACTATTTCGAGTAATGGTCATATGTGGCAAGTCACGCGTAAAATTTTGGTTCTTTATATGCAATGCGCATGGGGGCACGCGATCCTTTTTCATTATCTTTTTTTTTTTTTTTAATTTTATGTGTAAATTAACGGAAATGCTCACCGTTGTAAGCATAATTGAGGCAAGTGTTATTTCTACTTTAAAACGACCGTACAGCGATACATGTATATCGTTATATTGAATAAGTACCGGACCTTTTGTGAAACTCATACCGCTATCCACGCTCACATACACACACACACCGGTGTGCGGTCACATAAACTGATTCATACGGTTCGAGTGCACCCTTTTTAATTTACCGGTCATTTGACTTTTGACTGCGGTACTCTATGGGAAAAGATGTCGACTCACTATCTACCATTAAACTATGGTCAGACAAACAATATTGTAAAATGTGAATCGATTTACTCGCTCTCTCTCTCAGTGGTCCCATTCCATTAAACCAAGTTTATATGAGGTTGGAAAGTTTTTCGCACCGATTCAGCAATTCTCAGAGTTGGTGAAACATTTCGAATTCTATTTTCATTCATTTATTTAAAGCGCAGGAAAAATAGATCGCACGAACTAGCGCCATCTATTGAAAGTGGACATGAACTATTCATTTCCCCTCTTTGTTGTTCCTTCTTCGGGTGATTCGTCAATTCACATTACGATTCAACTGGTTTCACAGACGGAATGCACAATAAAAACAAACGATCAGAAGGGGAATGTTCCTGTTGGCGTATTGTGTGTATGTTTGTTTTGAATAGAAGCAGATGTACGATGTATATTATTATTAGAATCGTATTGTTACGGAATATGTCGAAAAAATGCAAATCTTTAAAATAAATTGAACGCAACGAGCCGAAAAACGGTTTGTTTTCTCAAAATATATGTTTATTATGGCTTTCTATCAAAATTCGTACAATTTACCCGGGTTGTAAGTATGTTTCATTATCAACGAAGAGAAATTAAAAGAAGAAACCTCATGAATGAACTCAGAAGAAAATTGTGTGTTTGTACTGCGATGAGAGCATGTGTAAACCTAGGATATCATGTGTTCAGTTTCCTTATTTTGTTTTTCATTTGAGCTTCGGGAGTTTTTTCGCTGTACTTTTATTAATTAAATCGGCCAAACCCTTGGCAACCATCCGTTTCTCCCATGTCTGCAACGCTTTGCTGGAATGTACAATTAAAATTAATTGAGTGTTCAATTTAAATAAGCTGTCAACCGGAATGAATAAATTTGACTTCCGAAAAAAAGGTAAATAAGATTCGAAAGATAATGTGTTCAAACGCACCGGTATTCATTAGATGCAGCGTCGGCCTTCTGTTTATATGCATTCTTCTGAGATTCATTCAGTGCATCGTATTTCGCTTTGACGCTCTTCACATCGACTTTTCCCTTGGCCGCTTCATCGCTATAAAAAAGAATGTAAGCGGTCGATGGGCGCTTCGGTTTTCCCAATTCCTTCAAACGAACTCGCAACTCTTGCTTGTTAGCCCGATCCTCTTTCAACTCCCGCAAACGGATTCGTTCATCTTTAATGGCCAATTTTTGCTCTTTCGTTAAACTTTTCTCGTACTCTTCCTTTTTCTTCATGTATTCAACCTACGATTGATACATTTTTGGGTTAGAATTCATGAAAATTTGAAATTGATTGGGAATTTATGAATCATATGGCGACTTACCCTTTCCTGTTCATATTCACGAATGTACTTCTGTTTTTGACTTTCGTCAAGCTTATTCCATTGTGCGGCCGCGACAACCGGAATTTCACGAGTAGTTTTTCCCGTCTTCTTAATCGATGGTCGGACTTCTTTTAAGAACCGATAGTATCCGGTCATCGGCCTCTTTGGACGCTCCGGAATTCCCAATTTGCGTGAAATCACATTCGTTTTGGAATCGAACACAACATTGGTGCCGCTGAACAGCCTAAACAAAGCCAATATACGTATGAACTTTGGATATTTAGTAATACCAAAGAAAAACCACAAAATTTACCTTGGAATTGGTGCTAGATGAGTTGTTCGTTCAGCAGAAAGTATTAAACTTCTGTTTAAACATTTAATCAATGAATTCATTTCAACGAAATTTATGAAAATAATGCGTAAAAAAAAATCAAAATCCCTTATCAAACCTTTCGGTGAAAATGATGTTTTGACATTTGTTCAGAGCGCGCGTTGAAAACACGCACACATACACACGGTTCTTGAAGTGTCAAAATGATTAAGCATCGTTCACGCACGCACTGATTTTACGTTTCGGTTGAATTTTGCATTGTGAAGTCAATACGCAAATGAATTTGTTATTTTTTTTCAAAGAAAATGATGAACGAATGAAAAAGGCATGATTGCAGGAAATTTCGCTGTATTTTGCTTTTAAATTATCAAAACATTTCGCTTACATAAGAATTGCATTTAAAACTAAACGGTTTTTGTAAAGATTCAAGATCAAAACATTCATAACGATTTCGACGGTCAAGTAAAACTTACAAAATAGATTCGAATAATAGAAATTTTCAATAAAGTTTAAACTATTCACATTGAATTAGTCTAGGAATTGCTTTCATATCTGAATCGCTTGTACATTACGGCAAATGAATCCAACTCATTTTTGACGCAAGTAATTACTTGTGTTAACACTGACCCACTATCAAAAGTTCGGCTCGCTCTTTTTTTACACAATAATCTCGCGTAAAAATATCGCACTCATCGTACGATATCTCAACATTGTATGAATGGGAGTGTGACTATGAGGCTTGTGTAAAATCTGCCTATTGAGAATATGGAATTGGAAATATCAAAATGATTTTCAGTTTTAAAGACATTGACTTTCTCTGAGCCAGATTGTTCTGAACTTCGGAAAAAGTCAGTGAACCGACTTTATCGAAATGAATTGTTGAAAAAATATCAATCATTTAATAAAAATCAGTAAAGACTTTTTAATATAAATTTCCTTATAAGTACTCTATTCGTTTTGTTCTTCTGCAAATTTATGCGAATGCGATTCCATCGAGAAATCGCTATGAAATTCGTAATATTTTACGTTTCTAAGCGTTAAAATAATTCTTGTGACAGAATTCAGAGAGCTGACATAATATAAAACATTCGTTTTGTTGTGACTCTCGTAAATATCTGATGATTGTCTTAAAATCGAAATGCTTAAAAATATTAAGCTGCGTGGTCAACACATGCATCGGGATTTGAAATTGTTTTTTTTTCTTCGCTGTTATTGTTGTGTGGAATGTCCATCTTCTACCAACTAAGCTCCTCTGGTACACCGCCCGGATATTCGCCCGTTAGGCACGCTGTGCAATGGCCACTTGCCGCACGATTTTTAATCTTCATATTGTATTGTACAGCTCGTTTCAATCCTTCAACAGACAAATATGCCAAACTGTCAGCGCCTGTGATGGAAAATAGGGTGAAAAAGGAGGTTAAAACAATGTTCTGAGGAAGGTTTTCCGACATTTTTTTATTTTATTTTTTCGCTACTCACCAACATATTTGGCCAATTCGTCTGGTTTCAGTTTGTTGCCGATGAGTTCATCGCGAGTTGGAATGTTGATGCCCATGTAGCATGGATGAAGAAGCGGTGGACTGGCAATACGAATGTGAACTTCCAATGCGCCGGCATCACGCAGCAATTTGATGATTGGTCCAATAGTGTTACCTCGCACAATCGAGTCGTCAATTAAGATCAATCGTTTTCCAGCAACATTTTCTGAGAGAGCACCGAATTTCTTGGCAACACCAAGCTTACGCAAACGGTTCGATGGCTGAATGAATGTGCGACCAACGTAACGATTCTTGCATAACACTTCGGCAAAGTGAAGACCGGATTCACGGGCATATCCGTGAGCGGCGGCTGTTCCTGATTCTGGAACAGAGCTCACCACATCAGCTGACACCAACGCTTCACGAGCCAATTGACGGCCACATTGCATTCGCACCGAATACACCATTTGCCCTTCGAAAATCGAATCCGAACGCGCAAAGTAAACATACTCGAAGATACAGAATGATAATTTACGATCTTCCGGACGTTCAATAATATCAATCGATCTGACACCATGCTTTGTGATTTCGACAATCTCTCCTGGTTCGACCTTCATCGAAGGAGGATATGAGAGTATTAATATTTGATATCAATTGGAAAAACCGAAAAATTATCTCAGCTCATACATACCTCTCTCACATAACGTGCACCGATTGACAAGAAACCACAACTTTCTGATGACATAACCCATCCTTCGGCACTTACTTCTTCAACTGATACTGTTGGAGTTTTAAATAATGACAAAAATTCATTTAAAATCCAAGAAAAATGGCAAACTAATCAAGTTTACACTTACGATTTCCAGAGTCAACTGGAACAATTTTGCCAATGCATAGAGGTCGGTTTCCATAAGCATCACGAACACCATAGATTTTGTCTTTCATCATAATAACTAGAGAATATGAGAGTGGAGCCAGTGTCATCAAGTGCTTAATACGGGCGGCCCAGTCTGGTCCATTGTCCTGAACGAAAAAAAAGTATCATTTTTGAGTGAATTTATTTTGTTTTTCAAGTTTACAAGTGATTTTGTCGCATATTTACCTCGCCTTCTGGTGGATTCAAGCACAAAGCCTGTGTAATCAATTCGGAATCACTGTGTGTCGACAGTCCAACTCCGCGCTCCAATACATTTCGACGCAAACTTTCACAATTCACAAGTTCACCGTTGTGCGCGACGGCCATGGCGCCATGAGCTGTGTGGACAACGAAGGGCTGGCAATTCACTTCCTCTGAGCTCGCTGATGTTGAATACCGTGTGTGACCGATTCCCAAATTTCCCTTCAGTTTTCGGATGGCATCATCGTTGAAAATTGTGTTGATCATGCCCATGCCTTTGTATACATTGAAACTCTTTGTACAGATCCCTTCACTCGTCACAATACCAGCCGATTCTTGTCCACGATGTTGCAATGCGACCAATCCCAGGCAAATTGTTTGCGCAATTTCAATCTAAACATTTTGATAATCAATTATTACGTTTGAATATGCATGGCAAACGAAAAATTCATTTTGAAATGAAAACGAAGACGGAATGGACAAAATTCATCGAGTTATGTAAAGAAAAGCTACACAGAAAAATCGTGAAAAATTAAAAAAAAAAACGAAAATATCATGTGAACTTTGATGGAAAAAAGTTTTTTTTTCTCTTCGTTATTTTTCAGTATTCAACATCAATACTGCACTCTTTACACACTCAAACCAAATTCGAACTTCCAAAAATATCCATAACTCTTTTGAAAAATTATTTTTCTTGTTCCCTAAAAAATAATTAATTCGAAAAAATGTCCACTTACACGTTGGGTTGGCCATTCGCCGCAGGCCATAGCCGCAAAAACGCCACATTCACAAGTGAGTCCTGAATTAACAGCGCCTCGTCCCAACCGTTTATTTTTGCGAACAGCAACTGAACTGTCCACACGTTCGATCTCTTTGGCCATGATCGGCGGTGAGACCGTGCTGTTCATCGTGCGATCATATGAGATGAAGCATGTGGGTGATGTGGATTTGATGCTCACCAAATCTAAGCACTCTGTATTCAACATTTTGATTCTCTTTATTTATTCCCACTGATTGTCCTTCAAAACGAAACAAGACCCAAAAAAAAAATTGTGTTTAGCCAAAAAATACGCACAATTCAATAATTCATTTAGCACTAATCGACGTTTAAATTTGAATGACGGGTAGAGCAGTTGATTTGATTTGCTTTTATATGCAGAGATAAGAGAGTCGCAAACTGATTTGTTTATGAGTCAATGAAACGAAATATGCGATATGGATTCGTGTTTTGTTCTCTTCCTCTTTTTTTTCCTTCTGCTCTTCACAGTAATGTGTGCTCCTTTTTCAAAATGATTTTATAACGTGTGTCCGATCTTCGTGGCGGTCGTACGGCAAATAAACGCAGTTTCTTCACTTTTTGTATAGTTTCTCGGTATGTTTATGATAGTCAACGTTGATGTTTTCTCTGTTTATTCTCTTTTCCTCTCTTTCCTGATTTGTAATTATCAATTATGGAATTTTCCTAGCGTATGCATTTTGTTTTTTCGAATTTTTCGCTGTGTTATTGTTTTTTTCCCTTCAGACTATTTGTGTACGTACACTGTACATTCGGTTTTGCGTATAAAGTTTTCCACTACTACCATTGATGCAATCGATTCTAGCTATTGACAAAGATTTTATTTACTATTTCGTTTGGAAAGCGGCTGCTTCGAACACGATTTGCCATTAGAAACTAGTTAACGAGACACTTGGCCAAGTCATGATTGACTTCTGTCATTTTCAAATGTTATAAATAACAAACATTATTTTTATGCTTGGAAAATTTTTACGACTAAACATCTCTTACAAATGACATTCATGCATAGCAGTGTCATGCATATTTTGAATGATGACACCGACCAAATCTCTAATCGGTTTTTATCATTATTTTTCTGGGCTACATTTAAATTTCGGCTTTCTTCTAGCCGTAGCTAATTAAATTCCAGTTTTAATTAGAATCCATTTCAAAGTGCTTCGAAATTGAGTGTAAAATTACGTCATCAGCCAAAAATCGCCGGCTTGAAAATAAACAGGGGACGTTCATTTTATCTGAAGAATGCCTAACATTTACATCCGTTGTTACGAATTACATTCAACTTGACTTCTGAGAATTTATATACTTTGCTGACAATGTATGACGAATAGTCAGCAATCAGCATGCATACAGGATTGTACAAATTTTCTGTCTTTGTTTACTGATCGTTTTTGTTTATTTGACGTATGGCCAGTTCTTTCTTTCTCTCTTTTTCGATTTTTTTTTGCTTCGGATAACCAAAATCACGTTCGCAAGCAGATAATTGTTTTTTTTTAAGACAAGTAATAAATTGTTGTATGTCGGCTGTTATTCAAATATTTGACGTTGTGATTATTCTACTGATTACGTATTTACAGGCAATTTGTTTGTTTGCCAAAGTAGCCAATAAATTTGTTATGCTGTTATCGATAAATATTCAGGATGTTTGTCCTATTTTTTCGCGACTAAAATGGGCTTGATCAAAATATTATTGTCAAGTTTGTGGATTGCTGGCCAATGTACGTCACCAAGAAATCAAATCAAATAACAGTTTCACTGAAACAAACTAATCAAAACTATGATGATGCGTTGATAGTACTGAACGAAAAAATCAGCTGATTCGTTCTATATTACCGTTTAGAGGAGAACTCGTGGCCATTGAAATCGACTCTCAGCTCTATCAGCAAGACATTCACGTGTTCCAAACTCGAAATGTTTTTCGCCACCGGAATATCTTGCTCTGTACCAATTAAGAAAAACTGAAATCATTGCAACGTAATGTCTGTTTTTGCTTTGTCACCAAGTAATCATTTTGGCGAGGCCAGATTGTTGCTGCCTTTCCATCAACATTTGGGTTATCAGTGCAAGTTTGCTTATTCAAAATGATTTTTAAGGCGAGCGAATGAACGAGAGTTGAATTTGCGTTGATCGCTTTTTTTTGTCTGCCGTTGGCTTTCGCCAATTGTAGCGAATATTCGATTGAAACAGCAAAAATATCATATAATAATTAGTGGCTAAGCGATAGTTAGAACACAAAGTTCAATGCTACGGATTTCAATTGAAATACGATCGAACATGTGCTCACGCTCTCTATCTCTCTCTCTCTCTCTCTCTCTCTCTCTTTCTCTCTCTCGCTCGCTCGAATAAATGCCGAGACGAAAAGTTGAAAGAGATCAATTTTTGTGTCGGTTCTTATCACAATACACAATGTGGATCGCAACCAATTAATTTAGAAACAAATGAGTGAAAGCCACAATTCTATAAAACAATCAATTCTCTTTTTTTGGGCAAATAAATACGCATGTCTCGGCACAGTATCAATTTTTGGCATCGAATAGCCGCGGATTTTTACATCGTTTCGATTGAATGTAACCGAATGATCTCATAAAAAATAGGTTATCAAGCATTGCCTTGAGCTTCTAGCATCAGAATCGATATTATATTCAAGTTTTGGTTTATGCGCGCTTGTCCTCATGCCGTCATTCACTCATTTGCCGTGCAATTAATCAACTCGAAAGACTAAAAAAAAACTTGAAATGAGCAGCAGCAGCATCAATCAATGGAAGTCAGACTGTAATAATAATAATGAATTGTATAGGCATAATGAGTATAGCAACAATGTCAAGCAATTGGAAGGTTCTCATATGTAAAATGCTCTCATTAAGTCAAACAAAATGTTCTCTTGCATTGCAGATACTCCAACACGAGTCACAGATAATGACACAAATCGGATTGAAACTGATTTATGTTTGCTTTACTTTAATTCTACTTTATTCTTGTTAATCTGTCTTGAGACATGCCTTCTTCCGAATTACTTAAAATGATCCTCTTCATTTATGCTACAATTCACAAGTCAACATATAAAAAACTCTATGAATATACAGGTCAACATATTAAAAAAAACCGAAAGTATGTCAAATTACGCTGTTTGAGTTATTCATTATCGCGAAATGTCATGAAAATGTATGAAAACGCTTACCTCTAATAAAAAGACACTTGTCGTTTTAAGAAAACGTTGGACAAAATGTTTATGATTTGCTAGTCTCACTTTCTTTCAAATAAAATATGATTTTAAAACTTTGTTTCTGCTCAATGTCCGCCGGTAAAATCTGAATCTGTTCCGATTGTGGTCAACTGACTTATGTCGACACTCTATTCAATAAGTTGAGCTCTTAACAATTCATCCAATTCGGATGAATGGGTGCACAAAAATTGAATCAAATTTATTTCGTATGTAATTTATAACGTTTTTAAATGCGTATTTTTTTCTTCTTTCGTCCCGAACCCAATCAAAAAGACCAGCGAAACAATACACATTGAATCGCGTGTGTGACACAGTCAGAATAAAGTCACTTATCAAACTAGAACGTGTTGTTGGTTGTAAAATTGCGCGTACTATGATATACAAATACACACACTCGGACCTAACGAAACTGACAAAGAGCGAAACAGAACATTGGCAAGTGCCAAGCCTCACAACACTGATTTATAAATTCCAACTTCAGCGACACAAGACACCAATAACTTACTTGATCGAAGACAGAAAAAAACAAACGAACAACATATAAAAAGAAGACATGCGTCGATGTTTTTTTTATCGTTATTGAATGATCACGATTTTTATTACCATCAGGCCCTTTGAGAACTGCCAAACTCGTTTGGTTTTGGGTTTTCTGTAATCCAACTACTTTACATAAAAACTTCTACACCACGTGGTACGCATGTTACTTCAATACCATTGAAATTATTTGCGATGTAAGCATATCGCAGTAATCGCACAAACAATTGAAATTTGCGATTTAAATGTGGCAAAAGGGAGTTGGAATTTTTCAAAAATTTGCACAAAAAAATCTCCATGCAAAAATGAAACTTTGAAAAAGAATTTACTTTGATTTAAAAACGAAATCATTTTGTACATAAAAATCCTCGCAATGAGCAAACAAGTTCTTGCTCCTTTTATGTGCCCCTGTTTCCATCTCTTTCTCCTTTGACTTGGTTTGTTCGTGCAGTAGCTGTGGTTGTTCTATGTGTTTTTTGTTGTTTATTCTGTCGATTCTGTTCAATGCGCGCTTTATTCTCAAACTAATACATTCGCGCGTGCGGCATAAACACACAACAACAACTTGTTATACATTCAAATCAGTTGAACAGTGATTTTTGTTGTTTGGTTTGACGCGCACGTCCATTGTAATGGTGGTGGTTTGAAATCATAGGGGTATTGCAACTACCATAAAATATATGTATTTCATCAAGTTTATCAAGCTCTTTCCAAGTTTATGCATAGTGTTGAACTTTTGTTCAAGCTCTACCATCGAAATGTACAGTAAAATAATTTACGGGCACGACGTAAGATGGCGTTTTTTCTGGTCAAAAAAGTTGCAATATCCCTTTGTTTGAAATACAAACAGAAGAAGACACAAAAACGTTTCTCACACATGGACGAGAACGATACGGTCGCTCTCAACACACACAGAGGCTGAGACTCGTTGTCGGTTTGCGCGTACATTCATGCCATGCATATATAAATGAATCGGTTATACGGAATTTGACAGTAAAAATATTCTTTTGGTGCTTACGATATTCGTTCGTATCACAAATTAGTTTCATCAACCAAGTGATTCGTTAAACACGCGACTTTGTTGCTCTCTACTCTCACTGTGTACGGTTTTGTGTTTGGTATCCTAAACTCCATTTTAATATTACTTTAAACGGTAAGAATTTTTTTTGCTTTTTTCTCTCATTCAATAAGAAAAATTATAAGACTGATGTAATCCAGTTGGGAAGAGACAGAATCGCAAATGAATTTTGCATGTAGTGGTTGTTATCGTAAAATTGATAGGAAACGTCCTGATTTTTATTGTGATCGATTTTATTGTCTGAAAATAGAAAAAAGACAGAACGCATGTCGATTCTATTGCACATTTGGTACTTTCGTACCCTCGTTATCAGTGCCGGTATTCTACGACTTTTCACACAATCCATTCTTCCTTGAGTTATCGAAATAATTCCGGTGGGAAGCTGAAAAATAGTGGAATCTCTCTCTTTCACTCCAATATGGTCTTATGTACGAAAAAAATAATTCCGAACGATTTTGTCGGAAAGTCGTAGAATACCGGCACAGGTTATTTGGGAAATGACGACAAAATCTTAGCGCTAGTATTTTTGTTACATCATTTGTTTCTATTCAATTTGTCACCTTCACGTAACCGATGCTGATAACCTTTTTGCTCGCATTACCAGAAGGTATTCGATCAACAAGTAAATAAAACCTTTATCACAATCGCTATATTGACACTATCATCTTGTGCGTCGCAACGCTCTGTCGCAACGCACAAGTCATTGCTAATTATCATTTTTGCTGAACTCTTATGCAAAGCGCCTTTTTTTCTCGCGTGATACGCAATTTCATTCTTCGGTCACTGTTGATACTCCGTCAGCACAATGAAGATAATTGTCATTCCATTTATGACGCGATTAAGACACTGGTTTTCTCCTCTGTTTGCACGGTGTTTCCCATAATCTGTCGGCACAATATTTTTGTCCCAAGCAAAGCGATAGCCTAAATACGATTTGTTGTTACGCTCTCAATAAAAGTGATAAATATATTATTGTTGTTTGTTTGGCCGATGGAAAAAAAAAATTCCATTTTTTTTGCTTCTTGGTTGGTCGCCGACCAATGGTCGGTGACAATCAATATTTTCACAATACCCCACATGATACGTACTGATTAAATGATGACCTCTTAACTACGTTTTAGATTCTGCGCCCATTTTCTTCTTCTTTCCTTTACATCGTTTGAAAGATGAACTCTCTCGCGCGCTCGCGTTGTGTATCAACAGCTCGAGGCATTTTTCGAGCCCAGCTCAAGTGGCAACAAACAATAACAACCAACAACGATGGGGTCTCATTATCAGTCTGTTTTTATTTATAATGTTCATGGGTGTCACACCACCGAGACAAAAACACGCACTCTCAATTCGATTGATTCGTTTGGTGTTTGCGCCGTTTGATTTGAATTGCAAATCTCTATCAATTAATTCATTATCTCTGTGTTTTTTTTCTTTAAATTGCAGCTACGTAAACACAGCAAATCAACATGTCGACTCCAACGGAAAGTAAGTAGTTTTCAAAACAATTTAAATCTATTTTTATTTCGGAATATCTAGAAGTAGAAATAGATTGAAACTATTTTGGTTTTTCACTTTGTTTGTGTTTCTGCATTTGATCATTCATTTTCAACTCCCTTCATTTCGATTTTGCTGACTGATTGCATTTGTTTACTGTATTGACAGTTGGTGGTTACAAATTGGGCAAGGTCATCATTGAAGGAAAAACAAAAGCCGTTTACGACTTGCCAAACAATGCTGGTCTCTGTTTGCTCTTGAACAAGGATCGCATTACAGCTGGAGATGGTGTTAAGAAACACGATTTGGCAGGCAAAGCTGCCATTTCGAACGCAACCAATGGCAAGGTCTTTTCCATCTTGAATGAAGCCGGCGTGAAGACGGCTTATGTCACACAAGTATCACCAACCGCTTTTATCTCACGTAAATGCGAAATGATCCCAATCGAGTGGGTTACTCGTCGCTTAGCTACCGGATCATTCTGTAGACGTTATCCTTCGGTCAAAGAAGGTTATCGGTACGTTTAATTTGTTTGTTTGTTGTTCTCATTGCACAGCTTTTCCTTTTGTCGATGCACAATCGTTTTACTCAACAATTTTGATGATTATTTACAATTTTGAATTTATTTGAATCTTCAACAGTTTTTCACCACCAAAACAAGAGACATTCTTCAAAGACGATGCAAATCATGATCCTCAATGGACAGAAGAGGAAATTATTTCAGCCGGTTTTGAATTTAACGGCCGTAAAATCGGTAAGACACAATTTTTTGTATGAAAATCTCAATTGTTTCAAAGCATTTCATTGAAATTTCTCCATCTATTCTTCCAATCAGGTCGCAGTGAAGTGGACATCATGCGTGAAACCACGATTGTTGTGTTCGAAATCCTCGAGAAGGCTTGGGCTTATCGTCAATGTGCTTTGATCGACATGAAAATCGAGTTTGGTATCGATGAACAAGGACAAATCCTTTTGGCTGATGTGATCGATTCAGACTCATGGCGTCTCTGGCCATCAGGCGACAAACGATTGATGGTTGACAAACAAGTGTACCGTAACTTGACCACGGTCACACAAGATGATTTGGAAACCGTCAAACGTAACTTTGAATGGGTCAGTGAGCAATTGGATCACATTGTGCCACCAAATGACAACCTTGTTGTCATTCTCATGGGAAGCCCATCGGACAAGGAACACTGCGAAAAAATTGCTAAATACTGCAAAGAGTTGGGCTTGAACGCTGAATTGCGCGTCACTTCAGCACACAAAAGCACACAAGACACAATTCAAATTGTTCGTGAATACGAAAGTCTGTTCAATAATTTGGTATTCATCGCTGTCGCCGGCCGATCAAACGGTTTGGGCCCAGTTTTATCAGGCAATACCACCTATCCAGGTACTGTTCTCACTTTCAGCAAAATTCCATTGAAAAAGAGGAAATTATTTTTAATATGTTCCATTGATTCCAGTCATCAACTGTCCACCAGTTAAAAGCGACAATGTCAACATCGACATTTGGTCAAGCTTGAATGTTCCATCCGGTTTGGGATGCGGCACTGTCATCTATCCAGAAGCTGCTGCTCTCAATGCTGCACAAATTTTGGGCATTGGCAACTACACCATCTGGTCAAAACTTCGCGTCAAACAACTGACCAATATCGTTAGCTTGAAACAATCTGACGAACTCATCCGTGGCCTTCGCTCTGTCAGCGTACACAAATAAACCAACCTCTTCATTGGACATCTCCGCTAAAAATAAATGCATACATGCATTTCATCACACGAATTCATTCCGAAAATGAAAAAAATTGTGTTTCTTATACATAATATAAGCGTATTTTTTAAATTCTTTTCTACAGTTTTCGCTGGTAGCTTATTTCGATTTTTCAGAGTATTCTTTTCATCATACTTTGCTAGACATTCTATTTGTTTTTTTCATGACAATTGTGGATTTGCAGAAAATATCTTATGAACAGAAAGCATATTCCTGACTTTACTTTTACCGGAATAAATTAAGGTCCATTCGATTTTGAACTCGTAGTAGTTCGAGGATAGATCTTTTTTTGAATTTAAAAAGGAGTTCTCAGCTCACTTTGGCAATAATTAGTCGTAATCTGCCTTCGTTCCTGAAACATTTCCATTGACCATCGGCAATCGCCAATCAATAGATTTTGTCCCAAATGAACTTAGGAAGAGTTATTTTTATAAAAGTTAAATGGGATTTTGAGCGGAAATTATTCTGAAAATTCAATTGCATTTTGGAGAAGTTTTTTTTCACACAATTCCAAAATCGAATGTTTTTTGTTTGAAAAGTCATCGAACCTTTTTTCAAAATCCAATTCAAAAAAATATTCGAAAAAATCAATCTTACGGAAAAAAGCATCACAAACCGAATAAATTGACAATTCCGATCGAAATAAAAATTTTATTAAAAAAATTCTTCCGATTTCTCACTCGTTTTATTTTTTTAATTTCTCGTCTTGAATAAATATTACCTTGGCATCATCATTCTTTCTTTCCCATTCAGTTACAAAAATACGATGTTTTTTTTTCTCGAAATATATACGTTTTATTTTTCTTCATGACAAATATAAAAATCACAATCACTGAGATGTTTCATTTTCACGATTTGTAGTGTTTTTCATTGTTGATTTTCGTTTGTGCTTGAGCCAAATTTGTCGGCATTGCGAGAGAATTTAAAAAAAGGGTTGCGTATGTTATGATTAGAAACTTACAAAGCTATACTTGAAATACATCAAAGGAATAAATTATGCGCATAAAGTTTGAGATAGACAAAAACGCCATTGGTGATTATTGTACAATTTAGAATTGCATAAGAGTCCCGATCAAGAATTGAACCGATGAAGTGAAATAAGATGAATACTTGTTATTTTGTGGGGGCAAAAAATTATGATAATATGATGAAGACTTAATGAAAGTCATGACATTTTGGCTGCAGCCATTTGAAGACCTTTAACTGAAGGAAGTGTTATTTTGTTGGTGTTGCAATTGATGTTGGGTCAGCCCTTGGTTCTGAAGCTGTTGTGCTGCTAGTAAATTGGGCGATTGATTTGTTTGAGAAAGTTCAGCTTTGACCCGTCGAGCGATATGAGATCTGGTATGCTTCCGTAAATGGTCCTTTCGATAGAAGCCTACAAAACACATTTTCATATAGTTTTCTATCTAATAATTAGTAGCAAATTAAAATTACCTTTTCCACATTCTTGGCAAATGTGCCGCTTTTCACCGCTGTGAATGACAAAATGAAGAGTGAGTTGTTCCTTGCGTTTGAATGCTTTCATGCACACCGTGCATACGAAAGGTCGCTCGGAATTGTGAGATTGTTTGTGGCGTGTCAAATGGTCTTTGCGTTTCAATGCGGCATTACAAATGTCACAAATGAATCTTCGTTCTAAGTTATGTCCCACCAAATGCTCCTCGAGAAGACCTCTTTCTGCAATCGAATCAATGGAACATATTAAAAATGATTTCCTCTTTTTCAATGGAATTTTGGTGAAAGTGAGAACAGTACCTGGATAAACCATATGACATTCAGGGCAACCATAAAGAGTGCTGCCGTCAAGTGCAGTTGTAAGTCGAATTTCGCCTGGTTTTGGTCGTGGTTTCTTTTCCTTCGGTGGCTTCTTTTTCTTCTTTTTCTTTGTGGCTGTTGAGGCTTTCGACGAAGTCGTATTGTTGCCATTCAATCCGTTGCCATTGTTCATACCGTTTTGATTGCCATTTGCATTGTTTGTAAGATTGTGAGCTTGATTACCATTGTTTGCCGAAGACGATTGAATCAAGTTGTTATTGCCGGAACTCGATCCATTGCTATGGGATTGTTGTTGGGCATTTGGAGTTTGTGGAATGGGAAGATGCTGTTGCTGAGACTGTGATTGCATCGGTGACATATGACTCTGTTGGTTTTGATTCAGAATGGCTGCATTCGATAATAAGCTCGAACTCAAGGAGTTCAATCCTAAGCCCTGTGCCAAATTCTGGGTGTGTGTCATATCAATATTCTGCGAATGGTAACAATTTTGATCACAATCACTTTTGCATACTAATCATTTGCTTTTTTTTTTGGTTTTCACTGTTCACTCCTTACCGATAGCTGACTTTGCGATTCCTTTTTGATGCTTTCCGCCGAGTATTTGAGAAAATGATGCAAGGACAAGCTGGCCGGTAAATGTGATAAATAATCAGCAACTGCTGAACTCGGTGTCAAAGATTGCCAGCCAGAATTCACATTTTGCAATACTAAAACCGGTAGCGAAGAGAAGACACGTAAGCCAACAAAGATAATCTAAAAAAAGAAGCAAATCTAACACATACCTCTCTTGGCGTCCGTTTGTTGGTTCAATAGTGCATTGCAAAGATCTTGCGTAAGTTCTGGTTGCGATTGATGACCTTGTGAATTCGATGTATTCGATTGTTGGTAAGAATTTGCAAGGCGCTGTTTTTCATCGCTGTTCGAGTGTAAATGGGCCGATGGTGTGTATGCGGGTACATTCGGCTGATAAGGATTGGTACTAACATTCGAATTACTGTTGCCATGGCCATTGTACTTTTGTGTCATCGCACTTGCACTCAAATTATCATCGCCACGAAATTTCGGCAATATCGGCACATTCGATTGATTGCAATGATTCATATTTGGAACATTCGATGATGCCGAACTGTTGTGATAACGATTCGATGAGTCCTGGGTGTGATTGGTGAAAGAAAATAGTTTTTAATCCTTGAAAATGATTTCAATTTAAAGGTTCCTTCGGAAAGTAGGAGTTATTTTTTTCTCTAGAAATCAAACGTCATTTCGCACTATAGTGGAGTTAATTATAATCAAAAGATTTTTTGAAATCAAAGAAAAAAGCTATTTAAAATATGTCAAATCGAATGTAGAAATCGATTTTATTCTTTAAATTATCCTTACTTGAGCACCAGCTGCAAACTGATGAATGCCCGAAATCGAGGCTGAGAATGGATTTCCAAATGGTGAGAAGTTCATTGTTCAATCGTCATATGTCCATAAGTAAATACCAAACGAAAATCTGGGACCACCTCACAATTCGTCTGTAAGTTCAAGACAAAGTTGTCAAAGTCAAAATGCGACGTATCACAAGTTATAATTCGTTAAAATATGCTTAATTCGACTGGAAACACTCCAAATTTGTCGGTTTCGTACACGATGACTCATTATCACCATAGAATTTGGTATAAATAAACCCATAAAATCTTGGTGCATGTAAAGAAATCGATAAATGACACACCAAAACGTGTACGCTTTATTTTCGTCTTTACCGTTCTTTTTATCGGTGCCAATAAAATCTTTAGTGTAATAAAGCACGCAATTTGTATCAATAAAGTAGTTCATTTGAAATTCACAAGCAAATTAAAATACACATCAACACACAAACTATCGATTAAAAATGGAAATTCATTTTGCTGTCGTCGATGATGATTAGACGCAAAAATCAGAAATGCAACAGAGGATAAAAAATGGTTGTTTTTTTTGTCGCGTTGCGCTTCGGCAACTTGAAAGCCGACTAATTTTATCTCATTTGAATTCATTAGCGTAGCTATTGAGTTGAAAACAGGCGGCATAATGTTTATATTGTTGTATGAAACGCGTGCGGAACATGTTTTCACGTTACGATTCGATCCGTTTTTTCTTCGTCTTCTACATTTTGGGGTGGGTTTTTCCACTACGAGTACGTTATTTCCCTCAATCCAGACGAAATAGATACGATTGCGCGTACCGCCACGTATACGATGTTTACCTTTTCTGAGTCGCACTTGTTATGAGCGCTATGTGCTACTCCGTGCGTTGCCAATAGTGTGCACTGCACATATAGTCTCTCTCTCTCTCTTGATTTTTGAGCGTCAATTGAATAAATAAATTTACAATACACAGATTTCAGCATTACTTTTGCTTTCATCAAATAACCGACTGAGTTCATTCGTTCATCATCATCATTTTTTTGTTCGTTCGGCTGCGCTTTATTCGCGTGAATTTGACGCATGGCGGCTATTCACCTTCGATCCGAAGGCTTCGACAGAGGATGAAAAAAACGTATCAGCAGCAGCAGCAGCAGCATTTAGCTGTGAGAGCAGCACACTGTTCTCCATTTATCTCTGATTTTTCGTGTGTATGTGCCCAAGTTCAATTTATGAAATGAACGCGCTGACCAAACATATTTGGCTCCCCCTTCCGCGACTCGTTCAACAATCCACGCAAACAAAGAGCAATTTTATCGAGAATACGTATTCAATGCCAACGTAACCATTGACTGCCGCCGTTTCCATACAATCGGATAATTATAGCGCTCATCCCCTACGCTTGCATTTAATTTTAATGCCGAGCAATACGTATATGTATATATAGGCGTTCGCCAGCACAAAGGAATCGCATTTGAATATTTTAATCGAAATTTTCCACCACCGAGATAACAACAAAAAAAAATACCAAGATAAAAATCGTCGGGAAAAGAAATCGGACGGCGGTAATCTTTTAAATTGCTTTGGATTTGCGATTTAAGATTAACAATGATGCGATTTTGATGTCTATCCACAAAGAATTGGATCCACAAAATCGACGCCGATGACGACAACGAATGAAGCCATGAAATATAACGAGGCAAAGGTCAATGCTCTTCGACGGAGATGTGCATACACATCACAATAAATCAATATGTGGCAGACGCGGAATGAGTTCCGAATTCGGAATCACTTGCATTCGATCGAGTGTTGCAAAAAGTGTTGGTTTTGTTCACGTAAACTTTCACTTTTCCCTAAAAAAATCGATGCCGCTGACTCATTTCGCCATTATGCTCATTCCTTCGTCTACTGATTTTGATTTGTCTCCTTTTTTCGATGATATTTTCTCTATTCTTAACGAGAGGAAATAAATTAATTACTTAAATTATACCTTTTTTCAAGTGGATATCAGCTTATTGAAACGTTCGCCACACTTATTTTCTCAAACTAAACTTTGAATTGTCTTCAACTAACTTTGGAATATTCGAATGGATCGCACACACAAAACAGATGGAATTCGTGTTTAATGGCTTTTATGTTTGCCGTCGCACTGACTGGCTCCAGAAATCGAGTATGAGTTAAATGAAGCGACCGTGCACTTCGGGATTTATTTTATTTGTATTTACAATACAATAAAATATAAAGCCCGTATGTGTATTGCCATACAACTTTGATAATGCTGCGTTGTACGCATATTCTCTCTCCATTGTGACGCGCGCGGCGACGATGACGGCGGAATGGAAAGGAAAAATCCACCCTCTTCCTCGGTGTTTTTCACAGCGCAGCGGAAAACATTCACGCGCCACATCTATTTATTGCATGTTGCTCTATGGCATTTTCTGTGCCACATACATATACATACATATAAACAGAGAGACGGCGACAAGCGTGACAACAAACCCATAACTATCCCACGATGGAGACGGTATGTACTCGCCTCACTACAAATACCAAACCACCCTCATTTTCACTTTCGATTCCGCCAACATATCACATGTGCATCCATAACACAAGTACACCGTATGCGCACCAACACCGTATGCAGAACAACGGTGCATTCAGTCACGATGGAATGGATTGTTGGCATGATTTTTGCTGCAATTTCGAACAGCCAATGGTTGTTCGGGAATTTTGTCTGTTTTTAACGAATTTTTTTCATGGTAATTCTGATTATTGTTGGCGAATTTTAATTCTTTACATTGAAAATCAGTACGAAGCTTGTTTAAAACCAAGAAAAATGAAGAAATCAATTTTTTTTGAAGTTTTTGACAAAATTCAATAGAAAACATCTGAGACACGCTCTCAATTCTTTCATAACGTTGAAATGATTTTATTTACCAAGAATCGTAAGTCCGTTTAGTACATTAGATTCTACGAAATTATTCACTGTGAGTCGTTTGAATTTGACAGTTCAACGCAATGACAGAGACGACCATACAGTGTGTGTGTGTGTGTGTGTGTGTGTGTGTGTGTGTATGTGTGTGTGTGTGTGAGCTCATCGCAATAACAGTGTATGTTTGACAGTTTATCTACAGCTGTCACAGTAAATTTTCAATGCAAACACAATTTTGTTCGAAGAAAATTACGCATTTCAATGCCACTCATCTATATGAATGAATGTGTTGCCTCAAAAGTTGTCTGTTTTTCTAAGCAAATACAATTGTGAACAATGAATAAAATCATAGAAAATTTCCGTGTCGAGGAATGGTCATACAATTCAAAAATTTAATAGTAAGATAAGTGAAACGTGCAAACGTCAGCAAAACATTGATTATTCGCTGTGTTGGATTTGTTGTTTACATTCTATCGATCAGTGGCATGAAGAAGTGCACAACACAAACTAATCTCATGGAAAGCAGTTCTATGCATCAATTTGTACGATAATAGAATTAAGTCAATGTCACAAATCTAATTAGTTGTTTTTGCATAGTCGTTAATTGTGGAGTGCTATTTGTGTTTTTTTACGCAACAAAGAGAAAGTTTTCTTTCTTTTGTTTGGATATAATGCATTGAATGAATAAATCCAAGCGAAACAGATAAATCGCATATGAAAAGATGAGTGGTCGACTGTTTGGCGACAGCAAAAATTGTACCATGCTACTTAAAAACTTGATGGACAGTGTAAAAGAAGTGCAAAATGTATATGGGAAAAATAAAACTCTTTTGGCCACCGAAAAAGATACAAGGTATGGGAGAAAAGTGTATAAACATTTTCATTGGTTTTTTGTTAACAAAATAAAAAAATTTGTTTGACTTTGGTGATTTTGTTCATTGGATTTGATTTTTTCATTCAATTTCCCATGAATTTTGTCGCGTATCGTCTTTTTGTGAAAATTTTCAATCTTTTTTTTGTCTTTTTCAATCAATTTTTGTCACTATTTTTACTGCAGAGTTCAACGAATGTGTACAAATTGGGAATCAGCATTATCGCATGGACTTAAAACCACATCAGTATTCAAAAATATTGTGTCGGGCAATCTAACCACAGAACTGCCAACCATATCATTTTGGGAATTTGCCTTCAACCATTTGACAAATCATGAGAAAGAACGATTTTCAACGCTACGATATGGTTGGTAATCAATTGAAACCAAATGAGAAGAACAAATGACTTTTTCATTGTTGAAAATTAATTGCGTTTTTGCATTTCAATTGCTGATAATAATACACAAAATTGATTTACAGTTTGCACAGATCATGGGAAGGTGCGTGCACTGATACGCGCTGCGCTGAATGAACGTGCATTGGAACGATACATTTCAACATGGTTGAGTGATACGGCCGGATTGAATACGTATTTTGAAAGCTGGGCGTTAATTCGTGATAACGAAGCGAGCAATCTTTTGCCATCGATTGCCGCCGGTCAGTACAGATTTTTTTCAATACTTTTGTGTGATTTTAATCGGTATAAAATAAATTTTGACGAAATATTGCGGTAAAATAATAAATAGAGTGTTAATCAGTCGCTGCAATGACATTAATGACTGATTTCAGTTCATTTATTCTGTTTGATTTGACACTCAATTATTTATCCATTTTTGACTCGTTTCAGGCCTTGGATCGATTCTTTTTGCTGTGGCAGTTGATAGTCCGGATTTGAATATAGCAACACTGGCCGAGTCGGTATCACCCCGGCAGACGAATGAAATCATCATTGCGGTACCAACGGTGAGCAGCACTACAAGTGAACGAAAATCGGCAGCGTCGAAAAAAGCTGCAGTCATATCATTTGAGGAGGATGAAAGTGCTTCATTGCTAAATAATAATTTGTTAAAATCTTCAACGCCGCCGACGGCGGTTTCTCTGGCTGATGCCTGTCTCAAATATCAAGAAAAACAAAAATTGGCCGAAGAAAAATCGAAGTCATTCACCACCGATTCTACTTATGAGCGTTTGCACGCTGAACCAATTAATATAAGTGCAGTGTATCCAAATGAAACGGATTACATTGAGCCCGAATTTCCAACGTCAATCAAAATTGTCAATCCATTGACTCAAACATATCCATTGTTATCTAACTCATATGATAAGGAAACCGATTCGAATATGTCGAAAGCAACCGACAGCAGTAGCTTCACATCAAACACAACGACACACTCTTCAAACTCACCTCCCGAACAGGTCGCTTCCCAGCCATCACACTCCACTTCGATGAGCAGCTCCATCAGTTCGGATCACAATACGCACAGTTCAGTCAACACAACACCATCGCTCGAAAATGAACGTGAACATGAAGAGGAGAATGAGAACGAGAACCGGATCGAACATGAGAATGGGAATAATAACGAAAATGAGTACATTTCACGCATTCAAGAACTAAAAACCGTTCAACAAGAACATATGTCTCGCATTCAAGAACTTGAAGAACGCTGCGTTCTATTGCAAGATCGAGTACACTCATTAACACTGTGAGTTTACCGTTTAATTTAAATCGAATCCTAATTGAGAATGAAATCGAGTTAGATCTTAACAACTTCCACCACTTCGTATCCTATATAACGAATTTTAAACGATTTCCTTTCATTTCCACAGTGAAAACGCCCGCTTGCGGTCCGTTCATCATAATCTTGTGATGAGTCGTTCAAGTTCTAGGCATTTTTTGGTGAGCATACCGCGTGTTTTGCTGCAACGACGAGAGGATTCGAATAGGAAATATTTTGCTTACGAAATTCAAATTACACCAGTATCGGGTACATCGGGCGTTGAAAATGAGAAATGGTCGTTGCTGAGAAGGTACAGCGAATTTCATCGATTGGATAAATACTTACAAATGAGCAATCCTATGATAAAAACCTTGGATTTTCCGCCGAAGAAGAGTTTTGGGAATATGGTAAGCTGAATTGTCGTTGTTTCGATTGGGTGTTATGGAATCAAGTGGAAATCTAAGCTAATAATCGTTTGTCATCTCTTCTAGAACGCGGAATTCGTGGAAATGCGCCGGCAGCGTCTTCAAGTCTACTTATTGGGTGTGTTATCGTTGATGCCAGAAATAGCAAGGTGCACGACCAGGTCACAATTGGAATGTGCGTTTCCATTTTTTAAGCAGAGCCATCGATTGTAAAGATCATTTACAACTAAAATCGAGATCCAATGTGCTTGAATGTATGAATCTCCATTTCGATAAAGGATCAAAAATCATTCATTTTTGGTTTTTCACTAAATCATTCAAATGAAAAGAGATTGTTTTGTAGCGGTCATTTTTATATTTGTTAGATCAGATATCTGTTAAGGGCTGAACCATGTTCACTATTCACAATCAATTTATTTCTAAAAGAGACTTATTCAACAAATAAAAACATTCACAAATTTGTAGAGAAACGATCGAATTTTATTTTAGCACCTCGAGCCAAATGGCAATGATTGAAATTCGGTTTGAGTTTTTGTAATTTCAGTGAATTCCTTGTCGAGAAGCTCGTGCAACGTTTCTCCGGTGTGCTTGTAAATCCAGTAACCCAATTTGCTGCCGTCTTTTGCATACACAAAATCAAATCTCTTGGGACCGCTGGTGGGCGAGCTCAACCAAATCTGTTTGTTCGGTGATTGTTTATTGATGACATAAGTACCATACGTTGATCCAAGGCTAACAGTCAGAACACCATCCTGGAAATGGATCCAAAGATTTTATTTCACGAAATATTTGCATTAAAAACACCTCTCAAAATTATGAATTCATAATGTACTCAATTCAAAAAAACCCCACCTTATTCACAACATCCGCCGTGGTCAAATGATTGATACTGTCAATCAGCTCCTCGATATAGTCGCAAACACCATCCAAAGTTTCCACACAAAAGTGTTCATAGTCCAGCTGAGTAATCTCAGTTGCATCTGATGAAAATCGAACCGTTTGTGTGGCAATTAAACTACTTTTCGCAGAAAATGTGGTTTGAGCGGGTAAATTTTTAAACAGTCTAATAGTCTCATGGTTCGTTAGGGTTTTTCGAGGCACCAAACTGGCAATTGTTCTTGTTTTCTGCGAAATTTTCACTGAAAATATTACGTTTCGCGCTAGTTGGTTCATTTTGGTCGAATTTTGTTTTGATTACAAAAAATGAGGTTAGATTTTACATGACACTTGAAGACAAGTCGGAACGAACCTTAACGCCAAATAGTTTACGTACGTTTTTCAAATGTGTACTAAAACGAATTTCATGATTCGATCAAAAAAATCTCCCCAAATATTTACTAATTTAAAATATTGATAATTTTATTCTGTTTGATTCGTAATATTTCTTACCATTGAAAATGAATTTTAATTTATTATTAAAATTGAACATTTTCGGACATAAAAAAATAGTACTTACATACGTTCGTTCATATTCCACCCGCGCGGTATTCAACTGAGCTCACACAAATCACGCAGCAAAAATCAATACTAAAATTCTGACGAATTATTTTCCGTACATTCCTTTCATATGTATTGAAATAATGATACCTTTCTGTGATGTTTACACTTATTTATTGTAAATTCATTTTGTTCTTTGTTAAAGCCATCCACGAGTTGGCGACTTAATATTCTTATCATTGAAATCAAATGTGAATTATTTATCAAATAGCATCAAATGCTCTAGTTACGTTTCAAATCATAGTCCATGTCAACTCAATGCACTCTGCAATCAACATGGATCTGCCTTTACAGACGTAAAACTTCTCGTCAATTTATCTACCGGTATAAATTGAGCGACGACTTTTGCTGTCCTAGAGTCTCAAATTAACGCGTAATTAAACGCTTCACATAGCCTTTGTCCCTTGGAAACGTTTACCAAAGGTTATCTTGGACCGTTTGCCATAGACTAATATCAGGCATTTCCATCTTGGTTGCATGACTGTTTTCGTTTCCATGTTCCTACTATTGTGATTACCGCATAATTTACGAAAAGAGCCAGGTTTTTAACGAGGCGAGAACTGATAGTTATCGAAACCTATTGCCACAAATTGTTTATTATTTTAAATATGTAACAGTCTTGCACTCTTTTCCTGCCAAACCCCAATCAAAACCCACATTATATTCAGCCAGAGCTTGGCGGTGTTAAATAAAATAAAAAATAAAATATAATTTGAATTGTTCAAACACAATTTGCCTAATAGTGTTTCAATTAAACACTTTAACCTTGATTTTCAATCAAATTGTGGGCATAATTGATTAATAATCGCTTTAATTTGAAATTGTGTGCTTATTTACCAAGTTAAAAATCCCTGTTTCATTCCGCCATTAGTGGCCTACCCGACCATTCAATCAATTGTTTTCAATAATTCAATGATAAGCGCAATTAAACTAGATTGAATTAATATTATTTCAATACTCCAATGAAACAGTATTGAGAAAGGCTTTCAACCATTTTGTAAATCGATGAGAATCGATTTGAAACAACACTCTAAATGACTAGGCAAGCGAACGAGTTAAATCATTTCTTTATTTTAAAGAAAAGATTTTGAGGCGACTGCGGATTCGAAACCCCGAATGAAACCAGTGACGAAAAAAGTCACACCATTCACCAAAAACTAAAACAGTTGCTAGCGCTCTGTTCAACTCAAAAAATGACGTGGCAAAAGAACGGGTGGCGATAGCTTAGCGGTTAGAGCAGTGGACCGGCAATCCAAAGACCTGTGGTTCGAATCCGCAGTCGCCTCAAAATCTTTTCTTTAAAATAAAGAAATGATTTAACTCGTTCGCTTGCCTAGTCATTTAGAGTGTGGTTTCAAATCGATTCTCATCGATTTACAAAATGGTTGAAAGCCGTTCTCAATACTGTTTCATTGGAGTATTGAAATAATACGAATTTACCCAAAACCAATCACCTTATGAAAAACAATTAGTTCATACGAAATAATTGTAAAAAAATCATAGATTGAATTATAGTGAATTTGGCCCAATGCCATCCTAAGCGAGTTAATGCGGCACTTCCACACTGACATTCGTAGATCGACTATTTCATACATGAAATCGATCCTTTTCTGAATCCAGATTATTTGAATGTAATTGGATGTTGTCGGACATAGCCATAAACCGTAATTAAGTCAATTTGATATTTCTCTATGTGTTTTGAGAATCTTTCCGTTCAAAAACATGTGCAAATCTCAAGGTAGGGTAGGCTTTTTGGGGCAAGTTTCGATTTTCTCATGCGTGGCTTGACCCAAAAAGAAAAATTAGAATACTAAAATTTGCAATTTTCAAGGTCGTTTACCTGTGCCAGTCGGCGACTGAAAATCCATATTTATGGAAAAATTGAATAAATCCCGTTTGAAAAATTTTGACTGATAAAAGTGATTGTCTCGAACAAAATAAGCAACTGCAGTTAACTTTAATCACAAATCACTCTTAGTCAAAATGTCCCAAATTAGTCGACTGACTGAAAGAATAACTAAACGTGATTGTCTCCATACAAAACGCATGATTTCAATCAACTTAGCCAGTTTTAGTTGTTTATCACTGCATACAGTTACATACAACTGAGTGACTGTTAGACATTTTATTTGCACACGGGATTCCTCACTTTTAGTACATTTTCCACATTATGACGCAATACCGACCATTTTATGGCAATTGTTTGGATTTCTCGCCGGAAAATACCTGAAAAAACAGTCGATTCAAAGTCAATGTGATGCCAGTTTACTACCCTATGAAATGCCAAAAGTGGATCTTTTAATTCTGATATTGTTTATTCTAGTTCCTTAAAATATTATCTATAATAAACGTGTTTCAATATATTTAATAAATCATTATTTTAAAAAAATCAATATTCTTCATGAAATAAATGTTTAAACATTGTTGTTAATCATTGTTTAACATTGACACAGCACGACACAATATTATTTCATTGTTTTGTCGTACGCTTTCTTCTTCTTTGCATCTTTTAGTACCTCGTGAGCAGCATTTATTTTCTTGAACACTTCTTGTTGTTCGACCTTATCATCATTTGAAGCGTCTGAATGTTTATCAGGGTGGTGAATTTGGGCGAGTTTTAAATATGCTCTTCTTATTTCTCCTTGAGTGGCATTTTTCGGGACATCTAATATATCATAGTAGTTGTCCGATTGTGATCGTCGCAGTGCATTTTTCGCCTCTTTGAGCATGGTTTCCACATCAGCAGATCTTTTGATTCTTAACAATTCTTCAAAGTCTTGAATACACTTTTGGAAATTCCCCATAGTGAAATGACATTTTGCCCGCAGCCTCAAGACTTTAGTATAGAGGACGCTATTTTTCACAACTCTGGTACAATCGTTGATCGCATTGCGAACGAATCCAGCCTTTGAGTTTGCAAGAGCACGATTATACAACAAATTCTGAATAATTGTCGAATTAACTGGACCGATTTCAAGAGCTTGTGAGAAATTTTCACTTGCTTCTCGGTATTTGCCTTCCTCTAGCAATTTCTTCCCTATAAATAGAAACAAGAATAATGAATAACGATTTTCTACTCAAATAACGACATAATTTTGATAAAAACAATACCGATTTTATCTTTTTGTTTGAACTTTCTCAAAGTTAGGATCCTTTTTATCGTTTTCTTATGGTCAGGATCTAAAATTAGTACATTTTCAAAGTATTTGAGCCCCAGTTCCCAGTCTTTTTCATATAAACACAATGCACGTATATAAACCGCATCAGCACTAGATGGATCAGCTTGCATACATGCTACGGCTAAATTATTTGCTTCCTGGAAACGAACGAAAATACACCCATTAATCCATCTGACTTACTAGTGTCTATAGTTCTGATCCGATCAGATTAACTACGATTAGAACCCTTAATTTACGAGCATAATTTACCTCGAAGCGTCCCAGCAATGCTAGACATTCGCCGCGCAGTAATTTCCATTTGATTGAGGAATGGGCAATTTTCGAGGCTTCATCAACATACTCGACTGAAATTGTATTTGTCAAACGAAAAAAAAAACCGTTTTTAATTTCTTAGCAAAATTTAAATATTGTTTGGAAATAATTATTACAGTCAGTCTCTCTGTTTTCTGGATTTGTGATTATTTTTCAACTCGTAACTAAAAACAAAATGATTCAACCTACGTGATTTTTGAAAATTGCTCTTGTTATAATATTTCGTAGCATTTTTTTCCAATGCGATCAATTCGTTGCACTGTTTCTTGCATTCAATTATGATGTCATTTTCAGATTCAATTTCTTTCCATTTCCGATTGATGTCTTGGGCAGCAAAGGTGTCACCAAGGATCACGTAACATTTCACCATGTACCCATATCCTTTTGAGAACAGCAATATGGATCGACATGCTCCGAGAGCTTTCTTGTAGTCGCCTATCATCATCAGGCATGCGATTCGGCTCTCATAAAAGGAAACATTTTCCGGCCATAAGGAAATTGCCTCATCATACATTTTCAAAGCATCTCGATAGTTTTTACCGTCAAAATATTGGTCCCCATCTTTTTTCTTCTTTTTCGCATCGTCTCTTTTCAACAATGGTTTCAAACCATTTATATTCGAAGTGATATCTTCTTTTTGTCAGCCATTTTCTCTTACTGCATCACTGTTCAACGCCGATTTAAAGTCCTCGAGAGATTTTCTAAAGTCACCAACATATTTGTGGCATTTTGCACGAAGTAATAAAACATCGATATGACCCGGTCGAATGTTTAACGCTCTATCACAATCAATGATTGCTTTATGCGAATTTCCGACTTTTGACTGTGCCGTAGCCCGACTGTACAGTAATTCGAAGTCAAACATATTATTTGATGATGAAATCTCCAAAGTCTCTGTGTACACGTCGATAGCTTTACGATAGCGACGCTGTATAAAATAATTATTACCTAGGGATTTGGCAACATAACCGATTGAAGCAAAAATTAAAATAATTTTGAAATTTCCATAAATTGAAATATTTTACCGTCGATTTTTTTCGCAATCAGACACTCTAGTTTCGATTGTAACATTTTCGATCTGTCATGATTTGGATCATCTTCGAGTGCTGCTTCTAAACTTGATAATGACTCATCTAAATTTCCTCTGCAGTAATGGCATAGACTGTTGAGATAAAGTTTATCTGCACCAAACAAATTTGATTGTTTTTGAAGCTTCAGAATTTCCTAAAATTTTATCGAAAATAATGAAATAACATTTTTTTAGATGAAATAGTCGAAAGCATTCGATACTTTAATATCGCCATGATGCATGAAACATTCTGCTTTCAAAAGTATCAAATTCGCATTATTGGGAAAGATGTCTAGGCCACGGCTAGCATGGAGAACTGCAAAAATTCAATATTAATAATTATTTGGGTTCGCTTAGATTGAACATCAATTTAACATACTTGTGCTTAGGTATTGCTTCTCTGCATAGCTCTGAAGGGCAAGTTTTTCGCAATTCCGCAATTGAAGAACGTTTGTGGAAACACACCCTCCAATTTTTTTTCTGGCTACGGCGCTGACCATCTGCATACAGTCTTGTATGGTATGTTTAAAGGCATTCAATTTGAATAAAGATTGGGATCGGTTGTAATAGAATACTATGTTATCGGGCCACAGATCAATAGCTTGAGTGAATTGTGTCACCGCCATTCCATATTCGCGTTTATTGAAATGTTCGCATCCTTTGACATTTTTCTCTTCTGCCAGTTTATGTTTCAGTTTGGTTTGTACGTATTCAAGCTTTTTAGATACATCGTCGAATGATTCATTGCCTTCATCTTTTTTTCGACATATGACTTCATAGTCCTGCATCGACATTTCCAGTTCTCCCAAAAAATCGTAGCACTGGGCACGAAGTAGCAAAATTTCAACGTTTGTTTGACAAAACACCAACGCTTCATTGCAATCATCGATAGCACTTTGATGGTTTTCCATTTTTGAATATGCAACGGCCCGATCATGTAGCAAATTGACTTTTAACAACACATTATGCGGACACATTTCAAGAGCATTTGTATAAAATTCAATCGCCTCAGTAAATTTTTCGCAATCAATTAAATCCTTGCCTATACAATCCGAAACAAAGTATCCAAAAAATATTTTGTGAATGAATATTTGATCAATATGAATAAAATACACTCTTGGTACTTGATTACCTTTTTGCATGGTTTTTTCTAAATTGATAACATTGTCTCGCATCACCTTTTCATCAGCGTGCGTTGCATCAAATTGATCCATTATTGATTTGAACTGTAACATCATATCACTCACGTCTCTCAAGTATAAGGGCATGTATTTAGGATCAGTATCATTCAAATGTGGTTGGTTAATAGATGTAAGCATTGCCGAGAAATCTGTTATTTCCTTTTTTAAATGAGAAAAGACCAGTTTCAGATTTATGTTTGCAATCGTTTGTCTAATAGAAAAACTGATGATGTGTACCTTTATCCGTTCCAAAACGTTGCTACAGTTAATGAGAGATTTCTCTTTTGCTGAATCAAAATTTGTGGTGCAACTTTCAGGATTATTGTCTACGAATTATTATATGAAAAAAGGAATAAGCATTTTTATATAAGAAAAGAAACACAACAAATATCTTACTTTTCTTATCACCTTCATGGTCTGTAGTTTGATTTTCGCAATATTTAGCAATATTTCTTGGCGTCTGATCGCCCGTCGATATTATTTCTGTTTTATCCATATTTTAAAACAATCACCAAACTTATAATGGATTTTGAGTTTCGTTTTTAATTATAACACAATTTCAAAACCATAAAATTCAGAAAATATCCACTAAAATGCATTTGGTAGACTAAAGTTTGACAAATAACACCAATATAAGAACAATTCACAAGTGGCGTGCACATACGCAGTTAATTTCAAACTTCATGTCTTTTCAGCGTACTTCATAACACACTTCCATATATAAATATAATCATAAACAAATACGTCTGCTGATTGTTGCGTTTTTATTCTTATACATTTACATCCTCATACGCATATATATGTGCACGTGAACACTCATTCGTCCGTCTTTCTGTTGTTAGTAAATATTAGTCTTTTGATTATATTTTTATTACAACAACAATACGAAGTATTCTGCACCTATGCTGGGTGAGATCATCATGTACAATCAAGTATATATGGCTAACTTTTGCACAACACTGGTGTAGAATATTTACTACTCCGGTCAGTTGATTTATCAAATTAAAACCATCGTTTGGTGATGTGACGATCACATCTATCAGTATTTACTTCGTTGCCTCCGATTTCCCAGAAATAATACAAATTTCGCCCACCATCAGTCCTTTTTCTTCTATCAATGTTTATTCTTTTACACATATTTTGTTTGATGCAATAATAATAATGAAAAATCAAACGTTAATCGTTTTTATTCCGATTTAAAAGCTTCGTATTCCTTCCCAATAAAATAACACGACACAATATAGGTTAAAAAATCTGTTTAATTAAAATGCATACAGATTGTTATATTGTTAGGGTTTAAAGAACTTTTTGTACGTCACAAAAACTGTCTATTTTTTTCGATTGGTAATTGCGAATATTGTATATTTAATATACTGTATTTTAAAATATATCAGATTATTATATAAAAGCAGAGATGACTTTAGCGCACTCCGAGTATTTTTGTTGTTTTTTCGTTCTACTTTAGCTTTTTGGCCAGGATTTTTTTAAAATAATATTTTGTGTAACATGACGAGGAAGAGCTTATATTTTCTGCCCCCGGCATTCGCATTGTGTAGTCATATGCAGCTAGTAATTACGCGCATTGGCTCAATTTCGCAATATTACGCAATTTCTACTTTTGGAGATTTTTTCTTCATATTTTACTAATATAAATGTGGTTTTTCAAAATCTGTTCTTTGTTATGTTACACAGAATATTGATACAAAGTTTTTTTTGACCAAAATGGTAAAGTATAACGAAGAAAAAAAAAACAAAAAAAACAACACAAATACTCGGGCGCGCTAAAGTCATCTCTGTATAAAAGAAACTAAATTTTATCAAAATCGTTTGAAAAATGTGGAAAATATAGGCCTAAAAGGTCGTCAAAAATGTAAGAATCAACTAACAGAAAGTTGATACAAAAACTATTCCCCACTAACTTCAAAATGGAATAGAAACAACTCGATTTAAATTAAAGAATTGGTTATTACTAAACAATTGTTGAACATTTAATTTTCATTGCACTTTCAGTTTACTTATATTTTGAAGAAAAAAAAACAAAAAATTCTATGTTGTGAAATAAAAGAAGAGATTGGGACGAAACTGTGTAAATTGCGTGAACAGAATGTAGATCATTCCATTTTAAGTTTACACCATTACCACACTTGGTTCAAATTTTGGATTAAATGTTAAGCGAGTTACTGCAAGACCAAAATCCAAACATCTTGAATATAAGCCAACACTATACATCCATCCATTTACAAAAGGTCTTAAAAATAATTTATTCCCTGCGTTTTTGAATCCAAGGCCAATTTCAACACCCACATCATAGATAACATAATAATAATGAACCTGACATATGTACTTATTGGTAAAATTGCCGTAAATAAAATTGATTGTTTCAAATGTTACTGCACCAAAATTATTTTTACATGGTTCACCGAAGGTAGAACCGGATTTGGCTCTGCCAGTTGTTTCCACGGTAACAGTTGGGTATTTTTCAATGAACTTATCAACATTATCCGCATAGTCAGTGTAGGTTACTACTGGATATGGAATTGAATAATCAGCACAACGTTCCGTCTTTGACCAATTTGCACAAATTCGGCAAAAATGAGAGTAATTCATAACATATGGGGGTGGATCAACCTGGAAGCAAATATCATACTTTTTAAGTGGACTTATGGAATTGGTGCTATGCACATTTTACAAATTTGTGTTCGATCAATGTAAGAAATTGGCATGAAAACTCAAAGTATCAAAAACAAAATGTGATTTTCCTATCTTTAAGATAGGAATTATTTTTTCTAATAAAATTTCTTGTGTATAACAATAATTTTTTTTAGAAAAATACTAACTTTTGCTGCAATCTCTGCACTCAGTATTAGCACCAATAACAAACAAATCGAAGAGGTGGAGTTGCGGTTTTTTAATCTCAATGCCATTTTATGTGACAAACACGAACTTTATGCCGAACTGATCACAGAATCTTTTGTTTCGTAAATCCTTATATCTCTTCAAACGTATTCGAAAATCACAAGACGACTGGAAAAAGCTAACTAAATTCAAAGAAAATTAAATCAATTTTGTATAAGAGTGAATGAAAACGTTGGAATGCGCTAATTACTTGCTCGTTCCTGGAGTGATCTCCTTATAACTTTTCTCACTTTTGCAACAGCTCTTTTATACAGTTGGACATCGTTATTTTTCGGACAAAAATAGAAGGCAGTATACATAACGAAATAAATAAACTGATAAACTTACTTCCTTCAATCGAAAAACAGTCTTTTGCCAGATAGCATATCGCATGACTTGTAAAACTGATTCGAATTAAAGTCCATCACGAAATAAAGTGTTCGTAAGAATTCCGGGAATTAACTGCTTCTATCACATTTATTCCGCGAAATAGTCAGAACAGATTCTTTTATCTATACAGTTTCAACATAAACTTCATCATGAAACTTATATTGATTTGCTTCGACATAGAATGCTCTCACAATTAAAACATTTCTATAATTCAAAGTGATTCATTTATCGAATAAAAAGCTGTCGGTAATTTCAGCTCCAAAACGATGAGTGTATTGAAAATGAAGGAAAAAAACTCAATCTGTATGAACATTGTTCATTGAACAATTCCAACAATTTAATGCAATTTCAGCCCAAGAATATATGTAGGTTTTGAACATACACAAAACAAGATCAAAGTTACCATGAATAAAACAAGTCAACATCCATTATGGAGCTTGCCGCCAGTAAAAAATTGATTAAGGACGCTCCAATTTACTGTGGTGTGCTGTGATGTATCTCTTAAATTGCAAGATTAGCGCAAACATTTTTTTTGAACAAATCTTCACATTCGTTGGTGCTAAACACTTAAATAGATTTGCATTTGGTAGCGCCGTACGACGTTTAAATCCAAAGTTCGATACGATGAGAATATGTTTGCGTTGGTGAATTATTTTATTTTCTCCAGTTTGAAATTAACATTTGGAACAAACTGTGTCTTTTACACATGCCAGTAATTGGAATGAAATAGTACACAATGGGTTTAGTAGCCGAAAATCGATGCTCTGTATTGCCAGTAGAGAGTTTGTTTTGCTTCAATAACAACAGAGATTCGTCTTGTTCCGACTCCTCCCGAGACGATATAAGCGCTACCCAAATTCGAGCTCTGAAATTGATTTAAGAAAAGTATTTTTTAAATATTTTTTGCATTTTTGTGAATTATTTTCAAAGGAAAAAATAAAGCGATATATTTTTATTCCTTGTGTGAATAGAAGCGAACACTTTAATAAACCGATAACTCGTTTTAAAATGAATGTTTGCATTTATCGTTATCAAGCAAATCGTACTTTAATTCATCAACTCAAAAGTGGTTTTAAAATAGAAGTGACGTTAATATTTTACCTGCTCAGTGATGACTTCAAGATAGGTGATGACCTCTCCAAATCCTCCAGATTTGGGATAGTTCAAATTGAGTCTTACATCTTGTGGTCGACCCCATTGTTGGCTGGCTGAATCGGTTGCCAAAAGTCGATCACCTGAAAAATTCAAATGATGTTAAGAGATAGTGTCTCGCTTCTTCAATGGCAGATAACTTGACTTAATTCACTGAGAAGGATAAAACAGCTACTCACCACTTATACGGTTGCCCATTCGGTGCGTAAGTTGAGTTCTTGCGGTTGGTCCATTATAGCTCACTTTTCTAGCCAATCGTTTCAACTGAATGCCCGGGTAAGCAGCCAAGAAATCGGTTAAATTTTGCACAAAATTGAATTCGACTTTCGATCCCAAAGCATAGTTCGAACATTCGACAAGATTGAAGGCAAGGGCCGAAACCAAACAAATAACGAAAACGCTTGAACGAAACATTTTGCGAATTGAATTTTGCACTTTCGAAGTAAACTGTTCAGTAGAAGATTTGAACTGATTTTTGTTCGAATGATTATCGACTTTTATACTTGAAATTTGGCTGTTATCAGGCTTTTATTGTTATTGACCAAATTTAAAACTGGAAAAATTATTGATTTCGTGACACGATACAGATCATGAACAACACTCGTGAGTTTTTCTTCTTAGAATTTTATCTCAATGGCCTATGGATAATGAATCATGTATTTTGAGTGTCTCACTAAACAATGGCAATTATACGCTAATCGAATTATTTTTAAAAACACTTATCCTTCTGAAATAAAAGCGAAGATTGATCTAACAAACACGAATTTGTCATGTTCATGACTCATTGATCTCTTTAGTCATTTTACAAATACAATTTGACGATTCTAATGATTACCTTCTCTAAATTATAGTTCATTCATTGGCTTGCTATGAAAAATACATACAACGATAATGATTGTGTATTAGCACTTGAATCGGAGAAACTAGATATAATAATTTTTCTTGAAAATCGATTCAATCTCGTCCTGAGTTCGATCGGCCAATGCATTCACTGTCAAACTGAATCCCAAGTGCTCACGATTTTTCGAGTGAATGTAGCGTAAATTTTGCATGAAGACATTTTGCCGAGTCATTCTTTCATCAGTTGTTGCATATGCAACTCCATGTATATTCATGAAACGTTTGTGTTCGAGATAAATATGCGATGAATCAACTGGGTGGACAAACTCATTCATTGGATTGAAAATTGCGTAATGTTCAACACCAGGTCCTGGGAAACCAACGCACGATTTACCTGTGTTCAGAGTAGAAAGATGGCAATTGCTATTTTAGACAAATGTTCTAGTCGAATGAGATTTTATTATAAATTATGACAGAAATCACCTTCATCCACTTCAAATATAGGCTATATTATATAGCATCGGGTATTTCGTCACTCGAATAGTTGTTATAATCCAGGTGATAATGATCGTAGTGTGCCCCAATCAAATTATCCCAACCTAATACTTCAAAGCGAATTGGAATTGGTTTACGAGTTGAATCTGGCATTTCCACATATCGCACCCACATTGTGTATTTCTGACTGTTCCGATCGATTATCTCTTCATACACAAACTTGTCACATTTCCAACCAAGCAGCTCTTCTGAGTCTACGGAATGTTTTGGTACATTTTGATTATGTCTTCAAAAAAAAAATTCAAATGAGATTAAATTACGTTTACTACTCGTATTCATATTCTGTCTTACCTATCAATTGAAACTCCTAAATTGAAACTCCTTACAATCAGGTAAAATGGGCTGATATTTAATTTGGCGATGTTCAGTGCCATTGACTTGCAAACAGGTGATTCTATTTGGTTCTTGATCGGTTGTAACTGCAACCACTTTGAGTGATGTGCCATGCACTCTGCTTTGGCTCAATTGATACGTTTTCACGGTGCCGTCATAGTAATCGATACGTGACTGTTTTCGGAGCTCATCGATCCACGCTTCAAATGGCTCCTCAATTTCTGCGGATAGAGTGTACAAAACACCTTTGACACTGTGGACAGGATCCCATTGAGGCGGCGGTGAACATAATGTTTTACCTGAGCGACGATTACAAAATAAATTAGTCGATTATAAGCTATGCATTTGTCTTGTGAAGAAATTATGTGTTCAAAGTCTTATCTATAACGTTTGCATATAATTGCTCTCATTATTTAACATTTCTTTCAATTTCTAAGGCAAAGCACCGATAGCATCTATTACGTAAAGGGCAATGACATCTGCTCGCAATTATCATCAGGAACGGTCCATCGTATCTATGTGTATTAATGAAAAATATCTAACGTATGTCTGGTTTTTATTTACATTATTGAATAATATTCAAACTTGTTTGAAACATTTCGAACAATGCCCAAAAATAGCGAGCATTCAAAAACGTTCATCGCATTCTTCTTACACTTACAAAACCAGTCCGAAATCAACATTTTTTCATAACAGAAGTTCTTACTCATAAATTGAATAAAGCAAATATCCAAACAAATACTCAAATATTGCTAAACTGTTTGTCTAGACCGAATCGCCTCCACCTTTTCAAATAATATACTACAGCTGAAATGCCATGAGCAAATTCCGAAATAATATGCAACTTGTTTAATTTTCTCGAAAATTTATTATTTTCTTCAAAAAATAGTATCAATGGCTACAAAATAATGTATTTATGGCTTGAAAAAAAAAAATGAATTGATTCTTAAACATTTGTTTCTAATATCAATGTTCTGCCGTAGCAGACCATCTATCGCGTTTGGTTGGCTGGTATGGAGTGAAAAATAAAATTGTATTTTAATATAAAATGTTGCTTAATAGTTGAATTGAGTGTTTTAAAATTTGCTTAGAAAGTAACGTAGGTTGGGGTAGTAAGAACACCACAGTTGTTGTCACGAGCTGACATCAAAACCTGTAGGGAATCAGTGGAAAAACGAGATATTTTAATTTTGAGCTCGATTTCAGTATTCGATAGATTCGAGTTATTGTCGTTACTTTTCACTTTAGGACTGTACTTACATAGCCGTCGTTACCCCAGAGGTTACTCCAACTGTTCTTGACCAACCAGTATTGTTCACCGTTCATGATGCCATAGCCAACAGCCAAGACGGCATGATCCAATTCGTTCTCTTTGTTTCCACTGGAAAATTAAAAAAAAAATTATTATACAGGCAAAATTGAAAAGAATTAAAACACAAACAAAATAAAAAAGAAAATCATCAACAATGATCAAATATTCACCATTTTGGTTCGAAGTAAACGCCATGCGAGTAGAAGCTGAATGCCTTGTGTGAGGCGTCAATGGCAACGGATATTGGACCATGTTTGAGAAGAGCAACTTTTAAAGCGTTTGGATTGCCAGTGGTAACATTGACCCAACCGGTGATTGGTGCAACGAGTGTAACGTTCGAAGCTCCAACATGACAAAATCCATCTTGGCCTTTGTAGCCACCGTACGATTCCTCGGTTGGAATACCACCGTTGTGCATGATCCACGAGTAGGCTCGGAAATCTTCGCCACCATCGCATCCATTGTTGCCATATCCCCATGAGCAATCGACCAAAGCTTGTTGCGATACACGAACCAAATTGCCGCCATTGTGCAAGAATAAAGCACCTTAGGGATAAAAGCATAATTTTTTTTAAGAAGTTCTTATTTTTAAAATATTTTATGACCTCGATGTTGGATTAAAATAATTTTTACCTTCAATGGCACCACTAGTACCGAAAGACCTAATAGCCAATAAATAAATAATGTTATGTTGTGAGACAAAATTTGTGCAATTGTCGAAAAGTTTTTGATATGAACAACTTTTTCATAGTTTATTTTTCTCACCAGCATGATCCACAAACGGATTGATCTTTCACTGGTGTAACGGCTCCAAACAAACGCCAATCGTAGTCATCTGGCAAATCTTCCAAAGTGTCTTCATCCAATTCATATGGGAATGGTTTGCCACCGTTGTAAATGCCAACCGTTCTCTTGAAGCCACGCAATGCTTTGAGTTCATCTGGTGTGCGATCGGTCAAATGATTCACCGCCAAACTGAAGCCCAATTGTTCACGATTCTTTGAGTGAATGTAACGCAAGTTTTGCATAAACACACTGTGACGTTGCACTCGTTCGGCCGTTGTGGCATACACAACACCATGCTTTCGCATGAAACGAATGTGCTCAAGATCAGCATGCGTCGATTCGGCTGGGTGTACGAACTCCTTCATTGGATTGAATGTAGCATAGTGGCCATTGCCTGGACCGGGGAAACCAACGCATGGTTTATCTATTTGAGGGAGGGATGTGGCATTTTGATTATTTGAAAATCTTATTGCCATATGTTTCGCACCGAAAGAGTACTACTCTCATACCAAATGAAAAGAATGAAGACAAAAATGGGAAATTGGATGAAAATTCAACTCACCTTGATCAACTTCAAAGATATCATCTGGAATGTCATCGTGTACGTATGAATTGTAGTCAAGATGATAATGATCATAATGTGAGCCCAACAATGTATTGTAGCCACGCATTTCATAACGAACAGGGATTGGCTGTCGTGAAGCTGGATATTTTGGTGATTTGACGTAACGCACCCACATTGTGTATTTGTTGGTCTTTTGGCCGATGGTTTCTTCGAAAATGAATTTGTCGCATGACCATCCAAGCAGATTCTCGGTACCTAAATATTTGTAATTAACAATAATGAAACATCTTGGAAACATCTTGAAAACGATACATTTTCAAATGAAACATTTAGACTTTTTTCTTTCGTAATAATTTTGCATCACTCATAATAACAATTTCAACTCAAATTGTTCAAGTTAAAATAAAATTCAAATGAACTAAAAAAAAAATCAATTACCAGCCAATGTAAACTCTCTGCAATCGGGTAAAATGGATTGTGGTTCGATGCGATTATCACTGGTGCCGTTAACTTGTAAGCAAGTGATTTCATTTGGTTTTTCGTCGGTTGTAACAGGGGCAATTTTCAATGACGTGCCAAAATCACCTTCACGGCTCAATTGATAGGTTTTCACTGTGCCATCATAATAATCGATACGCGAGCGATTTGTGTGCTTGTCAAACCATGCTTCGAACGGTTCTTCAATTTCAGCATAGGGAATATATAAAATACCCTTCACAGTGTAAACGGGATCCCATCTTGGTGGTTTCGTAGCCAATGCTTAACGGGGAAAAAAATTATGTAATCGCACTTATTATTCACAAATAGTGTTTTTTTCCTATTTTGTTCTCACTTATTTACTAACAAGTGAACCGATGCGTGTTTTGCTTATCGATTTCGATTCTATTTTGCCTCTTCTCATTTGTTTCTCTCCTTTTTTGCGTGCTCTCGTGCTATTTTCGAATCGGATGAGATAACGGCAATCGGTTCAAACGGATTTTTTTCTTTCTCTCTCTCGGTTTGGGAAAGAGATTGAAAGTCGCAATAAATGTATTTCGTGAAGATCACACACAAAAAACATTTTCTTTCAAAATAATCGAACAATGAACAGTCGAATATTTCACAGAATTTTTGTGATGAATCGCGATCATTATTCGTCAATGTCATGTGCAGTTCTTTGGAATCAACGAGATTATTTTTTTGTTTGAATTTATCGTTTTTTTTTTGAACAGATGTTTATCAGTTATTATGTTTTCTTCTCTGTTTTCACATTTAAAATAAACACTGACTACATTTTTATTGCTTGCAACCCAAAGTTTGATACACAATAGAATGAAGAACCTATCCGAGTATGAGTTTATTCTACCTGCGTTCAATTTCAAACAAGTCAACTGTTAACACAGCTGATTCGAATGGTTTGTATATTTATAGTTTGAAGAAAAAATGTTCATGAATCCTTAAATACCAGGTAAAAGATTCATTCAATTCAAAACAAATCGAATCTAGTCGATTCAAAGCACGTTACGTTATGTTTTCTTGGAACAAAGACAAACCGTCTCAAAGATGCATCGTGCATTTTGGTTCAGAGAAAATGAAAATGTGATGAGAAAATAACTGAATTCTAATTTTAGTTCTAAAATTAATGCTCAAAATGTCTAAAATTAATGAAGAAAATCGTGCAAAAAGTGCATTTCTCCAGAAAAAAATTCATCGAATAACAGAGGCAATATTACTTCAAGTAGAGCAAGTATTAAAACATAATCTGTTCTGTCGCCTAATTCAATTAATTGAACGAATAATGTGCAAAATGTGTTTGTCATGGCATATGACACTTGCTACACTAATCGGTTTATATATGCGAGCAGTTTAGATGGCAAAAACTACAAAGACAACTTACCACCGATACAAAGTGCACTTAAAACGAGAAACACCAATTTCATCGCAGAATATTGATTATTTCTCGGCGAAAATAAAATGAACTCAGAATATGATAAAGTGAATTTAAAAAGCGAAAGTATTTCTTTTCCTTCTCCTCGTTCGAGTCAGTGCTATCGACTCGACTGCAACACTTCAACTAATTTCGAAAATAGCCGATGAACTTACATTTTATTCTTCTCACAACTTGTTGCACGCATACACAGACAACGAAGTTCGTACGAGCAGTGCAAATACACTCGCATTGAGTATAAACGAAGATGCTACAGCGAATGTGAGAAAGAGGAATAGAAGAAAATCGTCTATCATTGTTCTTGTGACGAGAGCCTTATCGTTCGTTCTCGTCGTTCAGTGGATTCTGATGTTTCATCACACCATTCTCACAGCATAAATCAAATGTATTGAGTGATGTTTTCTCTCTCTCTCTCTCTCTCTCTCTCTCTCTCTCTTTCTTACTCTCATTGAAATTAAACGATTTTTGCTCTGATTGAAACAAAACGACGAAGTTATCGACGACGCAAAAACCGTTTTTGAATTGTGGAGTTTGAATCCAAATAATCGAATTGTTCCTATGAACTTATTTATATCTCGTTTTTCCGATTAATTTCATCATTTTTTTTCAACTAATGCGAACGATTAAATTAATCATGTTATAGAGTCGTTTCCATCAAAAGTCTGGCAATTTTGATGATAATTGGACGAAATTTCAACGTCCGAAAAGAAAAACTCAAGTGAAATTTCATGGTTTTATCGCTAACTAAAAATTTATCAACATTAAAACCAAGTTGAATACGTTTTTCCGCTTTTATTTGCAATATTCTTAAAAAATATTCTAACAAAACGATAGGATATTCAAAGCACCATTCAAGCCAACTTTCCGTATCCGTACACATTCTTATCCATCGGTTCAGTTGGTAAACGTGCTGGATTCTGGAAGGAAACGATTACAACGATAGAATATTATTTTTTTACATGCTGTAAACAACATTGTAAATCTATTGACTAGATCGAGAGGAGAGTATGTGAAAAAATTCTAATATATTTTGAAAGAGGAGAGTATGTTTTCTGACGATTCTGTTGGCGTTAAAGTAGAGTATGTTGTAGTACCGTCTAGCCTCTGCGGTCTTCACGGTTTTCGCGCAACTAATAGGAGATAACAACATAGTGTCTTCTGCAAAGTTGTAGTACTCAAGGTCTTCTATAACATTGCTGAAGACATCTATCTCTTATCCCTTATCAGTTGCGCGCAAATCGCGCACATAAAAAAGCAAATTTTATATAGAACTTTTTTTTTAATCATTTTTCGCGCTTTTCGCGATACTGATAAGAGATAAGAGAGAACTGACTTGAGCAATGTTATAGAAAACCTCGAATGCTACAACTTTGTCGAAGACACCAAGTTGTTATCTCCTATCAGTTCCGCGGAAACCTTGGGAAACCGCGAGGACCCGCCAAAAATGAACATACTCGCCTTTAACCATTTTTGAGTCGAAAGAAACTTGCTCTTCTCTTTCATAACAAAGTCAGATGAACTTACTCTCCTCTCGATCTAGTCAATAGAAATGTGTGTGTTATTTTCAATCAACATATGTTTTCACTCACCATTTCCTTAATGCGATCCTCCAAGATGCCGTATGCATAGTGATTTAGAATAATGTCTCTGGGTAGGGCAACCCCTTGCACACGATAAAAGCTATCTGTTTTGTTGATATCGCTAATTTTGAACACACCACCGATTGTGCATCGACCAAGTAGCGCCGTTGATCCCATCATTGGTCCTCGACTGATGTCAATGTGATCTCCGATACGGTAAATAATGACTGAACCATCTTTTGAAATACTTGGCAACTGCTCACGCTTAAATGGACAGTCTTTGAAGATTTCCAAAGCCAAATCGTGCATCACCTCAAGCCGTTCGAATTTCAGGTCTTTTGCAGCCATTTTCACCATTTCAGCTGAAATGGTTCGCAACTCTTCTTTGTTTGGCTTCCAGTTTTGATGGTTCAATGAAATGTCATACACGAAACTACCGGACTTTACATTCGGTGATGGGAAACTGTGCAATTGAATGTTGACTGAATCCTTGAAGACTTTCGATAGAGCGGCGCCCAACATGAACGAACACGAACGCCAAAATGCACTGGAAAAATGAAATTAACATTGTGTGAGGAAATAATTTTTTGGTCATGTTTTTAGATGAATTCAGATGCACTTTGAACTAAAGATTACAAATAGACCTAGTAACAAATTATTGATTTTTTTTCGAATAAACACTTTGATTTCTTACCGATTAGCCAAGTATGGTTCGGCAACGGTGAAATTCAACAGCTGCAGTGTACATGAATCCTCAAATGGTCTGTGCATATCCCATGGAATTGTACCATCAATCAAAGCTATTGCGGATCGGTTGCAGTGAACATCCGATAAATCTGTTTGAATAAAAGATTTGTGATTAAATTCACAGATTTTTTGATCCGAATAAACTCCGAACAAAAGCTGTGCTAGCAAGAAAACTTGAAACAATTTCGAAATTCCATCCTTACGTTGTGCACAATTGTACGGTGTAGACAGGTTTTTGTTCATAACAAGTGTACAATCTTCGGGCAAACCAAGGTAGCGCACTTCAATTTTCTCAATTCGACCAACAGCATCTCGTTGTCGTTTCTTTTCCAACTCAAACAATTCATTTTGATAGCGTCGTACATCGTCTCGCGTTGAGGCCCATCCTAAAAACACAAATCCAAAGAGATTCTCATAACATTTTGCTTTCAATCTAACCTAAAAATGCGGCAACCCACTACTTACGTTGTGAGAATTTGTAGATATTTTGGAAATTCGTCGATAACCTTGGGATGTGTCGTCTCAGTGAGTTCATATTGATTTAAATCTTATGATAAAAAAAAACATTCACTTCATTAATTTAAATAAAGTTTTTCTCTTGTTAAAAATCCGACATACACACAATTCGAAATGTTATCGTCGAACGAATGTGTGTCTGGCGATGGATGACAGTTCGTGTGAAGTGTGTGAGCCAACTTCACATTGGTCGAACTGTCAATCGCCATACTTATTGTTCTTTTCGCTGATTCGTTTGTTGCGATTCACACGTGCTTTCATTGTATTGCGATTGAAAATAGTTTGAAATTTTCCAAAAAAATTCGACAAAAAGTCCAACAAATCGCCCAAAACATGGAAGTGGATAAAAGTGCCAACATTGATACTGATGCTTTTTTGCCGCCAGCTGGTAGACAGCAGGTAAAAGCGGGTAAAAAGCGAACAATCAGCACATCAGCCGGAGCTGAGGAACAAATGCAAGTGGACGAAGCCAGTGGCATCGAAGGTGCACGCAAAACTCAAGCACCAAAAGCCAAACGAAAGAAGCCGGCCAATGTTGAAATCCGTAAAGTTCCAGTGCCATCACACAGGTTTGTACAGAAAAATTCACAATGTGTTTTGCATTCGTTGCTAATAATTTTTTCGCCTTGCATTGCTTTTAGATATACCCCACTGAAGGACAACTGGTTGAAAATCTTCGAGCCATTGGTTGAGAATTTGAAGTTGCAAGTGCGATTCAATATGAAAGCGCGTCAAGTGGAAATTCGATTGAGCCCCGAAACACCAGACGTTTCAAATCTACAGAAAGGTGCTGACTTCGTCAAGGCTTTTGTTTACGGTTTTGACATCGATGACGCAATGGCTTTGCTCCGATTGGAGGATCTGTTCATCGAAACATTCGAAATTAAAGATGTAAAAACATTGCGAGGTGATCACGAAAATCGTGCCGTCGGCCGATTGGCTGGTAAAGGTGGTCGCACCAAATTCACCATCGAAAACGTTACAAAAACCCGTATCGTTATCGCCGACACCCGAATCCACGTACTAGGAAGCTATCAAAATATCCAATTGGCTCGACGGGCTCTGTGTAATTTAATTCTTGGCTCACCGCCAAGCAAAGTCTACGGCAATTTGCGCTCCGTTGCCAGTCGCGTATCGGAAAGAATCTAATTTAAAATTCGCTTTGATGTGCACAGGGCACATCAAATTATTCAAACTAATTTTAAGTCCACTTGCATTGTATAATTTTTATGGAATCGAATAAAATACATATTTAGAACATAAATACATCGAGTAAATGGATTTTTCTCTCCTTTTAAATAAAATAAGTGATAAAGCTCACAGACAAATCACACATGTCGACCGAAAACAAAGGAATGTTAAAATTTAGTGAATATTAATAGGATCATCATGAACAGGGTGACAGTGGCTAAGATTAAAATGCAATGCATTTTGCGATTCTTTCGTTGGTACATTTCAGCTCGTTGCAGTTGTTTGTATCCTTCAGTGACACGGGTTTGTGTTTGTTCCACATTGTAATCGATGCGATCCAAAACAGTGCCCTGTTCTTGGACCATTTGGCCTAGGTCTTTGAATATATCATGCAAATCCGCAATGGATTGCACAATTTTGATGACCTCTTTCTCGCGATGTTCGGCCATTTTTGTGTTTTCCTCTTCGAACAGCAGTAATTGCTGTTGTGTCATTCGCCCTTGCTGCGATATGCTTTTCTGGAAATACTCATCGATCTGTTCGTCACTTTGATCAAAATAATCCGGATTCGCAGATGGTTTCGAGGTAGTTGGCTTTAGGAAATTGTCGAATGTGTCCACGGCATTGCCAATTCCAGCGCCTGAACCATCGTTTAGGTCGATTGTCGTAAAGTCTGGCGTTTCAAAGAATGCATTCGACCGGGCTTCACGCGAATTCAACTGCCGTAGATAGTTTGATTGACTCGACTTGAAACGGTACGTCACATCTTGCAGTGATAGCAATAAGTGGGTCACCACATTTTTGGTTAGTCTTTGCTCCAGCTTATTGCCTGGAAAAATTCAATTTCGAATTAGTGAATAGATCAAAATGAAAATTAGGTCAAAATGTTCGATTGAATAGAATCTAAACATTTCCTCAATGCGAAAAAGCAACAAAGCTCATACCTTGTCCTAAACTAGATCGAATAAATTGAATGTGGCGATGTGTTGACGAAATCAGTTTGGATATTTGTTGGCTGAGGTTTTCAATGAGCTCTTCCTCTTCACATCGATCGTCCAACGATGGTCGCAGCAAGTGGCGGGCATGCAATGAACCCAACTCATCTAATTTTGGTTTAATTCTGGAACAAGAGAAATTATCAATGGAATTAATTGCCTTATAATCAATAATTACTAATTGATCAATTGATTAATTAAACGGTCATTCAAGTTATTTCCATCTTTGGAAATGATTCGAAATTTCCAACTAAAAATTGTGAATTTTCAAGAGATGTTTCCATTTTCAATTGTTTTCCATACTTTGAAATCGTATACTGTGCCTCTTCGAGTTTGTCCATCCAAATGGGTGGTGATGCAAAATCGTCCCGCAGTTCTAGGCCTTCTTCTGCATCTCGGAGTGTGCGCTGCAGCAATCTCTCACTGTCACTGGGCCTCTAAAAACCCAAAAACCCAAATGAAAATCATCAAAACGCCATTCCATATGTTTGGCAAAGTAACAAAAACTATTTACCCGATCATCGTACATACTCCGATTTTGTACGGAATTATTTCGCATCAAAAAGAACACTTCGGTGAGATTTCTTGACGTCATTCTGCTAGCGGCTCAATAATAGCAATAAATCAAATGAAAAAACAACTACAATAGACGATTTTCACAAAATTTCAAATGGAATTTGTTTTGCTACTTGACATTTTCGCTCTTATCTATCGCAAATGTTAAAGAATGCATTGTATGCAAACGAAATCGATAGATGCAGGCAAAAAAAGTAAAATGTTTGTATGTGATTTGTCAACGTTCTGTCAACCCTGCTGTCACATTGACTCACGCAACTTTCTGCGTCACGAAAATCTAACCTCACATTTGACTTTATTTACAGTTGGTTTGACATCTAAACAACAAAACACATTTGCCGCACTTGACGAACACGTGTGACCGAAGAAGTATTTTGAAAATAGTCATCAAATTGTGGGAAAATCCACGAATCTTCTAGTTCAAGTGTGATTTGGAATGTACAGCAATGAATACAGAAAAAGGTAAGTGAATTTTTTATTTCATTCATACAGTTTTGGAGTTGAATTGTTGTTTTTTCCTTCACAGAGCTTCGTAAGTGGTTGAATCGCTCCGAATTGAGTTTTGTTGACAACTTAAACTTCGGTATCAAAGTGTGGAATTCAATTGAGTTTGTACTGTTGACCAAACAGGAAATTGTCGTTGATGAATTTTGTAATAATTTGCCAAATTTACGTGAGGAGATAAACAAATCGTCCGATCCAAAGTACGGCGATCAGGCATGGGAGAGAATCAACGAGTTTTTGGGCTTTCGATATTCATCCGGAGCGGTTAGTGTGGCTGTCAAAGACAAACTCATCAAAACTTTGTCTCAAGAGGCTAAAATAAGTATTGAAGAGTCGCGAGCATCGCATTTGATCCTAAATGCTTTGCTCATCACCCTGCAGAACACTTCAATTCAAAATTACTACAAAAGTAATGCCGTGGAATTTGCCCGGTTCTTGGGATTGAATATTCGTTATCTGAGTGTTTTGCTGGAGTCAGAAAATTTGACAAGTGGCCAGTCGAAACAGTATAAGGAACATATCAATCAACTACTAGCTTCGCTAAAGTCGTTCATCAAGCAAACACCATTCCTGGATGATTTCAAATCAGCTTTTGCCACAGAAATCCTAACGTCAATATGTGAGCTCATCACTTTGTCCCAACACCGCAAAATTACCGACAAACAAGAAGTGCTGAGCATTTTGCAGGAGCTATACTTTGATGGCAACCAAACAAAACAACTGAAGCAGTATTTGGGTGGGGCCAAATCAAAATTCGTCACATTTCACGAGTTATTCGAAAAGCCGATGCATGTCTTCCTGACGGTTGTCGAAGCGCTGGTTTGGTCATTCAGGAATGATGATGAAGTGCAACAGGCATTTTTAAAGTATTTATTCAATGAAACCGACGGAAAACTGCGAGTTCAAAGCCACGAACCGATCCAAACTCAGTTGAACGGTTTGTCCGTTTTTATCTTCCTTCTAAAGAAATACGATGTGCCACTGAATTTCCAAATCGATTCGAATAAGGCTGTCGTTTACTTGGGCAAGCAAATCGAACATTTCGTTCATTCCTATCACACGACCCATGTATATGAGGTGTTGAACACGCTGTGCGCCATATTGAAATTGAATCCATTGATTTTGGAAAATTCTGTATGTCAAATTGCCGTCAAATTCATGCTTCTGCCGAAGAAGAGCGAAGCCATTTGGAACAAATACGAAGAGTTTATGTTTTTGTTGGTTGAAATGTACCGGAGATTGAGCAGAGCCGAAAAGTTTATATCGCATTTGATAAGAAATCTGTATGAGACACTGGCAACGGTCAAATTGTCGAAAAAATTGAAACGTTCGTTCAATAGCAGTTTTGTTGAAGGATCAACGCCGTCGAAAAAGTTGAAGAACGCAGCCGAAGAGGAGGTTTCAATGGATGTGAGTTTGGCTGAACCAAGTGCGCCTGAAAATCGATTTGTAACCCTGTTCGAAGAGAATATCTTGAGCGAATGCACCAATTTAGCCACGAAATCCGATTGGAAGCGACAAATTCGCAACAATCAAATTTGGAGTGATATTGCATTTGCCTTCACACCGGCCATCAGTGGCACTTATACTCGATTCATCTCGGGATTGGTGTCAAAGCCATCTCTCGTCGTATGGAAGACACTCATGTTCACATTGAAGGATTACGTACACCAATTGAAAGAATCCGAAGGTAAATGCAGTGAGAATTGTGTATTTCTGATTGAAATCACATCGGCGCTACTCAGTCAATACTTCTTGGGTTCACGATTAGCCGAACAGTCCGATAAATCGTGGGATGCCATTGAGACAAATCGAAATGCCACACGAGAAATTCTCAGCGAATTTGGACACGCCATCCTCAATCAAGAACACAATTATCGAACTATGAACGCATTTTTGAAGCTATGCTACAACGCATCAAACTTTGACTTGCTTTGCTGGTACTATCGTCCCGATTCACTGCGAGTCGCTACTGACGACGACACCACGTTCAATGTGGAAAAATCGGCCAAAAAACTGCATTCATATCTCACGGACAAAGAGTGGATAACGATTGAACAGCGCATTACGAATTTTGGCAAACGCGAATGCAAGGCCAACATCAACAAAATCTACTTGCAACGCTTGAAAACGAGCCAGTTATTCGAGTATGAAAAGGCTGATGGTGAAGATGTGTCCAAGTATGTTTTGTCCACTGCTTTCAAAGACATCGAACAAATTGTTGATATTCTGAATGACCCAAGTCTTTGTGCGTGGTTCATTGGCAATTTGAATGTCAAACAAAAACAAACCGTTTGCGAACTGTTGCTACAGTCAACAAGTGAATTTGTTACCTTGAACCGACTATGCACCACAAACGATTGGCAATTCATCGAAACATTAACCGTGGCTACGTATAAAAAACTTATCGAAATTTTAGCCGCTGGCAAACATTCCGAATATTTATCGGAGATCAATTTTGATGCGATTTTTCAACGTAAATTTCAAATAGCATCGAAAGAGGTTGGCTCATTGGTGGAAAAACAATGCAGCAGTGAAACGAAATGTGCGGATAAGAAGCATATTCAGAAGAAACGGGAACATATTTCCGATTTGATGGGGCTATTGAATAATTTGCCGGTTGGTTTCGGCAAACCCGATGCCAAAAACATCATTTCCTTGTTGAATATTGTTGTTTATCGTTACTTTGCCATAGGCGGTGATGCAGAATTAGCGAAGGCGTCCGTAAACGTGTTTAAAGGTATGTTCTTGGAAGACACATTTAATTTTACATTCTAAAACTCATAGACATCCGTTTTTTGCATCAATTTTTGTTTTTACTTTCTTTGCTCATCTTTCGTTTCAAATTAAAGTCAAGTTTTTTGGTTTATTTTTCTTTTCAATCAATTCTTCATCATTGAAATCATCTGAATGTACTTTTTCTATTGATGATTTTTTATGTTTTCTTCTTTTTTTCCCCATTTCCATCCATTCCATCTTCTATTCAGCTCTTCTTCACTTTGGTGATTCGCCAAATGTGTTCACCAATCTCAAAGTCAATACGCTAATCACGTTGTTCAAAGAAGAAGCCAGCGCTCAATCGATATTTGCTTTGATATTCGAAAGAACATGTCGCGACCTAAATGTTACAAATGAAAAAGTTCTTGATGAATTATACGAACTTTTGCGTCAATTCGAGACAAACGACCGAAATGAACAGAGAATTCTACTCGAGATAGCCGTATTGGTCGTGGGTGATTTGTCAAGGGACAAGAAAAATCGCATTCAATGCGACCGATTTCGTGAAATATTGTTTGAAATCATAAAAAATGTGGCCAAAGACGTGAACAATGGAGAATGGTTGATTGGAGCGACATTGCCAGCCTTTGTGATTATAGTGAAATCATACATCGCTGCAAATAAAACCAATCCCACGCAAGAGGTCGATGGTGACGAGCAAACAATACAGCTCATCAACTTGTTCCTTAAGAATTCGGTAAGATTTTCTTTTTCATAACCATATATAGACTATAGTCTAAGGTATACCTATCTTATATTACCTATCGGAAAAAGTATACCGTTTTTATTGAAAATATCTTAAGTCTTTGTTCGGGATCTAATCTTGAGAGATTTATATCATGCAAGTCAATCACTTCACTAGAATATTTTGTATAATATTCGATATAATACGCTTTTAGATCGACTGTAAAAATCAGCACTCAGTGAAATTGTTGAATACAGCATTGGAGAACAAAGCCTATCTACGGCTGACAGACGATGAGATAAAGGGATTAGTAGCCAAATACTGGATTGATTTCAAGATTGCGTGCGCTAGTACGCACGATGATACCGTTAACAAAACATTGAATAACGCTCTCAAGCTAATTTGCGATCAGGCAACGGTCGATGAATGGATTTCTCTATTGACTGAAGTCGAAAAGGTAAGCACCTCCCGAAAAAATAATCCGCAATATTGCGTTTTTTTCCCTCACTAATCTAGTGTAATCCTATCAGGAAATCGAAGCATCCATTTTTACGGACAAGTCAAAGCAACAAAGCAAAATATTGGCGTCAATGGCAAAATGCCAATACAATAAAAGTAAAGGTCAAGTAAGTATTGGATCGCATTTTTATGGCTCTTTTCTTTCGTTTGGCATTTTAACCGGCTCAAATGAACCGTGTGCATTTGTAGATTTTCACTGGTTTCTTCAAAAATGTCACACGTCAAGTCAATTTGACGATTCGTGCCAAAACCACGGATTTGACGCAAAACTTCGACTGGATACTGAATTTGCTGGAGTGCTACACCATTCTGACCAATAATATGCAGGTAAAATGTCAAAAATTCATGCATAGACTATGCCCGAAATTGATTTTGACGGATAAATCACATGCTTTGTTTTCATGCAGACACCAGTCTCTGTTGAGCTAATTGATGACATCTTGGCATTTTTGGCCGAAATAAATGTGAAAAAAATCGACGCAGAGCAATTTGATTCGGACCGATTCAAAAATCTATTGGAACAGATGTGTGCATTAGTTTTGGGATTGATTCAGCATCGTTCTGTGTTCATTTTGGATCGAGTGCCGCACTTTGTCAATGTGTTTAAGGATCTGCTGCAAACAATTTGCTGGTATAAATCGAATCGAAGCCAACAGACACAATTGGAGCAAGCCGAAATCACAATGCTCGCTGAAATGGCACACAACCTCGAAAAGTATGCAAACTTTACCCAATGACTCTTTGGCTGGCATGCATTTTACATTCTTCTATCTCTCTCTCTCTCTTCGTTTAGAACAAACAAAGCATTCGTAAAACACTCCACGGAAGTGAAGCGTGTCGCACCATATTTACTCCTATTTGCCATCAGTCTAATGATAACAAAAGATCGACCGACGACACTTTATTCGAAAGTAAGTACACACTCTCAGCAAATTTATGAACTTGAACGAAAAATTTCAATAATAAATTCTCTCTTCCGGCACAGATCAAAACACACATCGAGTACATTTGTTACGACCTAATTGCCGTGTGCGATCACCGTGTCGAAGGGTTCATTCTACGTAGCTGCAACGAAGCGTCCAAAAATATTTACGAGAATTTGCATCGTGACTATGAAAAATACTTTAAATTTAAGGGCAAAGTTTAAATTGATTAAAGATTGAATGAAAAACGCGAGTTTTCTTGAAGAAAATATTAGAAAAAGGACTTTTCGAGAAGTGAATTTGCATAAAGAGTTTTCGGAAAAAAAATTTGAATGGGATTTTTAAAAAATGTGATTTTAATGGAAAAAAAATACGCATTTTGTCCTTTTCAACCAAACCATTTTACTTTCGTAAAATTCTTTTTTATTGAAATAAAACAGAAAAATGTAAAAAAAAATCCATTTTTGTATCACATTTTTTTTCTTAGTAGTGTGTTTGACCTTTTTTTTCTCTAGCTGAAGTGTGTTCAATTGTTGGCGTGTGGCATCCGGTTGGGTTGAATGTACTTGAATGAATACGTCAAAAACATTCGGCTTATCAAAATCCATCGTGGTATATTATACCCGACAATTGGTTGGGTTGCTAGGCAACCGGTAAAACTGATAAAAAACATAAACAAAACCTGAACTAGGAAATTCGGTTGAGTCGACTACCGTGTGTGTTGTGTATGTGATGTGTGTGTGTGTGCACCTGTGTTACTATGGTAGTATAGTGAAAACGCCGCCGAGTGTCATTCAGCAATAAAACGATTTCATTCTAATAGCGGCAACAACCCTTCCAAGTTTTTGTATTTATTTTTTGTGTTGTGTGAGAGATATACGAAATTGGCTTGAATTGAAGCGGCTGTCGAAAATGGAAAAATGAGCCCGGTTTTGCATGGACACGATTATTTAATAATAGTAATAATAATCGTTAAATCATCGGCAATTGGAAAAACAAAAAATGGAACGAGTGGTGGTTGTTATGGTGCCTACAACGACAACGACTGAACAGAGAGCTATCGTGTCATTTGGTTATTGAAAGCCTCTTATTACTCGTTTATTGTTTGTGACATCGGTACATTCTCCAGGGACATCGTGTGTGACAATGTATCACATACTGATAAACTACATATTTTCAATCGGCTAACTTCAAAATAGAACTGTGCTAAGTACATATGTATTATTGATTTGAAAAATCTGTTTCAAGTCAATTCAAATCGATTGGGTGTGTGTGTGTGTGTGGGTTAACGTGCTGACAACGACCGCGCGCATCGGATGTAGTTCAAAACAATTGAGAACATCGAAGTGATTTCATCTATAAAAAAGTGGAGCATGAGAAACTGAAATGTTGTCTAAACGCTCACAACGTTTGTTTTGGTGTATAAATTAGAAAGTTTGTATACAAAAAGAAAGGAATCATAGAATCATATAAATTTGGAAAGAGTTCGCGTCAGAAAAGTCGAGAATCCATTGAGAAAACCGCTACATTTCATTGCCATTTAAGTTATAGACTTGATTTTAAATATGCCAATAAATATTCCAACAAGAGACCGAAAAACGCCAACGCTTGTTTTCGGCGGTGTGGTTATAACTTTGCTCACGAAAGGCCAATAGGAAATGAATTTCAAATTCGGAATGTAATCGATCTAACAAAAAAAAAATTATATGTACACTTCAGCGCTGTTTGTGCTAGACAATGCTATTTTATTCATTTGTGATGTGCCACGCGTACTGGTTCTTTTTCGCTTTGCCTTGCATTCTCGGTTGGTTGGTTGTTTTTTTTTTCTTTCTTCATCGCTCGATTATTTATTCGATGTTTATATTTTTCCCCACGGACTCGACGAACAGACAAAAAAAAAATCATCGAGTAAGCGGTTGATAGGAAAAAAAGAGAAGAAAAATAAAACAAGCAAAACTAGGAAATCAATATCAGCTCTCGCTTTGGATTTTCATTTCAATTTGTTTCTGTCGTTATTATTGTCATTTCGAACAGTGCTGCAGGTACTGTCAGGCGAATACGCGTTACCCGTTTCGTTGGATCCTTTTTTTCTGTTATTTTTTTTCAACAACTAAAAATTGAATAACAAATTGCTGGATTTGAAAAGAATACTCACCAGATAAATTTAGTTCAGTTCCGGTAGAAGTGCACAATTTTTCATAGTTGAAAGCAACGGAAGAAAAAAGAATGCGGAAAAAATGCGGGCCAAATCTTAAAAAAAAGAAACTCTTATTTGGCTTTAGTAAATAAAGGAAATACCGAAAAAGGTCATTGAAGCTCGCTACCGGAAAAAGATACAACGTACAGAAAATACCACACCGAAAGCAAGGGGAAAATAAACGTGGAAAAACTTTGCCAGACACGAAAACTGTGGGCGAGACTTGATCCATGCGGAAACTGTTTTGTGTATATGCTTGTGTGTGCTGTTCAAAATCGTCGACGAAACCAAATTTAACAATGGATTACGTATAACAAGTTGAGTGTGTAAATATAAAGTTTTTATCGGGTTAAGAGAGAAAGAGAGAGAGAGAGAGAGAGAGAGAGAGGAAAAAATGACTTGATAACTGTACTACAAACGTCTCATTTTGGAAATAGTTTACATCCAAGTTTTGCAGTGTTTAGTTTTGCACACTGTTATTGTTGTTGGATTGATTTTTGTTCTGTTTTTTTTTCTAAAGGAATTTGATTACAAAAAACGAAATTTATTTTTCTGATAAAAAACATTTGTTGCAATAATGTCAAACAAGTTGAAGAGCCAGGAGAAAGCCAATCGGATTGCAGAAATCGATGATCATATTCGGCGCAGTTTTGAAATCATAAAGGTAAATGGAAACGTGATTCGATCAAACACAACGTTTGCTTAGTTCAAAGGATTGAAGAACATGTTTTTTTTCGGCGGCGGCGACGACGACAATATTTTTCATTTTTGCATGACATTGATTATTATGTTTGGATGTCATCCTTTTGCACTGGTCGGCATTATGCCCCATCGCATTTTATTATCATCGGTAGAAAGAGAAAAAAAAGCGTCATATTCGAAGAGCCATGCTATACCATGGCACTGAATGAACATTTTAATGACATCGCGAATTTCCATTTAAATAGCAACAGCAAATCCAGTAACTGTTGTCTCTCTCTCTCTCTCTCTCTCTCTCTATCTCTGATTACATGGGTTTTTTTGGTTCACCGAAACAAACTGACACAAACATTGAAACCGACATTCTTGATTGTATATCATTATTATATGCGAACGGGGAGCAAAAAAAAGCAATAGTAACGGCTTGACATTTAACATGACAATTTCATGAATTCCGCACATCAAAATCAAAAATTGATTTTTTTCTGCATTGCGAATGACAGCATTTTTGTTTGAAACGAACAGAGAAAAAATGAAATAATCGACTTTATGTTCCGCTCTTCTGGAACCAATCACTATATCATTGTCATTTCAATTTGATGACATCCTTGTTGTTGTTTTTTTCCTTCGATGCCTGAACTTGTTGAGTTCGTGCAGATGCCACCTCTTTTCTTCAAATGAGCAGCCAAGCAAACAGGGCAATTTCAGGCGAATTTTCTGTCCATTCCTCTTGCGGCTTTCGTGAATCTCGCGCTTGAAAAGCGAACGATAGTTAAATGATAAAGTTTATCACCAAAGATGTTTTTTATGGACCGAGGAGAAAAAATGGTAAAGCCAGAGCAACAGGAATGACATCAAACGAAGTAGATTTAATGAAAAAAGAGCAGACAAAGTAAAATTGACATTGGTTCATGAGGTCTTAATCATTGGCGAAGCCATTAAGGCATTTGCATAACAAATTTTAAAAGCAGATAAAAGCGACTTTTCCATTCATTGGGAAAATCGAGCGCTATTTTCTATTAAACGTCGGACTCATTCTTCTTTTACTTTCTTTTTTCATGTCGTTTACACTCTGGCTCGTCTCTTATCAAATCGCCTACCCAATTCATTATGTGCAAATTTTGTCACCATTCCATTTTTCCATTTCATTGCTGGGAGTTATTAAGAATTTATGAAAAAAACGTACGTTTTTTTTTCTGCCTCGTCGACACCAGATTAAGTGTTGACTTAGTCCGCTAAAAAAACGCCATGCGTAGCTCTTTTGTATTCATTGGCCCATCCGTTTTGAATCAACGTTTTTTTTTCTGCCTTTGACGCCTTTGCTTCAATCTTTTTTTTTTGCATTTCGCTCACATTTTCCGCCCAGTTTCACATGCAAACTTAATTATCGTAAATGGTTTGTGGTTTTCACGCTGGTAATGTAAATTGGTGCGACAAGCACGCCGAATTTCGATGAATGGAACAAAGGATTGTGTATGTATGTGTGTTTGTGTGCAAGTGTGTTCTCGCAGCAAACACAAATTCCGACGACTGAATAAAGAAAATCATGAATTTTCATTCCACTTAATCGTGAGTTTTGCAAACAAACTGCTAGCAACTACTTGGTGAGTTTCCTTTTTTTTGCTTCTCTGCTAGTTTTCTTATCCACTTCGTCTCCGAATCCAATTCCATTTATTTGCTCTCTTGTAAAGTTTCGTCACTTTTTCTCAGCTACTCCACTCTCGGCGACGACTTTCTGTTTGTGCATCCTGTTTGTCACAAACAAGTGTAACTGGAATTTATTTGGTTTTTCACTTTTCGACGAAAAAGACTTTTCGATTGCATTTGCACCACATCGCACCACCCTCGCCCACTTCCCTGGAGTTTGTTCAAAAAACACAATTTCTTCATTAGTGAAATGCAGTTTTCGAACCAAGTTTTGTTTGTTTCTATATACATATTGTTTGTCTTTCATTTTGTCGATGTTTTCATTCCTCCCACCTCTCGGGGAGTCGGGCTTTCGGCTCACCGAAGCAAATAGTTCCGTTTTGCCCGAATCGAGGGGAAGAAAGCGAACAAATTAAGAGCACTTTCCAATTAACAACAAGTGCTGAAGTTTTGCATCCATTTCACTTTTTCGCCCGTATCAAGAACTTAACTTTCGCAAAGTGACGTTATTTTCGGGATATTTGAATGCAAAATGCAAAACTTTCGCACAACGACAACGAGCGTTCGTGTGTTTTCTTTATTTTATTGTTGCCCGTTTTTGCGTGAACGAAACTTGGATTCTCCGCCGACGTGCATTTCCCATTACAGTTTTACGGGTGCATTGAATGGAATGTATTTAAAAGGCAATTCACAAGACCTTCAACTTTTCGTGCAGTTTTTCCACGTTTATCCTCTCGATGCATGGGAAATGAAACAAAGCGAGAGAGTTCAAGAGCGTCATAATTGAGTGTTGCACACAAAATAAGCCCAATTTGACTTTATTGTTTTCGAGTGAACGCAAAATAAACGACTAAACTTGCCACGGCCAGAAAGTCACCTTTCCTTTCTTCATCATCATCATAGTGATTCGATCTAGGGGCATTTCACTCGCATTCGAATGCATGATCATTCGTGTACGAATCCTGCATTCGCAAAAAACAGTATAAGTATTTGTATTCGCACCATGTATTCGTACTGCCGCGCGAGCATTCGCGCGACTCCGCATATGAAACGTATTGAAACACTCGCACATGTATTCGTCGCGAATGCGCTCAGTTGCGATGAAGTGTCAAACACAGTCAAACATGTGGAAAGATGTCAGACGTGTTTGAAAAATTACAACGTGCATTAGGTGAGCCTCTACCAGAAATTTTACAATTAATTCTCACACATTCTGGATTTAATACAGAAAGCGCATTAGCTACGTTGAATACAAGCATTTGCGGTCGCAGGTGTCCGATTTTTTGCAAATTTGTTTCCGTTTGATTACAATTCTTGAATAACTGTGGCAACTGGATGATAAGCAATCGGTGACCCGGTTTAAATTTAAACTTATTCACATTCTCGTATGATGTTTCTTTGAGAATTTCTGGGTTTTCAATGACATAGTTCTCGATATCCATAATAGCATCGTTGTCAATGGACATTAGAGATGATTCATTTTCAAATGCACAGAATTCCAGGATTTTAATAATATCGGCCGACATTTTTAGATTCAAATATTTTTCTAATTTGAAAATAACATTTTCCAGTCCCTAAAATACAAAACACAACTTAAATTGATATTAAATTTGGATCGAAATAACTATTTACCATTTTGATGAACTAATGTAAACAATGTAGTCGCAACGATTAACACAACAAATCAATATAGATCTGTCAAGTGTATTCGCATTCGCGCAGCAATATTCGAACGTATTTGCTAATGCGCCGTATAGATACATTAAATGGTTATTCGTACGAATCAGGCCCGTAGCGTGGTAGGTGCGAGGGGATGCGAAGCATCCCCGAGCCGGATTTTCGCATCCCCGAGCGAGATTTGTGTATTTGCAAAGCTAAATAATTTTAATAATCGTTCTTTCGCTGAATTTTTTTTTGGCAAAGTCAAAGTTTTCCTCAGGAAAAAAAATCCAAACAGTATTTTTTCAAAGTTCAATAAATAATAGTCATCAGAATTCAATGGAAATTTTCTAAATCATTTTTTGATCAATACATTGTTTCTGTTTCATATATTTTTTATTTCTATTGACTAGATCGAGAGGAGAGTAAGTTCATCTGACTTTGTTATGAAAGAGTAGAGTAAGTTTCTTTCGACTCAAAAATGGTTAAAGGCGAGTATGTTCATTTTTGGCGGGTCCTCGCGGTTTTCCACGGTTTCCGCGAAACTGATAAGAGATAACAACTTGGTGTCTTCGACAAAGTTGTAGCACTCGAGGTCTTCTATAACAATGTTGAAGTCAGTTATCTCTTATCTCTTATCAGTTCCGCGAAAAGCGTGAAAAATTATAAGAAAAAAAAGTTCAATATAACATTTGCTTTTTTATGTGCGCAATTTGCGCGCAACTGATAAGAGATAAGAGATAGATGTCTTCAGCAATGTTATAGAAGACCTCGAGTACTACAACTTTGCCGAAGACATCATGTTGTTATCTCCTATCAGTTGCACGAAAACCGTGAAGACCGCAGAGGCTAGACGGTACTACAACATACTCTACTTTAACGCCAACAGAATCATCAGAAAACATACTCTCCTCTTTCAAAATATATTAGAATTTTTTCACATCCTCTCGATCTAGTCAATAGATTTGGTAACATTTCTTTGGCAAACAAACTTTGTTCGATCTTCATCATTAATATAATTGCACTCTACTTCCTTTCTTGTTATTGAACGCTTTCATGATGTCATCAATAGAAATGTTGTTCAAACGTTTGTGCTCGAAAGCGATGAAAGCTAAATTGCGCATACATTCATTTGTCATGGAGAGGCGAGATGGAATGTCAATTTGAGCCAATGCAGAAAATGAAGTTTCGCAGACCGCAGTACTGCACGCAAAAGTTTCGACAATTGCAAACAATTTGTAAACTTCTGGATAAAGGTGTCAACGGACAAATGGACGGACAGCCTACTTTTTTACACAAGTGACCAAAATTATGTCTAAATGTACGAATAATGTGGGAAGCTATATACCAAATTGTAGGTTTTTAGGTTGTCTTTCCATCGATATATAAATATTACAGTTATTTTGAAGATTTGGTGACAATTTTGAGGCGAAAAAGCTGGATAGGCAGATTTTTCAAACGGACGGACGGACAAATTTTGGTTTTGTCCGTCCAAAAAATTTCGTTAGAAAAATTTCAAAATAACTGAAACATTCATATATCGATTGAAAGAGGACCTAAAAACCTACAATTTGGTATATATCTTTCCATATTATTGGTACAATTAGACATAATTTTGGCCACTTGTGTAAAAAAGTAGGCTGTTTGTCCGTTTGTCCGTTGACACCTTTACTTCTGGAAATGCTTTCCGCATTTCATACAACACCGTTAAAACGTTGAACTGGGACTTATTTTTTGCAGAGGACTTTTCCAACTCCTTTCTTTTAAATTCAATGTATTTCTTGGCCGCTTTTAATTCATATTCTGGCGGAAATTTTATGCCAAGCTTTTCAAGCGGCTTCAATTGATCGAGTTCCATATTTGGAGAATCCGACAGTGCTAACAGAATTTCGTTATTTTCGGTAAACCGTGCATCAGATTCAGCCAATGCCATGTCAATAACTTCATTGTAGCTTGAGGTAATTTGGTCGATTTCATCGGATCGTTCGCCAATACTTTCTTCAACAACGAAATCTCCCAAAAGTCCCGATCTTCTACGATTCCTCATTGGACGTGATAAACTAGCTTCCCGAACAACATCAACCGATTCAGAAATAAGTTGATTCGCATCATTCATAAATTGCTCGAACTTTTCGTGGGTGCGATAATTAGCGATCGTTCCTTTTGCGATTTCTACTACCGGCATAGCTCTGTGGTAACTCATTTCACGACTTTGAAAAATAGCGTCAGCTGGAGTCAGAGCTGTCAACAGTTCATCTATAAAAACCAAATGAAACACAAACGTCTTCTGTGGCAATATCATCGCCATTCAAATCAATGCGATTGTATTTATCATTTTTCGCTTTTTCCAACGTTGCAACGATTTGTGCATAATTTTCCCGCACTGCTTTGGTTGCTTGGGAATGGCCAGTCCAACGTGTATCTATCAATCGCTTTACTGCAGTAAAAATATTTCTTTTTGGATATGTTAGCGTAACTCAGCAAAGCGATGACGACCGATGAATTTCTTCGAAAAAAATCGTTTGTTTATAGTTTGATATAAACAAGCATCAGCCGAAATTATTCTGAGTAGCATTTTATGTAATCAATACACTGCATATGGATTTGCTTGGAATAACTCACGGCTTACCGCAGTTAATATACGAGTCGCTACGCGATTCGCTATGCAATGACGAATTTTTTGATGTAAACAGAACATTGAATACAGAAATCGCTAATTTTGCTTACAATATTCTTTATCAAATAATATCAACATTTTTTCGTTATGCAACGAACAAATGTCGTATTTTAACAGCTGTACATGGTGCCTCTCTTCAGATTTTTCTACTTTTTTTTCAAATTAAAGATTGGATGCGCCGCATCCCCGGCCGAGCAGGCCACGCTACGGGCCTGGTACGAATGCGAATATTCGGCACGAATATCAGTATTTGCGAGTGTTTATATTCAAATGCATGGCAAAGTATTCGTACATTCGTACGAATAGCAGTATTCGCATAGAGTGAAATCCCCCTAGGATTCGATTGCAATGAAAATTGTGTTAAAACTCAACGGGGGTAAGAAATCGAGTTAAATTAAAGGAAATGGCGGAAGAATTGGGTCTTCAAGGGTGTTTTATCTCATATTTTATGATAACTACGGAAACGACTTAATTTGATTCGAGTAGATAAAAGGCGATAATAAAATGATAAACGACTGTGTACAAACACAGTGTGCCAAGTTGCATAAATAAATCCGTTCCTTGCATTTTATTGACTGATTGAAGTTTTCCATCCACCAGTTTTGATGCAATTTTCATTCTAAGTGCATCATCGTCTGAGAAGAAATACGCCAAGTATCCATCTGTACAAACAAACTCACGACGTTGAGCTATATACAGTTATCTTATTAAGCAACATTCAAAATTGAATCAGGCAAATGAGCATTTTCAGTTTATCTACTCTCGCAAATGCAATTAACATCATCAAAGTCTGGACCATCTGGCTAGAGGAGAAAAAGAAGAGAAAAAAATGCGATGAAAAAAAACAAAGTTCCTAAACTGATTACATTACTGCAAAAATGGCAACTCTCAAAATAAACGAAACACAGCATTTCACAGATAATAACGAGATCCGATATTTAACTTGGTCCGGAGAAAACTTTTCGTATTTCTCGGAAGTGTGAGAATTTCTTTTCCACATTCTATAACTATAACAGAAATATCGATGTCGGTTCGCGCGAGTACAAGTGTTTCCAAGTTATTAGTTAGTTACAAGCGAATGAACGATAGTGCACGGTTCTCGGCAGAAGGAAGAAAATATGATTTTCAGTCACGTTTAATCAATAAACTTTTTGTGCTTGGCATTTGGAACGTGTGCAACACTGCACACATTCAGAATTATGAAGAAATCGAGAGGGTGAGCGCGAATGAGAAAGAAAAAGAAAGAGAGTGCGAGAGCCAATACGATGGAGAGAGAAAGCATTCGCGAGCCAATTTTATCAAATTGATTATGATGGCAGTCGTCGTCGTCGGTTCAAGATGAATGAAATAATTAAAGGAATTCGCTGAGAATTGAACCGATTTTTGCTGTTAATACACTTTACGGTCGTGATATTCGATAACTTCATTATTGTTCAATGAAAAAATTATCGATGTTCTTTTGTGTCTGGTTTGAATGTAATAATTCCAGAGGCTTGGCAAAGGGGCATACGGAATTGTGTGGAAAGCGCTTGATAAGCGAACGCAGAAAATCGTTGCTGTCAAGAAAATTTTCGATGCATTTCGAAATGAAACAGATGCTCAACGAACATTTCGGGAAATAATGTTGCTGCGAGCGTTACGCAATCATCCGAACATCATACAACTGTACAGCATACACAGGTATACACGAAATCATAACGATTTCCCATTTTCATGGCATTTAAAATTGCACAATTTAATTTTCACCTTGGATTGAAACCAAAATGGTTAAAATTGAATTCGTAATAGTTTTTTTTTATTTTCGTGGGAAAAACAAATGTGAGGGAAAAAAAGATTTATCGATTGATTTCAACAATTTGATGCAAATTTGATGTTCATAATGAAGCATGAATCTTTTACTTCTCTCTCACTCTCACCCTCACCCGTACACATTTTGTTTCAAATAATCAGTTTTTTTTTCTGTTCATACGTTGTTTCGCAGGGCAACCAATCACATGGATATTTATTTATCGTTTGAATTTATGGAGAGTGATTTGCATAATGTCATTAAGCGTGGCTCAATATTGAAAGACATACACAAACGTTACGTGATGTTTCAGGTATTGAATGCAACAAATTTCATCCATTCGGGAAATATAATTCATCGTGACCTAAAGCCGAGCAACATTTTGGTGGATAGTAAATGCCGGTAAATATGTTCATATCATCACTCCTTTCTCCCACAACCTCTCACCCCATCTGAACTGATATTGTCAGCGCAAGCCACGATAAATTGATTCAAATTTAGATAAATAGTTTTCCAAACTCCGCGTCTAATTTAGTCGGAATATTTATGAGGTTATTTACATCGAAAAAGGGAAATTACTTTTCAATAAACAAAAAAAATGCCGTTTGGAATGCGTCGCGAAAGTTTGAATCGATTTTCCGTTGGTGTGTGTGTGGTTCGTGTTAAAAGGCGATTCGATGGCAACAGTTGATTTATGGTTCCACCAAAATTGATGGCATCGCATAATAACTGAATATCTATATCTATTCTCAATTATGCAATCCAGTTGTAAGCTGGCTGACTTTGGACTGGCGCGTTCGTTGTCACAAAATCATCCGACGGTTGACTCGAATGGCAACGAAGAGACATGTTTAACGGATTACGTAGGTAATGCCAATCAATTTGCTTGTAATAGATATTATGATACGTGGCATTTCATCCAGTGAAAAGATAGTGGTTGGATCGTTAGCTCAAATTTGATAGACTTGAAAAACCAACGCTTCTCAAATCACATTTAAAATGCGAAGCAGCGAGATTTTTCCAATCTGTCAAGGGCTATTAACCTCTAATGGTGACAAACTTTAGACGAAAATAAATGGTCGTTTTCTTTTTGTTTTCCTTGTTGTCGTGTAGCCACGCGATGGTATCGTGCACCTGAAATATTGATTGCCAACAAGCAATATACGAAAGGCATCGATATGTGGAGTCTGGGCTGTATTTTGGGTGAAATGTGCAGAGGCAAACCGCTATTTCCCGGCAGTTGCACAATCAATCAGGTAAAGACTAAAAATAGCTATGATACTGAGGTCAGGATAAATGGAGAGTCAATCAAATGAAAACAAACTTTTTTTTTCTTCGAAGATTGAGTGCATTTTGTCGGCACTGCCCTTGCCCACTGAAAGTGATTTGAAATCGGTCGGAAATGGTTTCGGTTCAGCATTATTAAGTCAATCATCGAAATCAATAAATTCCAATCCAAACATGGAGGAATTACTGGCCGATACGCCAGGCGACGCAAAAGACTTGGTCAGATCGTTGCTTGTCATGGATCCAACAAAACGACTTACAGCCAAACAAGCCTTGTGCCATAAATATGTGGAAAAGTATAGCAAACCAAATCGACTGGATAATTTAGTTGCGAATGATAATAACAATAACTTCCGTTTCAATAGGTTCCGAAATAGTACGCCTGAACTGGAGCTAACAGCTGATATCGTGCCACCGTTTCGTGATGACATTCAACTAACCGTTTCCGAATATCGGTCAAAACTGTACGAAATCATGTCGATCGCCGAAAAGAAGAGAAAGTAAGCGAGTATTTTGTGTTTCCAACTTATTTTCAAGTCTAATCAATTAAATAATGTAACGAAATTTAATAAAACAAAATGTTGATTGTTTCAAAACCAAAAATAAAAAAGTTCCACATCGTCGCCAAGTGGTGTCAGCAATTCAAAATCATCGCCGACGGACAGCTTGCGAAAAGTACCATTATCATCATCATCAAATAGCCGAACAATTTTGCCGAAAACAATAACAACCAACACGTCAGTTACGGATAAAAAGGTGCCGACAAATGCGAACTATTCGACGCAGAAATATCCAAACGATGCCAAACACCATCCATCATATTCAAGTGTATTTCATTCAAAGCCAATCCCAAACACAAAACCTACCTCAATCCAACAACAGTCGACGACGGTGCAGCCACGTCAAGTGAACGGCACCGGTTCATATGCTCGTTTGACCAATAAATTAAACTGCTGCAAAAGCTGTGTACGTGAACCGGACACTGATGCACTGGTGAAAAGGTGTGCAAATGATGTGCTAATACCGAAATTAAAAAATGACACCAAATATCCACCATCACAGTACATTGATTCGAATGCAAATTGTTGCTACGAGTCCGAACAGGAGCCAAAGTACAAAATGCCAAGCGAAGCGAGACGATCCACTATTCCCGGTGCCTATCGACGTCCATCAAACGATGCAAATGCTATGCTACGGAAATCAACGTTCAAACGTTCACTTGACGAGGATTTACTGCATGCCGGTGATTTCCGACAATCATCCTTTGATGCTAAGTCAACCACAAACACACGGCTTCTCAAGAAATTAACGCCACCACAGCCGGAGTATCAAAGTGAATTCCAACGAAACGGAAACGGAGCCTATTTGTCACAATCAATGGGCAAACACATTGTTAACGCATCAAATGAAAACCGGCGATTGATTAAGCAAAAATCGTTGGACGACTACACCGATGCTACGGCACGACTACGGAAACTTGAAATGAAAATGCGCAAACATAAAATTGATGTACTAAAATATGCCAACGACCATGACGAACCGACCATTTATGCCACCGATCCGAAGAAATTGTTAGCATATCCGCCGTCAAATCATTTCCGAAACAAATTAGAATCATTTGCACGTACCAAAGCCGATTGTGTGTATCCGAAAATTGGTATCGATTCCGTGCTATCGAGCAAAACGCCTGCATTCCGTAAAAATGGCTCGAATGGCAACAGCTACGGCATCATTACATCATCTGATCTGTACAAACTCAGAGGGACACCCGAACGTGTCACATAACACCTTATAGCCTCCACACACCTCTCTTTTCTAGCCTTTCTCTTACGATCAAATGCTTTTTTTGTCTATAACTAGAATGAATGGAGCTGTAGAGCTATTTTTCATGCAATAAAAACACGAAATTGGAGTTTCAACCAAAAATTCGATACTTTTTATCATTATTTGTAATTTGAACGGATTTTATCGACGTCGTGATGATTCTGTTGAAGAGATTTTATTATGAGAATAAAGATTTTTACGATATTGCACTTCGATTCAATGCCTTGTTTTAAACGAGTTTTTGAGCTTTGCATTTAACATTTGTTATTTGGCTCATTCAGTTTCCACTCCACATGATTCGCCGAACCTCATGAGCTTACTGGAAATATTCTCGGCATCACTACCTTATAGCAGCAATAACTAAAAAAATCGAAACACGGGTGAAAGAAGTTTTATTATCTATCAAAATTGTAGAGTTGATAAAGCGGAAAATTCTCTCAAGATGGTACTCACAAGGTAAGCGAACAAAACAATTGCTTGAGTGTTTCATTTCGAATTGAGTTTTAATTTCGAATTAAACACTGTAACCATACAGTTTTTTTTACATTTTACAAAGAAATCGATGGGTTTGGTAAACGTTTTTTTGGGGAAAACTTCAACTAAATTATTCATTAGAACTGCTTTGTGTTAACGCTAGTGGAACCATATCACGATAAAAATATGCATATGGCGTACGAATACTTCTCGGATTTAAAAATGGAATATAATTAAACTGTTGATAATGAATTCCAAATTTTTCGACGTGATCTGGAATTTATTCCCACAAGTTTAATTATTCTTTCGTTTTAATAGATGTGACCTACCGCATCATAGATGCTTTTGTTAATATTCAATGACTTGTCACTATCATTTTCCATAATTCAACGTATCTTCTTGTGATAACGATAATAATTTTCAATGGAAAACCGAAGTAGGATTTTCAATTAAAAATTCCATAACTTTTTATCATTGTTTTTAATTTGAGTGGATTATTGACGTCACGCTGATTTTGCTGTAGAAAGCGATTTCAAAGCATAGCATTGGTTATGGCAAAGCACCCCTACTGGCATTTTCATCATGTCCCATTGGATATTTCGATTTGAATTCTTCAAGCGCATTCTAACCGATATTATTATCAGAATAGAGTCTCTATTCAATTGATCAAACATACGTTTTTGGATGGCTCAGCATCTCAGCATTTCGTATGCTGCGGATATATCCGAGCATATCGACGACGCAAGTCACTGTATAAGTGGCGTGCGTTGATGTGGGAAATGAGGTTGAAAAATTTATACGGAATTTGTTGAAATCTCCTCTTATTTCAAGAGGATATTATATTATATCAAGCCGGTAAGTGAATAAAAAAAATCATAGCAAAGAGAAGATGGGAACCATTTATCCAGGACTACTGCTGAAGTCGAACATCAAAAGGATTTTGCTAAGTAAAATGCGAGGAAAATCAATCCAAGTTTTGTTTTTTATTTCAACCCGGTCAAATTCTAGGCCAACACTTCTACTTCCCAAAACAATCTCAGTCAATGTGATCTGGTTTTCTTCTGCAATGCACATTTAATCTGTCCTGTTGGTATCCGATATGGGTTCTAGTTACTACACATGCCGTGTCCATTCAAATCGTACCACATCAAAGCATCGGCCTTTATCTATCAACATGCTCTGCAAAATGGTTTTGATTAACATGATGATATGATTCGATTTTACCTTGATTTCCTCGTTTTCTCTCAATTTTCTCTATTTCTCCCCCATGTCTGGTCGTTTGATGTGCCACGTGAGTGGTTTTCCCAATGAAACCACATCTCCAAAAACCCGTGCCGCTCATAACCAGAGACATGACGCCAGCTTTAATTTCATTTTTGCGTCATTCAATGTCACTTTTAAATAGAACCATGACATGAATTTGATACCCACTCATTACGAGGTTTTTCTATATTGTCTTTGGGTTTATTTTTCGGTGCGCGCTCATATTACATGATTCACCCGACATTCCGAATAAAAGAGAGAAAAACAAGTTTGGAAAATATTCATTAGTTGTAATTGCGCTTTGGATGGGTAGTTTATCAAACAGCTCACATTATGCCATGGCAATGGAAATTTTCCGTTCAAGGAAAAACTGCTAATGCGATTTCATCGAAATTAATTTAATGCATACATTCATACACACACACACACACACACCTGCCAACGCTTCGAAATGGAAAAATTGCATCCAATTCTCTTATTCACTGCATCGCATTGTTCGTGTTGCACACAAAATACCATTTTCAGCATAATGAATGGAAATTGAATGAAAAAAAAAATGTCCAATCTAAAAGTGGAAATTACCATTTTCTCCCTTGTTTAGCATTATCGTTTGGATTGCGCGTCACATAATACGTTATTTATTTTCAGCAAGCACACACAAAAAACACCTGTTCAACATGCAATTATTGAAATGTATTCATTCGAAACAAGCACACCGTTTGTCTCATTCGTAGAAATTCTATACGCTAGGGTATTTAGGCGAGATAGAGAGAGCACAAATAATGATAAGGGGAATTTAATCAACACGTATGTTTTTGTTGCAAGCTCCACAACAACGATTGAAAGAGATTTATGGAAATCTGCATTGGTGACGGAAAAAAACAAAAGCTTTCCCGGTTTTTTTTTTACCGATTTACGCTTTCTCGCTTTTTCTCCCACGAATGGTCTCAATTAATACGAGTGTTAACATATGTACGAAAGTTACATAAAAAAAAGAAAATAATTTGTGTTTTTGAAATTAAATTTGATTAGTCAATGAAGTCATTGCAATATTTGCCGGAAACTAAATCGTAGAAAGAAATTGGAAAGTTGGTTGACATAGAATGTGCCAAAAATGGTTCTCTGATATAAAATGAAAGTATAGGCCATCATATTATTCACGTAATTTGTTACATTCAGTGTCACGATCATGTAATCAAGTGATTACTAATCATATCAAATGGAAAGTTCAAAACAGCAAATTTGTCAACATTTAAAATTGATGATTCGTATTTGGTGATGATGCATTTTTGGGCTGAAGCGTGCGTTTGGTGACCCAACGAATCAGAGAAATTGATGACTGAATCAATGGCAGAGTAAATAAAATGAAAAACCCCATAAATTATGCCGAATAAATAAGCTGGAAAACTATCAAAATGTTACAAATGTGCCGCTTTTTTATAGCAAAATTTATGTCGTTCGCACAGAGTTGTCACTGGATAAATATGTATGTGACAAGCAATGAATTTATATTGAAATGGACTGAAATCGGTTATGTTTGCAAAATGGATTGAGCGTGTGTTGATAAATCGAAAAAAAACAGAAAAAAAATTGAATCGCAATAAACATTTTAAAGAAGAGAGAGAGGCGAATATGTTTTATGGTAGAACATTTATTCGAATGGATTTCGTTCATATGTTTTGTTTCCTTTGTTTGCTCCACATAAAAAGCCGAATAACGAATAAAGAAGAACGAATATGCTGCTTTCGCTTTCTCTTCAGCTCGTACGGAGTAAAACCAATTTCTCCAACAAAAAAGAGTATAAACGTCAAAATACTCATTTTCCTCGCCATTAACTTTCATCGCATTTCGACATGTGCCGCTACAAGAACGAAAAAAAAAATTCTATTCTGATGGCATTTTGACCGTCTTATTTTTGAATCACCGAAATGTAATAAAAACATATTTTGACATCCATTTCGCATCATTAAAAATTTATTTGAGGATAAAATTACGAATAAACATGACATTACAAATGACTAAATTCATCATCAAAAGTCTACTAAGGTTTTGTGCTGTCGTTGCTGCGTAAGATTAATGTCTTTGTTGACTCTAGTACAAGTTGAGATTGGTTGTGAGTAGAATGCGTACCGCCTGATCAAATGAGCCGCAAACAGCAAGTCCAATTCGATCCGGATTCCAATCAAACGAATTTATCGGTTGACTTGATACAGATGTGGCTTGTAACATTTGCAATTTGCCAGCAACACCTTGATTACAACCATCGGCCGCCTCTTTGACACGCTTCTCCGGATATTTGTATTGCCACAGACGAAGCGCTCCCGTTCCACCACACGTCACGAAAATCTCACGATTTTGTGGCAAATGTCGTGCACACCACACTGTTGCTTTGCCACCGCTGATTACACCATTCGAACCTAACGATCGGCCCGCATCTTTTTCGCTTACACAAGCAAAACCCTTTGTTTGATGTTGTGTCCGCAAATCATACACGTACAAACCACCTTCGAGCGTTGTCACCACTAATTTATTCATCTGGATATCACGGCGATCGAATTCCGCACTGCAAACGCCATTCCGCGTATTTGTCTCCCAGCGTACCTTCATTTGTCGCAAATCGAACATTTTCACATCGCCATTATCGTATCCGGCCACTAATGAGCGTTCCTCATTATTGTGTGAGTCTCCAAAGGCTACTGTCCAACACTCACGATTCGTATCGCCCGCATTCGATGCAGTTGGTTCCATGCATGCCACAGGTGAGTCTTTCTGTCGTAAATCCCATACTTTAACGATGCCATCGGCACCGCCGGTTGCAATTTCTGGTGCACCGCATTTTTTCATATATCCACCGCCGATAGCATCCATGCAATTGGCCATTCCTTTGTGAGCTTGTACACTGAAAATGGCATCCGTATCAAGTCGCTCCAGATCCAAAATTTGCAATTGACCATCAAAACTAACCACTGCCATGTGACTTCGTCTCAGCGAGCTAGCCCCAAATGAGCCACACTTCAGCGTTGCTTTGTACTCGTACTCTTTCACCACATCCAATTGGCCGGTATTCATTTCAAATATCCTCAAAACACCCTTTCCATTCGGTTTATTGCCCAACACTACACACTTCGCCGAACACGGAAGCCATTTCGTATCGAAAATCGTAAAATCCACCGCTTTTTCTATGTGACACAAAACGAACGGCTTATCCATTTCTTTTATCCTTTTCCTTTGGTTTTAAATTGTGCGAATATTTTTGAAGCGATTATCTCTTTTGATGACAATGACTACGACGATAAATGTCGCACAAGCTATGCAAACGCTCCTTAAAAACTCTGCTTGAGTTCACAAATATCCCTCCAATTTGATTGGTGAGGATTTTTTCTCTCGTTATTTTTGTTATTGTTAGCGGAGAAAACGCCGTTTGATCAATAAAATAAACGACGTCACTGTTGCCACTTTAACCGTTGCTTCAACTTTGGAATGTAAACAATTCTTTCCCGCCCCAACAACAATTTATAATTGTTTTTTGTTGTAGCCCGACTAGACTCACATTTCAGCACCAAAAATAAAAAAACGACCGAGTCGATGTTCGGAATAGAAATCCACCGACTACTGAGAGTTTCGGTGAATGTTTGCGATTATTTCTGAAAAAAGAAGAGCAACCATTGATTGTGTACAAATTGCGCGAGACGGGATTGCGTTCACTTTGAAGAAAAGATGGAATTTCTGATAAAAACTTGTCGTTTGAAATTAAATTATCTAGCTCAAACAAGCGGTTTTTCGCTGGTTGGAAAACCTCTTAGTGTGCACGATATTTTGTCGCAAATTTTGTTTTATTTACCGACGACGGCAGAAAAAAGACAACGAACGAAAGTTCAAACTTGGAACAAAATATCTTAATGTCAACATCCGAATCGATTTTACGTTTTTGCGTCGTGTGGTGTGCAGTACGATTTGCTTGTTATACACTTGAGAAATGATACACAGTAAATGTTTAATCATTTGAGACGCCGGATCCATTTGCCAATTTTGAGCGCTGAGAATGGTGGCTTGATGTTTGTGTGTGTGTGTGTGCGGCGAATGCGTTCACGTCATCATCCTTTAATTGGTACCAATTAAAATGAAAGCCTAAACATTCTAATTATAAAGCGCAAAACAACTCACAGTGACAATGGCATGGCATGGTGTTGTGCCATTCCACAAAATCCATGCACATAAATAGAATTTAATTGGAGTAAAGCAAATGATTAAGCTGAAGCATAAAATCACTGTGATGATTTGAGTTACCGATCCCAGGGAAATACACATAGGTGTGTCGAACACGCGCGACGGTGGCTCCAATTTCACCAACACCATCAGCAATCACCACCACTGGCGGGAGACTCGTTTCACTATCGAAGCCTTAAATAACGGTGGGTAATTATAAGCAGGCTTTTTCATGTGCGAAACAATTAATTATTATGTGCCGTTTTATGCGATCCATTCATTTGCCGACGTGTGAATACAGCAATATTAATGACAACGAGTGAGAAACAATAATCATAATAATTCGTACGACAAGCAGCAAATTTTCGCAGAGATAAAGATATTTCGAAAATGATTTTTATGTGTTTTGTTTCGATTGTGCGGCGTCTATGTGTCGCTGGGTGTTATTAACGAAACCAAACCAACTCAAATGAGACTCAGCATTTCGGTGACAAGCATCTCACATAAAACAGCATCACCACCAACAACAACAAATGACATTGTCTGTGTATTTTTGAGTGGATCTTGTTAACCGGTGTGTGTACTGTGCATGTATATAAATTGTCCATCGTCAATTGAATTTTCTCGAATTTTATGACGCTATAAAACCCCACTTGCACTTGTTTTATTTGCTGCTGTGGTATTTTCTCCGGTCAATTTCATTGTTCGTATACCACTTGAGCGCGCGCCTCACCATATCTCATATTACGAGATTTGACATCAATTTGTGCTTTCACAAGAAAACGGCTTCGTTTATTGCGGCATATGTCCAATGAAGAAAATACAGAAAAGCGCTGAGCTATGGCATTCACTGAACATAAATCAAATGAAATTATGAGGATGTCATCTTTTAAAAAGACCACACGGCTTCATTTCCATGACGACAGTTGAAAAGTTGATGGTAAAATTCATCGAAAAAAAAAATCTTCTATAAAATGAAATTGAAATTGAATTCGGTGTAATTTGTTACGAATCGCTCTGGTTGTCGGAATCACTTTGTTACGCATAAACCTAGTGGCTGTTTAGTTTAAATGCATGGAAGATTAATGTGTGTTAAATGTAAATAACAATTTCGACTGTTAAAATTCATTGAATGTAACAGTGACGATATATGCGAAAATTGCGACATGGTGCACGTGCTTTGAAAACATTCATTCTATCGAAAAGATTCAACAAAAATCATTGTATAATTTGTTACACTGTACATACTGAAAAACTCACCAGCCACAGAGAAAAAAAACATTTCGCTCGCAGTTGAATTAATGTTATATTGAATTTTCACCACGGACCCGATGTTTTCTCTCTCTCCCTTTCCACACTCATTTAATTTACCCGGCAATTGTTTTCCGAACGGCAAATGAAAATTTCATCCGAAATAGACGAAAAAAACCCTTGTTACTAACGAGCATTTAAACTAAACGGTGGAAATGTGAATGAGGCCCAAACGTGCACTGCATATATACGAACGCAAAAAAAAAGACAAACGATTTCCATCCGCATGCAAATGAATTCAAATTCCTCCACTTCATGCTCGATGCTCATGGTTATTTTAATATTATTGTTATGCTGTATATAAAACAAGAGGATATTATTTAAATTTTCTAATAAAATTAACGGCTCCAGGATTCACGCTGCAATCATGGTTGTTGTCAAGTTTTACCAATTCTTCTGATAGCATCTGCACACACACATACGTATTCAATTGGCTCTTTGTTTTGAATTTTGTTTGCTTGTTTGCCAATTAGTATGGGGTTTCCTCTTTTAATAAAATTGACATTTCGTCTCTTTTTGTTGTGTGTGTGTGTGTACTGTGCCATGTTTGTGCCACAAAACTTTTTGCTTTCATTAATTTAAACAAACTTGTGAGCTGTGTGTTCTTCATTAAAATTAAACGAATAAGATGTCATTCCATTTGGAAGCACACACAGTTCAATGGGTTTCTTCGCTTTAGCATTTGAAACATCCGTTTTCAAGTTTTGTCAGCATTTAATTGGCTGTTGCAAAATTCATTGATTTTTAGGTGCCTACTGTTTGATATATGAAAGTGGATTTGATTTCAAATTCTGTGCCGCTTTTGATCTCTATGTCTACGTTTGTGCAAGGTCCAGTGTTGTCGGAAAGAAGAAATAATTTATCTAGATAAAGATAAGATAATTCAACTATTTTTCAAAATTTATCTCGATAGAGATAAGATATTATCTTATCTATTATAAATTTTTAGATAAGAAAAAAAGATGAAACATTTGTAGTATCGATTTCACTTTATTGACGACTTTGGAAAAACAACTGTTTTGGTGATAAACTCAAATTTTTCGCCGAAATGGCATACATTTCCTGCGTGTATCATCCGAAAGATTTATCGCCATCCTGAAATTCGATGATGAAAGTTTATGGCAAATACGCGTGGGCGGATTCAAAACGGAGATTCATAAATTAGATTCACTGAATCATTTTTCGGAGAGATTCAGTTTATTTTGATTCAGTGGATCAGTGATTCATTTTTGGACAATAAATTAGTACTTTAGATTGGATCACAAATCAAAAATGATTCAGAATAAAGTGAATCTCTGATCCAGGAAAAAATGAATCTTGATCCCGAAATCAGTTTGAATCTGTGATTCACACGCGAAGTGACGGATTCAGTGAATCACTAATCACAATTTTGCCCTGTAATGGCAAATTTCTTGTGCCCTAAACGGTAAATCGAAATTGACTATACGATTTTAATATTTGGAACATCAATTCTTCTGGCAAGTACTTCGGAATTGAATAGCATTTTTGTTTCGCTACTTTGGAACCAAGGCATTCAGAATTATCTGGAAAATTATCTAAAAAACCCAGATAAGTAATGAAAAAATTTACTTATCTAGATAAGATAAAAGATAATATCTTATCTTATCTTATCTGAATTATCTAGATAATAAGATTATCTTCGACAACACTGGCAAGGTCATGGTGTCGAATCAAACACACACACACACATCCATTGATTTATTGCTTCTATCTAAATTGGCTTCAAGTCCGTTAATTCCAATAAAAGTTCAAACGGGTTCTTGTTCTTGCTGTTTTGAAATATGTTCGGCTCGACCGAAGCCAGTCATTATTTGCAATTTATGAACGGAGATTTTTTCTCTCTCCTTGGCTCACTTAACCATGCATTTGAATGCGATGATGGGAAATAATATATATGAAACGAAGCTTTAAACTAGATCAAAAGAAATGCCCCATTCCACTCGAAATGACCATCACAGCGGGAACTAGCCAATCCCATTGAAAATCGGGCGGTGTACCGTATATATCATTTTGAATTGGAATATATTTCCATTTGAGTTAATATTCGGGTGAATGCGATATGGATTTTTTTTTTGATGATGGAAAATTGTGCCAATTTCGATTCGCTTTGTATCGCCAAAAAGGATCAACAATCAAATACGATTCACTCTCTAAATGGTTTCGATTTGAATATTTGAATATTTGATTTTAATTCACATTTGCGAAGCCAAAATCGATACATAAATCTCTGTTTGATACACCAAATTCTCGTAAAATACCCCGCCGCACACCATTTGGTTACGTTTTTTCTCCTTTAGCTTGCTGTGACAATGTTTCAGCAGTCAACAGTTAAATGGAATCGATTTTAAAAAACAAAGATCCTCTTTAATGCGACTAATATAAACTTATGCGTCCATTTACATTCAAATGATTGTTCGCTTCGTCGTAAGCGAAGAAACAAAACGAAAAAAACAAGTGCAAAGCAGAGACAATTTGAGCTAATTTAAGTTGGGACACTGTGTAGACGATAAAAAGCTTTGCGTTGGCTGTTGGTGTTGTCGGTGATGCTGCACATAAAATCTCTTTTTAATTCCCCTGATGTCACACGTAAATGCTATTCGCACCAATTCGCTGGGCACATTTAATTGTGTATCATCATCTAAATGGATGAGCAAGAGCATTGTTAGACAAATAATGCGACATTGGTGGGTTCTAGGCAGTGGGAAAGAACGAGAAAAAAAAGGTTTAATACGAAAACAATGGCACACGCACA